GATAATTTAGAAAATGATATGATTTAGCATAGTGATAATTTAATGTAGGTCACCATGTCCTTAAGTTCCAAAACCTGATAATTCATTTCAAGAGGATAACCTTATTAGTGTCAAAGCTTATCTTCCTGAGGGTCCTCAAAACAATCCAAGATATACATAAAGACAAAAGTTGATAACATACAAAATAAATACATATTCATACAATCATGTACAACAAATGTTTCAAAAAAGTATTCAGAGACTATTCATTTAACGAAATTATAATATTATCTTTTAACTGTTTTTTTTTTTACAGTTGCAATCATTTACTTGTAAAGCAAATCATCACATACCGGCATGTTTTTGTGCACCAAAAGGGCATTTAAACTACCAAACAATCCCGGTGATGGTGTCATTATATCAGTTTCTAAAACCAGACTTTGTCCTCCTTAAAAAATTGACTAATGTATCTATACAAACTATAAAATTACACTCCTGTTTCCCAATATATTTAACAATAATCAAATATTTGTAGAATTTATGCATTAGAATTAATAATTCGTTTTTGCCTAGGCAGATGCTTGCGAATCTTTAATTACAAGTTAATGGTACTCAATATTACGCAAGACTTCTTGTAGATTTACTCTGTCCAGTTTAAACTGGCTGTAGTCCTTTTTGCGAGAATTGCTCTTTCAAAGATATATCATGTGCGCCAAATTTTTTTTTTTAAAGGTATCAAATTGCACCAGAACAAGGAATGCGCCTACTTACCTTTATGCATATTTATCAAATTATATTTGTTTACTTTTACGTAGTTCAGTCCTAAGTTTATTATGGAACCTTAAATATAATAATGTATGGAATTAACGGGGCTATTGTCACAGCTTTCTAAATATTTTACCTTAAGTTAACGAATTTCTACGTTTAAATTATTGTTAGCAGTAACAACAAGAAATTATTTCAGCTTTTTCTACTTTTTACTTGTTCATCAGAAATATATACTCATACATATAATTCTACTGATTAGTATATATTAATCTGATAGTCTTTTTTTTTTAAGATTATACTATAAAAATTAACAACAATGTATTTGTTCACATAAAAGCAAAACGTACACAGAATTAATCATGTTAAAACATACATGCTTTATATGCCTATCACAAGTCTAATTATATCAACTACAGTTCCATTTTCAGGGATTCAAACTCAGTTACATGTATAGACATATATTGGAAATGTGTAACTCTGATTAATAATATATTTAAAATAGTTTCAATATCCGTATTTTATAGTTTAGTGATTTTAATTCAGGTCGGTATCTATTTTGTACGATCGCCTCCTGCTACAACTTTAAGTTATGAGCCTTCAAACCATAAATATACAGATGTATATCTTATTATGGAGACATTTGGGACATTTTTACAAAAAAAGACGATAGTAAAGTAGGTGAACAAAATACTCATCCAAAACTGAAGCTGAAATAGCTGTATATGCGGCCTCGACAAAATAAAGTACGTATTGTGCTTTTGAGCGTATGTTTTTTGTTCAATGAAACACGACAATGCGCTTATATATCACATGATTAGAATTACCAGTCCCATGTTGAGCACAGAAAATTAAAATTTAATATTATAATTTCAAATTCAATTTTGAAAAAGTTATCTATATAAGAAAACCCTAAAAAAAAGACATACTTTGTGTAGGTTCCATGAAACACGACAATGCGCTTATATATCACATGATTAGAATTACCAGTCCCATGTTGAGCACAGAAAATTAAAATTTAATATTATAATTTCAAATTCAATTTTGAAAAAAGTTATTAATATTAAAAAACCCTAAAAAAAGACATACTTTGTGTAGATTTAGACTAAATAATCAAAGTCTTCGAATTGAGAGAGGTCGTTATGAAAAAAAAAGAAGAAAAAAACCAGTCGATAATGAAGGAGAGTAGGTTGTATTTCATCTATAAGACAGAATATGTCATCGTGAAGTTCACTATAATTCCTCTCTGTATGTAAGTCGGAACTTTAACCTGCAAATGTGTTTCACCTAGGCCATTATCGAAATTTCTACAAAGAACGCATCTTACTAATAATATTGTCCCTAGCACGTCATTGTCATTGAATATTTGTCACTTATGATCGGCGGTTAAAAAAAAACTCAAAACATTTTCAATTGTTTTAAATTATTATCTACCCACTGAGTCTGTTTCCAGTCATAATAGCGTACTCGGTGGCCATTGGTCTAAGTAGTCGAACTACTGTATCACTAGCCTGTCAACACTGAGGTTGTGTGAGTTCGAATCCCTCACCTGGCAGTTGCCATCGACTCCAATCTCAATTCTTCCAATTTTTAAAGAAATTACAAAAAGCATAAGTGTTCACAATTTCCTTCTCTTGACTTACATTCATCTGACATGGTCAGTCTGTCATCAAGCTATCTGATCTTCTGGTTCATTGAATCTCCTTGGCCCTGGTCTAATACAATGTGACCGAGAGACATTTACTGCATCGAGTAACGATTAGCTCTTGTTGGCCTTGTATTTTATCCCACTGTTAAATCGTTCAAATACCTCTCGTAACCGAATGATGTACTCATCGAATGTTGAGTTGAAAATTGCAATATCATCAACATATATTTATGTGATTAAAATTAAATGTCCAAACACATTTTCAATCAATCTCTTGAACAGATCAGGTGCTCTTGTCAAGGTAAATAGTATTACATAAAGCTCATATAAACATTATGGTGTTGAAAATGCTAGATTTCTTTTTCCTCCTACTTTAATTCCACTTGCCAGTAGCCAGACGCAATGTCAACACTCGAAAAATATTTTGCACCTGCTAACGTATTGTATGTGTTATAGGTGCGTGAAATATGAAACATGTCTTTCTTTGTTATATGTTTACAATACAGATGTCAACAGAAAAATCTAAGTTTTCTTCTAGGTTACTAATATTTCGTTCATTTAAGAAGTTGAAACCAGGAGTAACAAGCTGTTACTAAAGGGTATCCACTATAATTGCAATTTGGTTCGCCCAGGACTTGCAAAGTAGGTTCATGTATGTTGTCTTAACGAGGAATAAATCCTACTTTGTAAAAAATCACTCTGATTAAAATGAAATATTCTCTTAAATTGACATTATCAAGATACTTGATTTCTTGATTGACAACATATTTGTTACGTTTGGCGGACGTATTTTTCAACCGACAATCGGCATTCCCGCTGGAACAAACTATTCCCCTCTTCTTGCCAACTTGTTCCTTTATTCATACGAGACTGTCTTCTTACAGGAGCTTCGTAGGGAGAATGAAAAGAAGCAAGAATTATCTTTTAACTTCACGTTCCGCTATATAGATGAGGTTCTTTCACTAAATAATTCAAAGTTTGGTGACTATGTGGAATGCATCTATCCCATCGACCTTGAAATAAAGGATACAACAGATACAGTTAAGTCTGCCTCATATCTTGACTTACATCTAGAAATTCACAATGAAGGTCGGATGAGAACAAAACTTTACGACAAATGAGATGATTTCACTTTCCGAATTGTGAACTTTCCATTATTATGTAGCAACATTCCAGCAGTGCCTGCATATGGAGTAGATATCTCCCAGTTGATACGATACTCAAGAGCCTGCATTTCCTATCATGATTTCCTTGATAGAGAATTGCTGCTTACAAGGAAGCTATTGAACCAAAGAGTTCCAAATGGCGACGTTGAAATCATCTCTACGAAAATTTTACAGACACCATCACGAGTTTAACCGTTATGGAATATCTGTTTCATAGATGACGACGGATATGTTCCAATTGTAACCACAATCTAGTCCTCTTTTCCTCAAATGTTACCCACCGAAAATAAGACTTATCACCGGGTTTGTACTTACAGGAGCAACACGACGGGTGCCACTAGTGGATCTGCTTACCCCTTGAGGAGCAACTGAGATCACCCCCGGTTTTTAGTGAGGTTCAGTTTTTAGTTTTTAGTTTCTATGTAGTGTTGTGTGTACTGTTGTTGGTCTTTTCGTTGTTTTACGTTTTTTTGCCATAACATCGTCAGTTTATTTCGATTTATGAATTTGAATATCCCTTTGGTATCTTTCATCGTTTGATGAATATAGAAAGTCCATTCAATTGGACCAGATGCAGCAGGTGCCCCTTGATATATCTCCACTGGAGAACAAGTATACATTCGATAGAACCATGATCATCAAGATCTTTATCAGTAGCATGACATGACACCTGGTCCTCTATGATTGCCTCTAATGTTGACATTTCTCAGTGCATATGTTGCAAGTCCTAGATGTACTACACTGCTACTATCACACAATTGGACCTCCACATCCAGATCCAGACAGACTTGTGTACTGAGCTGCCAATCCGTCTCCACATCCAGATTGCAGCAGTTTACTGTTAAGTTTTTTCTCAATGATCTTCATGACTTTTTCAAAGACAATCTTTGAACCACGCGTCAAGGGAACACCTCATTGAAAGTACAATGTCATGATCATCCAAAATAATCATCTTGTTGGAGCATACTGAACAAGATTGGAAACAATCCTCCATCATAATTCAAAAACACAGAAAAATTGAAGAAATCTTTGTTGAACATTTAAATCTATGTTTAACCTTTACTCAAGAAATCCACAAAAATTGCATTACATTATATCAAATGGAAGTGGCCCTAAGGTTTTTTGTTCATTTATATGTAGGCTATATTGACTGCAAATTCAAAGGAATGATTTGTATTAATAAAACAGGGTTGTGTGTGGAAAATACCATGACATGTTGAGGGATACAGGCTCTAGTTAGTTCATAGTTTGCATACTTCATCAACTATTACAAATTTTCCTTTTTCTTCTTAGAAAGAAACCCCATTTTAATCTTACACTGACCTCTCTATGTCTATTTTGGTTTATATGTGTTGTTGGATTACTGCCTCATTGATGATTAACCAACATTTTTCATTATTTATAATAACAAGTTTACTGAAGGGAAAGATTTAAAATACAACTTCAGTTTCAACAAATATTTAATTACATATAATTTAACATACACATTAACAGAATAAATAACTGTTAATAGATGTATCACCACAACAGATGTTGACTTTAAACAAATTTTTGGCCATTCATAAATATATCCATAGCTAAATATTTCACATCTTATATTTCAACAGTGGCATAGGAGCATTAAAAAAAGTCTTGATAGAGGGAGGCAAGGGCAGACTTACAAAGTGAAAATAAAAACCTTTGAGAAAAGTACACTAAATACCAGCCATATATGCTAAGATATATTGTTTAATAAACATTTTTGATAAAATTTATTTCAATTACTATAACAGAATATCGAAAATTTAAAAAAATTTTCCCCTTGACCTTTTCCATTACTCCTATGACAGGGTCAAAGGTTAATTGTATACTACAATGTATTTTAAAACTCTAATCTATATCACAGGTAATCTTTAGCCCATATTTACATATTGCTTGGAATGGTATATTTTAAAGAGCATAAAACTAATATTTACATTCAACTCTATGAAGTTTATTATTCTAAAACCTAAAAAAAATACTTTGATGTATTTTTTTGTGTCAATGTGTTGCTGTTTCATTGAGTTGCAAATTAATTTGACAAAATACCAGATGACAAATGATTATGTCATGTCTGCTGTTAAGCCACAAATATACTTAAAGACATGTTGGTAATTTACATTGGTGTTTTTGAACATTGTACTTATAAGAGCAGAAATTACGAATGGGTTACAACAAAAATATTGGAGTAACCGTCAGAAATATTTTGTCATTAACTCTAAATTTGCATGCATTAAATTTTAAAAACTTCGCAAGAAGAAATTTTACCTTTCTAATTATTTTAACAAGTATTTTTATTAATAAAATAATCACAACAACATCAGCAATTTTATGCGTGAAATATGAAACATATCTTTCTTTGTAATATGTTTACAATACAGATGTCAACAGAAAAATCTAAGTTTTCTTCTTGGTTACTAATATTTCGTTCATTTAAGAAGTTGAGTAACAAGCTGTTACTAAAGGGTATCCACTATAATTGCAATTTGGTTCGCCCAGGACTTGCAATTTACTGTTCTAAGAAGGATATGGAAAATGTTGCATCTCAGCAACACTAGCCTCAACCCAAAAAACAGTCCCACCGATCCAAGCGTCTATTTCAAGGTTTTATATAATGAAGAAATAACATTCAAGTCGGTAAATTGATTTGAAATCTTACTTCACTATCTTGTAAAAACTTTTTGAAATATCCGTTCCGTTCATTATGAATCAATGCTAAAGCTGACTTATAACCAGACATAGTTTGTTCTTTATATGTTCTTACAGAAGAAAGCTGCATAAAGAATTCTGCTACATCTGGAATAGTTGTAGAAGTGAAACTGGTATTGTGTTTTTCTACACCAACTGTCATGAATTCGGATTGATTGATTGATTGGTGGGTGGTTGCTTTACACCGCATCATCACAAAAAGGGTATATCGCGCCGAGACATTTGTTCTGAGTCTTGCATTATAAAAGAGAGGCGACAAATACCAAAGGAACATTCAAACTCATAAGTCAAAAATTAAACTGACATGGCTAAAAAAGAAAAAGACCAATAGACAAACAACAGTACACAAAACACTACATAGAAAACCAAAGACTGAGCAGCACGAACCCCATCAAAAAACGGTTGGTGATCGCAGGTGCTCCGGAAAGATAAGCAGATCCTGCTCCACATGTGGCACCCGTCGTGTTGCTCATGTTAGTACAAACCCGGTAATAAGTCTAACTGCTGTTTTGCATGAAAATCCGTCTGACTTGTGTCGCAGTTTGACAATTTCCATGTCATATGATTCAATGTTTCTGGATTCTGATGAAATATGTTTACTCGATTGTTAATTTGTGAAAGCAGATCTGGCAGATGAGGTAATTTAATTGGAATAATTATCAGAAGTTTCAACATCTGAGGATACCAAGATTGTCGTGGCCACTTTGGTGCAATGAGGAGAAATACAATATTTTCTTCTCGAATCTTTTGTAAGACTCAAGGAACAAGTAATAGACATGGGAGAGCATATGCAAACATGTCACTCCAATTTACAGTTAGATCATCTACTTTAAATGCTTTCCGGAACAGACGAGAAATAAACTGTCAACGTTTTGTTCTGAGCTGAGGTAAACAAATCTATGCATGGGTTCCGCATATGATGAAATATCATACCTACCACCATACTGCTAAGTGTCCATTCCGTCATTTTGGCAGGACTTTTTCCTCTCTATAGTGCATCTTTTTACATATTTTTCTTTCTCAGATTGGACGTTAAGCAGCCATCCATCATCATCATCATCATCATCTTTCCCGGGATGTAAACTGCACGAATAGCTAAATGTACCGCCTTTGTACTGATACTGATAGCTCCTGTAAAGGCCTTCATTTTTAATATATTTGTTCGATTTGTCAAACTCGTGCATACAGGAGTGAACTGAGTCAAAAGCAAAAGCAAAATATTCGGACTATAAGGTGCTTACTGTTAAAGCTCGATTGGTAATCTGCCCATTGGTTTAAGGTAAATGAATGAAGCCATCATACCTAGAAGTTTAAGTATTGATCTTGCTTGAGTCTGCTGACTTTTCTTTAATGTTTGTGTTCTTTCTAGAATACTGTAATATCAGGCCTCTGTGGTGTGACTATACCCTCTTCAAATTGTACGTTTCCAATACTGCCATTATTTTTTATAACATTCTTGGTGCAGTTAGGAGCGCGAACGGCATTCCTCGATTTTATTATTTAACTGTGACTTAGAAATCTGAATCTGAGAAATCTTTAGAAGTCTGTGTAAACGGATATAAGGAAACATGCATCCGTCAAATTCAAAGATTTTGCATAGTCTCAAGTTTCACGGCTTTCATTGTTGACCGCAGGATTTTAATCTTATAATGATAAAGAATTACCAATTGATTTAGCAGATTGGGATTGAGAATTGGTCGCAATCTTCTTTGATCTTTCGGGATTACGATAACTGCGCTGTAAAAATTCATATTTTTCTTGTTCAACAGGAACAGGCTCTATAAAATTATTTCATAATAAAAAATTGTTTCTGCTAAGATAACTGACACGTGAATACCATACATTGGAACGCACGTTTTCTTTTTTATTTTTGTACATGATTGGCTCAATAGTTTCAACTTTAGCCCTTCTCGTAAAGTGTCTAATACCTGCTACTATGTGATAATTGTCCACTTATTGTGAAATATTAACAGACGTACATCTACATGGGAACTATGATAGGCGGAAGATACCAAGGAAGGGTAAACACATCCTGCTACATATTAGGTACTAGTTGCTATGTTGCTCATATAAGTAAAAACTTGGTGATAAGTCTAATTCCTGGAAAAGAGAATAGGATGGTGGTTACGACAAACACATATTCCATACGGTCTTTGGTCTTACTTCCTTGCAGATTGGAAACCTTTTAAGTCCCCAGCTGTTTTCTTGGAAAAATTCAGAATCCGAAAAAAAAATTCCTGCACGGCAATTATCTTGACTCAAGCTAGAATCAAAATTGTTTGTTTTTTTTCTGGCAACTTTAGCCACCTGGTGATCCGAATTATCAACATGATCAACTTTCTTCTTCTTACTGGATTCGTTAGCAGGAATTCTATCACCTATAGACGTGTAGTTCTTGTTTTAACTACTTGCATTATTATACAGTCTTGTGTCTCTCTAGCATCACATAAATTCTCTGCAGAGATATGCAGTGTTTCGAAATACGGGCCATTAAAAAGCCCGACTGCCACAAAAACTTCAATAATTTTGTTCAGTAGATTTACTAATATATTTTACATTTATTAGAACAACTTTTCTTCTAATCAAAACTGAATTAATCATGATTCTTACTGACAAATCAGCCATACTTCTACAATAGTTCTTATTGTCTTACGTCTTCCACCCTATCATCTTCGCAGGTTGCCTCATCCAAAAAAGCAGAAATCATAGTGCCATAAGAAATGGCTCGAAAAAGTGCCCTGGCTGAGTTATCCATTCGACGAAAACTTTATCTAATTGTCTGTGAAATTGTGGTATATTGTCCCCAGATTTATAAAAAGCGCTTTTATGTCCAATTGACAGTCCTTTTTCAATAGAGTCATCCAATTTGAGAGGATTGGAGAAACAATTAGAATTATCTTTCTTAACAAAGAAAGCCTTGTCATCCCTGCAACTAGCAGCTTTTTTTTCAAATGCCCTGCCATGGCCTCCCTTTTCACGTATTTCACCACAATAATGGTACCTTTCAAAGGCAATTTATTTGATTTTCTATCAGTCTTGTCAGCTTTCAATCTTGCTGATATAAAGCATCTACAAATTCAGGTTCTATATTGAGGACTCTTTCCAAATTCACGAACATCAATTTAAGTAGCTAGCAAAGCCGGGCTTCAAAGCTATTGTGAAACTACCTATTCCAGGGGCGGCGTGAATCAGATGTGGATACATAAAAATTCCAAAGATCTGTTAGAGTACATACAATCTAAATCTATTTCCTCTTACAATAGTATTAAAACATTTGATTTGTCTATCCTTTACACAAGTATTTCCGATTCCAAACTAAAGGACAAATTGAAAGAATTAGTCCTGCTTTTTTTTATAAAAAAGAATGGCAAAAGGACGTACATGTATGTTGTCTTAACGAGGGATAAATCCTACTTTGTAAAAACTCACTCTGATTCAAATGAAATATTCTCTTAAACTGACATTATCAAGATACTTGATTTCTTGATTGACAACATATTTGTTACGTTTGGCGGACGTATTTTTCAACCGACAATCGGCATTCCCGTGGTTACATACTATTCCCCTCTTCTTGCCAACTTATTCCTTTATTCATATCTTTTAACTTCACGTTTCGCTATATAGAGGAGGTCCTTTCACTAAATAATTCAAGATTTGGTGACTATGTGGAACGCATCTATCCCATCGAACATGAAATAAAGGATACAACAGATACAGTTAAGTCTGCCTCATATCTTGACTTACATCTAGAAATTCACAATGAAGGTCGGATGAGAACAAAACTTTACGACAAATGAGATGATCTCATTTTCCAAATTGTGAACTTTCCATTCTTATGTAGCAACATTCCAGCAGTGCCTGCATATGGAGTAGATATCTCCCAGTTGATACGATACTCAAGAGCCTGCATTTCCTATCATGATTTTATTGATAGAGAGTTGCTGCTTACAAGGAAGCTATTGAACCAAGAGTTCCAAATGACGACGTTGAAATCATCTCTTCGAAAATTTTACAGACACCATCACGAGTTTAACCGTTATGGAATATCTGTTGCATAGATGACGACGGATATGTTCCAATTGTAACCACAATCCAGTCCTCTTTTCCTCAAATGTGACCCACCGAAAATAAGACTTATCACCGGGTTTGTACTTACAGGAGCAACACAACGGGTGCCACTAATGGATCCGGTTTTTAGTGGGGATCAGTTTTTAGTTTTTTAAGTTTCTATGTAGTGTTTTGTGTACTGTTGTTGGTCTTTTCGTCGTTTTACGTTTTTTTGCCATAACATCGTCAGTTTATTTCGATTTATGAGTTTGAATATCCCTTTGGTATCATTCGTCGTTTGATGAATATAGAAAGTCCATTCAATTGGACCAGATGCAGCAGGTGTCCCTTGATATATCTCCACTGGAGAACAAGTATACATTTGAGATGAAAAAGAACCCTGATCATCAAGATCTTTATCAGTAGTATGACATGACACTGATCCTCTATGATTGCCTCTAATGTTGACATTTCTCAGTGCATGTGTTGCAAGTCCTAGATGTACTACACTGCTGCTATCAGACAATTGGACCTCCACATCCAGATCCAGACAGACTTGTGTACTGAGCTGCCAATCCGTCTCCACATCCAGATTGCACAGTTTAAGTTTTTTTATTTTTTGAAAATTTATCTCAATGATCTTCATGACTTTCAAAGACAATCTTTGAACCACACGTCAAGGGAACACCTCATTGAAAGTACAATGTCATGATCATCTAAAATATTCATCTTGTTTGGGCATACTGAACAAGATTGGAAACAATCCTCCATCACAATTCAAAAACACAGAAAAATTGAAGAAATCTTTGTTGAACATTTAAATCTATGTTTAACCTTTACTCAAGAAATCCACAAAAATTGTATTACATTATATCAAATGGAAGTGGCACTAAGGTTTTTTGTTCATTTATATGTAGGTTGTATTGACTACAAATTAAAAGGAATGTTTTGTACTAATAAAACAGGGTTGTATGTGGAAAATACCATGACATGTTGAGGGATACAGGCTCTAGTTAGTTCATAGTTTGCATTATTACTATTACAAATTTTCCTTTTTCTTCTTAGAAAGAAACCCCATTTTTAATCTTACACTGACCTCTCTATGTCTCTTTTGGTTTATATGTGTTGCTGGATTACTGCCTTATTGACGATTAACCCACATTTTCCATTATTTATAATTACAAGTTTACTGAAGGGAAAGATTTAATATACAACTTCAGTTTCAACAAATATTTAATTACATATAATTTAACATACACATTAACAGAATAAATAACTATTAATAGATGTATCACCACAACAGATGTTGACTTTAAACAAATTTTTGGCCATTTATAAATATATCCATAGCTAAATATTTCACATCTTAGATTTCAACAGTGGCATAGGAGCATTAAAAAAAGTTTTGATAGAGAGAGGCAAGGGCAGACTCACAAAGTGAAAAAAAAAACTGAGAGAAAAGTACACTGTATACCAGTCATATGTGCCAAGATATATTTTTTAATAAAATTTTCTGAACAAATTTATTTCAATTACTGTAACAGAATATCGAAAATTTCAACTTTTTTTCACTTGACCTTTTCCATTACTCCTATGACAGAGTCAAAAGTTAATTGCATACTACAATGTATTTCACAACTCTAATCTATATCACAGGTAATATTAAGCCCATATTTACATATTGCTTGGAATGGTATATTTTAAAGAGCATAAAACTAATATTTACATTCAACTTTATGAAGTTTTTAATTCTAAAACCTAAAAAAAACCCACATTGTTGGTTTTTTTTTGTCAATATGTTGCTGTTTCATTGCGTTGCATATTAATTTGACAAAATACCAGATGACAAATGATTATGTCATGTCTGCTGTTAAGCCACAAATATACTTAAAGATATGTTGGTAATTAACATTGGTATTTTTTAACAGTAAAACTTTGAACATTGTACTTATGAGAGCAGAAATTAAGAATGGGTTATAACAAAAATACTGGAGTAACTTTCAGAAATATTCTGTCATTAAAAATAAATTTGCATGCATTAAATTTAAAAAACTTCTCAAGTGGAAATTTTATCTTTTTAATTATTTTAACAAGTATTTTTATCAATAAAATAATCAAAACAACATCAGCAATTTTATTGCAAGGAATATTATCAACTCAATGTGAATAAAAGGCTATAATGACAGCAAGTTAATAGGTTGATGGGCTTTATAGCGTGAGTTGGATATATCATACAATGTTTGACTTTACAGATAAATTCTCTATGAAAACTACAATCAGACAGCACTAATAATAAGAATGTTTAATGATATAACTTCAGATTGGTGTTGTCATAACCTGTAGAAAAGTGAACTTTGAGCAGACATCTTGACTTGTTTCCAAGTTAAATTAATGTATTTGGAGCAGACAAGCAAGTTGATTTATATTAATGGCAAACCCCCTTTTTAAAGGCTGCTCTAGTTAAACAGTCTGGTGATTTGGTTAACTTGCTGAACAGGTTATCTCAATCTATATCATGACTTTTGTCCTTATTCTTGATTATCAATACTTGGGAATGAAATAAACCAAGCTTCTTAAATTCATTATAGTCTTAAAACATAAAGAAAAATCTCAGTTACTAAAACCCATTGCATTAAAATCAATATTATGTCCCCCAAAGGCATATACCTTTAACATACCAGAATAAAAATATAAAAGAAATTTGACTAGTTCATAAACTCTGCAAGATTATTCTAAATTATTGAAATGTTATTTTTAGAGTTTTATAAAATAAATGTCACTAAATAACTTTAATAATGGATGAAAACACAATGAATACTAAGTAAGACATTAGATTATGCTGTATATGAGATTATTTTTAAATGATATGAATATTATGCAAATGAAACATTGCATAAGAATATATTCCCAAGATTTGTATTTTACCCAAACAACTACATAAAACATAAACACAATACTACATGGAAATGTCAGATCTTTGTAACAGGATTTCATTGGATGTAAGTATTCACTTTCATACTCTCTGAATCTCAAACAGTTTGACATTTGTGTCATACCATATCGGAGGATCAACATTTCTGTAAAAAAGAAAATAGTGTCAAACATAATGAAATACATACAAAAATATTTTTTTCCAAGTCTAAAACAACATTTAAATGTACATTTTTAATTCTAATGACAAGATAATTTAAGATGAATTTCCTGTTACTATACCGTTTCTTATTTCTACAAGAGTGCACACGCTGAAATGTCTCGCCTGTTTTACTGACCATTGATTTTATGTTGAAAGTCTTAAAGATAAAAGTTTTACTACAAGTATCACATAAACTTAACATTCTTAAAGATCCATGACAATGAGGTCAAGGTCAGATAAAAACTGTCACACAGACATGTACAGCTTACAATTATTCCATACACCAAATACAGTTGACCCATTGCTTATGGTAATCTAATAACAAACCAAAACACAAAAAACTTAATGTTAAACAATGAACCATGGAAATGAGGTCAAGGTCAGATGAAACTGGCTAGACAGACATGTACCCCTTACAATCATTCCATACACCACATATAGTTGACCTGCTGCTTGTAGTATCTGAGAAACGGACCTAATCACATACCTTTAACCTTGATCACTGATCCATGAATTGAGGTCAAAGTCAGGTTAACACTGTCTGACGGACATGCAGACGTTGCAAGGAACCCATATACCAAATATCCTATTACTCAGTGAGAAATTCACATGACAAAAAAACTGTAATTTTTTTTCAAGCAGTCACGGAACCATGAAAATGAGGTCAAGGACAATGGGCATATGACAGACGGAAACTTTGTAACATAAGGTATCTGCATACAAGGTATGAAGCATCCAGGTCTTCTACCTTCTGAAATATAAAGCTTGAGGTGCAGGCCAGACAAAAATGGGAAGGGTAGATATTATTAGACAATAAGCAATCAATAAAATAAGAAGAATGTGTCTGGGGACACTAATGCTCCTCTCGAATTTTGCAATTTTCCAAATTAAAAAGGGGCATAACTCTGGAATGGTAAATGACTCACAACCCAAATTCAAACTCTGTCTGTGTGTTGTGGTTCTTAGCATTGTGTATTAGTTTCTTAAAATTTACGAGGCAAACTAAATTTATGGTGCCGAAACGAAAAAATGGGAAGGACGGACGGACGGAAAGACAAACGGAAGGACGGACGGTGTTCAAGGGTAACACTTAATGCTCCCAATGCCTATGGCGGGGGCATAAAAAATAAGAAAATGTTGCATATTGCCAATGAGAAAATCTCCACCAGAGACCAAATGACATAGAAGTTAACAACTATAGGTCACCATATGGCCTTCAACAATGAGCAAAACTTATACCGCATAGTCAGCTATAAAAGGCCCCGAAATGACAAATGTAAAACAATTCAAAAACGAGAAAACTAAGGACCTGAAGTTTACATTTTTACATTTACAACTTAAAAAGTATAATAAATTGCATAAAAATAAAAAAGATTGCATCAATTTCAGCAAATTGCTGAAAGCAGATATCGATTCTATTATTAAGGAATTAAATCTTCCCTTTTCATGTTTCAAAATAGTTATAATTCAAACAGTATTTGACTGTAAAATATTTAGAGATATATGTAAGCTTAAGAAATGACTTTTATTACAAAATGAACTTTAACCTGATGTATTATTTTAAGTTTTCCCACTGATTGGAACTGTTTTGATAAATAATGTATCAATACTGCTTATTGGTCAATGGAATCATCTAAACAATAGGTATCAACACTTTCTACGAAAGAGGGAACTTTAAAAAACTATAAAAACATTGGTTACTTTATTTGAAAAATCCAACATGAATTTAGATAACATTGATTGTTTGAAAAATCCAGTTTCTTAACTGTACAACCTCAAGATTTCACAAGTCAAGATTGGTTCAGGATAGAAGATATCAATACAAAGTGATGGCATCAATTGCCACTGACCCTTTGGACCATGTTAGCTAAGAGAAACTCTAAACTGATTGAAAAAATCATTTCTAAGTAATCCAAGTATGAGGCTTGTCTATTTTCTACATTTTATTAAAGATATAAGCTGCGTCGGATAGAAATGAACCTCATGCAAATGAATGTCAATACATCTGTTAACCTATTTCGGGTTGAAAAAATCTCTAAGGAAAGTCTTTACGTGTTTGAAAATTGAGTTGTTAAAAGAACCCTACAAAACAGATAAAAATTCATCTTTTATTTCGTATTTGAATGTTCCAAAATCAATCAAAGTCTTATACATGTACATATATAAGTGTACTTTCAAAAGGTCGAATTCTATCTGATGCAGCTCATATATTAAGCTATATATTGTTATACACATTAACTTACCATTACCAAATCAAACACCTAAAACAATATCCTTCCTAAATGTGAAGTGATTCAGATTCATTGAAATGGACTAGCTTATCAATTGGGAGAGCAATCTGAATTGCTTTAAATATAATTTCTTGATTGTTAATTTTTCTGTTCTACTTTAACAAAAGGTGTCACAATTATAAAATCTTCTTTTAGCCATAAGACAAATTACTGGTAAAAAGTGTTTTTTTTTAACTACTTGCTACACTATATGAAAAAGACACCAGAGTAGTGTAGTAATTTCAGTATTGACCATGTTATTTGATCTATTAAACTCTGCATAACCAGATCTGAATCATATCATTAGTATATTTTAAACATAGATATATAACTCTGAACAAGTTAGAACATAACCATATAGTAAGTCCACTGGTTTCCTTGAAATAATATGTACCTGAGATATATAACTCCCCACAAGTAGGTTCTGAACCACATGGTAGTACCCGAGTTAGCCTGGTATTTCCTAATCAGAATAGGATGTGGTACAGGCAACAGACCTACTAATGTGCCATGCTGTAGAAATTTCAGGATCTCACTTTCATCTGTTAAACCCCTGTAAATGAAAATAATGATATACTGTTTTTAGATTTATTATGAATTTTCTATTTCAAATCATTAATGTCCTCCAATAACTTAACATATATCATTTTAATCACTGACAATCTGAGAAACCAAAAGAAGTAAATACAATCAAATAGCTTTTGTACATCCACTACACCCTCTATTCTGCTCATTGAAGGTCCATCTTTTACATTTGAAAAAAGTGTACTGAGGCTTTGTGCCTTACTTTACACAACTTACTACCCCATGCTTTCCTTAAAGTGAAATGTGTGCAGCAAAACAAATATCAATGTCTAATGTACCTAATTCTACATAAACACATTTCAACAATTAATTAAAACTTAAACTGAGGGGTGGATGCCCCTTATTCTATAAAACTGAAATGCATGGATACTTATATAACTGTAACCGTATCATAATGAAGGATCAAATGTATCTATTCTGGAAAAAAATCATTCATCAGCAAACTTAACATCAAGTGGTGACTATGATTTCTGTTGACACATGAAAAGAAAAAAACTATGTCTCCCCTTCAGGTAGTTTCATCAAAGACAGAACAACAAGTAGAATTTTAAGCTATTGCTAACTAATGACACCCCAGCTTTTAGTATTAGTTCATCAGGAATTTGAAGAGAAATTGTTCTGAAAATGCATTACACAGTAAACAATATTTACATGATGCTTGATAACAAATTTCATGAAGCTCTATTTGTAGTACCCTAGATAAATGTGAATAATATTTCATACATGGCCATTATGTTTAAAACATATTCAAACAGGATTCCGTACACAGGAAATTGAGGAATGATGAATCTGAGACTGTGTCACACGGTATAGCATGCTGACAACAATATAAACCCCACCTCTTTTCGGAACCGGATTATAAAAATGGAGTTATTGACATAAATTACATCAATTGGATTTTAAATTTGATGAATAGTAGTATTACTAATACAAGTTTGTTCTTAACTATCTGTATAATGTCACCTTTTATCAAGCCATCAAGTGTTTAATCTTATAAATGTAAACCTACTTATCAATACATATTTTCTCCACTTGGGGTACTAATACTTGTAACATTCTCATTATTGTCTGCAAGGGTAACTTCTGTTTCCAAGACTGTACCTATAAATAATAAAAATAAAGACACTGATGTAGTAGCTCTATTGTTTTGTTTAAAAATAATGTTTATATCAATTTTGAACTACAAACCAAACTTTTGTTTGGATTGTTTATATATTCAGTGAATTACTGTGACAGCACAATCATTTATTAGGTACTAAACTACATGCAGTACATGATTCATTAAAACCATGAAATTTATTACTCAGATTGAAGTTTTAGATTCAAAACTCATGATGAATAAACAATTAAGAGGTCGTCGTTGGTTCATGTGTGTCATAATTTTGTTTCCTAAATTGTATTGTTATATATTAGTCTGTTAGTTTTCTCATTTGAATTAATTCACATTTTTCATGTTGAGCATTTTATAGCTGACTATACAGTATGTGTTTTTCTCATTGTTGAAGGCTGTACAGTGATCTATAATTGCTTATATTCGTCATTCGAACTCTGGTGGATAGTTGTCTAATTGGCAATCATACCACATCTCCTTATTTTTATGAAGTATTTGTTTGTCACAAACTTCACTGCATGCATATGACAAAAGATCATTTTAATACAGACAGAATTTAACACATTTTTTTTCTCAGCTTTCTTTGATTTAAAATAATGTTTGTTGTATAGTATATATTCACAAAAAATATACAAACCCAATCGGGTGTTGCCACCCAGCCACCAGCTGTGGATCCCATCCTAGATAGTGGAGGCCTGCTTGATTCACTTGTTACAGAATGCGTAGGACTTGAAGGAGGGGTTGGCTGAAAATGGAAAATTATGTAACATTAAGTTATGATCCCTCAATAATTAGTTTAAATGGACAGATGAAAATGATATTATTGTGAAGGGTTATAAAATTAGTGAAAAGATAAACAAGATTAAAAATAAATTATTTTCTAACGAAAATCAATTTACTTACCAAACTTTTAGCTTTTTGAAGTTTTCCTTTGGTCCCCTGTTCTTGTTCAGATTCTGTTGGGTTCTGTATTTCATTTGGAGGCTGAACACTATGGGTGCCACTGGGTGTGGCCAGATCTTGCATAGGTGGTATAGGAGGCGGAGCATCAGCATGTGCTTCATCTGGAGCTGCCTTCTCAGTCATTTTGTCGATTCCTGTAAATTAATTTTTCCATGTAAATTACACTCAACTATCAAGAATATGAAAAGAAGCAAAACATAAGAAGATTTCTATTATAGTATTTCAACTTATTATCTTATGTAGTTTTACAACATTCTCTCAATTACATATGGCAGCCTTCAATCATTAAAAAGATAAACAGTCTCTAATTCCTTACTAACATTAATTTGACTGTAGACAATTTGTAATAACTAACTTAAAGTTTCTTTGATCACAAGTTTTCTCATAATTTTTTATTTTTTATAGTATTTACATTTAAAAATATTTGCAAAATGATTTAATATGTACAATTCAAAACGCATTTATATAAAACAATAGACTATAACTTTACTACCTTTTCAGTAATATACAAAACATCTGTCATTATGGCAGATAACCATTGATACTATGTAAAATACTTAAATAATGTCATCCATACATTCTATCAAGTTTATATCTGCTTACCTTAATTTAAATATTTAAAAATCTGTCTTTTTTCATATACCCTCTTCCAAATTCACATTAAGTTCCTACTTAACTAAGATTTTATATAAAAAGTATTAAACATTAGTCTTTTTTTTCTAATCAATGACAAACATACAGAATTGTGTTCTTTTTCTATAAAACACATTATACTGTTCTTACGAGGAGTAGCAGCTAATGATGTTTTAAGTGTGCCAGGTTCAGCTTCTGATGCAGGAATAGCTCCCTCCATTGTTTGTGGTTCTTTGTGATCTGACCCAGCAGTTAATTGTACAAACTTCTTGCCTCTCTTAGACAATGCTTTAGCTATAGCGGAGTGTTCTACAGGTAGATTTGCCAGCTGGTGGAAAACATTTCTCTTCCTTATTATTGTGTAGATAAGGTTGGAATTGCCTATAAAGAAAATGGTTAGCTCATTCTTAGGTAATTTTGTTTTCATCTGTAAAAACCTTTTTTATCTTGTAAGAAAAAAATAAATGTGGATAGTGTCCACATGTGGACACAGATGATGCCCCCGCTTGCATAGCATATAGTTATAAAGGGACATAACTAAAGAACAGTAAAAGTGACGCTACCCAAATTTGAACTTGATCTGAGTTTTGTGGTAATAAGCATTGTGTGTAGGTCTCATAACATTTGGTTGAGGCTAACTTAAGTAGAGAACAGAAACTAAAAATTCAGCAATTTTTCTATTTGTAAACACGCATAACTCTAGAACGGTTGTGTATAAGCTTTATAACATTTGGTTGAGACAAACTAAAGTTAGAGAATGGAAACTAAAAATTCAGCAATTTTTATGTTTATAAAGGGACATAACCCAAGAATGGCAAAAGTGTTCTCACCAAATTGTGTACTTAATCTGTATTATGTAGTAATAAGCATTGTGTATCAGTTTCATAACATTTGGTAGAGGCAAACTAAAGTTCGTAAACGGAAACAAAAAATTTGTACTTGATCTTAGTTTTGTGGTAATGAATATTGTGTATAGGTTTCATAATGTTTGGTTGGGGCAAACTTAAGTTACAGTATGGAAACTAAAAATTTTGAAATCTTTCGATTTATAAAGGGGCATAACTCAATAATGGTTAAAGTGACACTACCCAAATTCAACTTGATCTGTTTTTTATCAGTGGAAGTAAAAATTAAACATTGCATTGTATAAAGCATTGATTGTAGTTGATTCAACTATAATCATGGACAAAGGAAGATAACTCCAATTTTAAAAATAAATTGATATTTAGAAGAAAATAAAAATTTAGCAATTTTTCCATTTATAAAGAGGCATAACTCTAAAACAGTAAAAGCGACGCCACCAAAATTCAAACTTGATCTGTGTTTTACTAAAAATTTTGCATTTTTTCCATTTATAAAGGGCATAACTCGAGAATGGTTAAAGTGACCCCACCAAAATTCAAACTTGATCTTTATTTTGTGGTAATAAGCATTGTGTATAAGTTTCATAACATTTGTTTGAGGCAAACTTAAGTTAGAGAACGGAAACTAAAAATTTTGCATTTTTTCCATTTATAAAGGGCATAACTCGAGAATGGTTAAAGTGACCCCACCAAAATTCAAACTTGATCTTTATTTTGTGGTAATAAGCATTGTGTATATGTTTCATAAAATTTGGTTGAGGCAAACTAAAGTTAGAGAACGGAAACTAAAAATATTGCAATTTTTCAATTTATGAAGGGGCATAACTCTAGAACGGTTAGAGTGAAGCTACCAAACTTCAATCTTAATTTGTATTTTGTGGAAATAAGCATTGTGTATAAGTTTCATAACATTTGGTTGAGGAAAACTTAAGTTAGAGAACGGAAACTAAAAATTTTGCAATTTTTCCATTTATAAAGGGGCATAACTCTAGAACGGTTAAAGTGACTACACCAAAATTCAAACTTGATCTGTGTTTTGTGGTAATAAGCATTGTGTATAAGTTTCATAACATTTGGTTGAAGCAAACTTAAGTTAGAGAACGGAAACTAAAATTTTGTAATATTTCCATTTATATAAAGGGGCATAACTCTCGAACAGTCAGAGTGACGCTTCCAAAATTGAAACTTGATCTGTATTTGGTGGTAATTAGCATTATGTATAATTTTCATAACATTTGGTTGAGGCAAACTTAAGTAAGAGAACGGAAACTAAAAATTTTGCAATTTTTCCATTTATAAAGGGGCATAACTCTAGAACGGTTAAAGTGACACCACCAAAATTCAAACTTGATCTGTGTTTTGTGGTAATTAGCATTGTGTATAAGTTTCATAACATTTGGTTGAGGCAAACTCAAGTTAGAGAACGGAAACCAATTTTGGGACGTACGTACATACAGACGGACAAGGGTAAAACTTAATGCCCCCTCCGCTACGGCGGGGGCATAAAAATCATGCTGTGCATTTTAATACCTGGAAAAAAATTACATATTGAAAATCTATGTCACTTATTAGCTAATCCATTTGAACAGGTACAATAAGTGAGGGGGGTCGGAGGGGTCCTGATCCCGAAATCCCGGGCTTAAAAACATGAAATCCCGAGGTCCCGAATTTAATGAAATTTAAATCCCGACATCCCGAAATTCGAAAAAAGAATACCCGGATCCCGAAAGGATCAATCCCGAAATCCCGAGCTTAAAAACACCCGATCACAGAGTCCCGATAAAGGTCCTACCCCCCATCATAAGTGTTGTGATTAAAAAATTAAAATGAATGTGAGAGTGATTATTAGCAAAACCTGTAAAAATACAAGTGAATAAAGTATTTATTACCCAAAGAACACATAATTATACATACAAACATATTTACCAATCTTTTTTTTTTTAAGTTGAATTCATTACTTGTAATTAAGAAATATGTGTAATTTATGAAATGCATGAAAAGTAGTACTAATTATGTTACTCACCATCAAACTGATACTGTATGATATTATTGAAGACTTCCAAGATGAAGAACACTAGATGGTGATTGGTAGGACTGGCATACAGAAACCATGGAGTACTAAATGCCTAGAAATCAAATCAAATAATTTAGTTAGATCACTCAGTGGGGACAATCAAAGTGCTTGTGAGCACTGAGGGTAAAGATTGCTTTCATTTTCACTTAAAATTAAACATATCATTGTATTAAACAAAGATTTGTATAGCTTTAAACAAAGAAATGTTATTAAGGATGTTCGCTCCTCTTGTTTTTGAATTTTTGTCAGATATTCGGAATTCTCTGGTTTTATCCATGTATTGATAATAAATATTTTGCCCTCTAACCCCTACTTTTCTTTTCATAGTTTTATTACATATAGTTTAAAAGGCCACTTTTGAAAATCTATTACAATCCTTGTTATTTTTTCATAGTTTTTGAGAGAAAAAAGGAACCAATGTTAAACGAATGAAAAGTCTAGAGAGAATCATTTCCCGCCAAATTTTCAAATGACTATATTTCAAAAACAAGGACACGGATCTGTCATTTTTTTCTGCTTTTTAAGTACTGTTATTTATAAACTAACAATTTATAATAGTCTTTTAAAAAGCTTGTTATGTTGAAACAGAGAAGCAAACATTCTTAAGCAAAAGAATAAAATTACAATTTACCATTTTCATTTATTTTCAAGTATCCAGTAATGAAATATACTTAAAACAAATACTAACACAACACCCCCCTCTTAATCATTATACCTTTCAAAACTTTACTGTAAAAGATATAAATATAATTGTATGTATTAGAATAATCATTACCTCTAATAAATGTAATAATTTTGTACTGGCAACCATTGATAAGGTTTTCAGGTAAGGAGATACTGAAATAAACAGATGTAAATATATTGATGAGAACATTCAAACTTGTGGTTAAAAAAAGCAATAAAACATACTGACCTAAGTAAACCTGAAAAATGTCCATTTAATTTCCAAGGCTATTAAAAAACCTGATTAAATTTCCAGTATGTAACAACATTTTTTTAAAATGAACTAATTTAATCACACTGTAAATTTCAAAATAAGTGACAGGTGAAAGTACTCTGAATATGTATTATTCTGAACTCTAATAGACTTAACAGTATATTCTCCTTACCATTTACAATGATAGTTAACAGACAATCAAACAGAGGCTGTAACCTTTGGTGACCTGTGGTAATTATCTTATGGAACACCTGGAAAACAAAATTATTTCATTACATGGATAATACAGCTTTATTATATTACTGACACTCAAGTCCAAATAAAATTCAGAAATAAATTGTTACCGTTGCTCACCCATACTTTGAACTCTAGAATGTCATTTATATTTCAAGCATTTCCATTTGTATATATGTGCATTTCTGAAGGGATGATTATTATCTGATAAAATGTAATGATAAAAAATATTTTGTGAAAATTTATCAATACAAATCTATTTGAATGGTAATGTATATGATGTTTACTGGATAGCAAATCAATTAATTTACATTTAGGACATAAATATTATAAGCACAAATGAATAATTCAAAAGCAAAGGTCCAATCCCTGTCCTTTTTTGCTAGCAATGTGGATGAAAAAGGCAGATCCAGGTTTACAAAGCAAGAACCCAGATCCTAAGAGTATCATAGTATCTTTAATGTTAAAATGGACAGCATAACATAATATAATGAGGATTACCAATTTGAAAGAGTACTCATGCTGAAATGTCTAGCCTGCTTAACTTACTGTGATTGAACTTATGTTTTATGAAATTTCTACTACAAGTATCACAAACTTAACATTATTCATAGAAATGATGTATAGGTCTAGTCAGAGGCCAGACAGACATTTACACCTTACAATCATATCATACACCAAATATAGTAAGCCTATTGTCTTAACCTTATATCATCTGAGAAATAGACCTAATTAGGAAAACTGAACATTGACCAATTAACCATGGAAATTAGGTCACTGTCAAATGAAACCTGCCAGTCGGACATGTACACCTTACAATAGTTCTATACACCAAATATAGTTGACCTTTTGCTTATGGTATCTGAGATGCAGACTTGACTACAAAAACTTAACCTGATCACTGATCTATGAAATGAGAAAGAGGTCAGGTGAATCCTGTCTGATAGACATGTAGACCTTGCAAGGATCCCATATACCAACATATTTATTCTATTTCTCATAATAAGTGAGTATGTCACATGACAAAAAAAAAACAATATTTTTTTTCAAACAATCACTTAACCATGAAAATGAGGTCAAGGACAAATTACATATCACAGACAGAAACCTCATAACGTAAGGCAACTACATACAATGTATAAAGCATCCAGGTCTCTTAGCTTCTGAAATATTAAAGAACCTTTGTGAGCACAATCACATACCCCACGCCCCCACATTGTCAGTGGGCAAACAAAATCTCACTAGATTCCTAAGTTCAAAGACTCACAACTCCTCCAAAAGTCAACTGATCATAATTTCTTGTGGATATGCACATCTACATATTATGTCTTTATTATCTACAAAGATAAATGAAATTCTGTTGTTTGCTTTCAGAGGAGTTGCGATGGCAAACTGTTGCAGTAGTATATTAAGGCCAAAATTCTGAGTTCAAAGGGACATAACTCCTAGAAAAAAATTAAATCACAATTTCCTGTTGATATGCACATCTACATAGTATGTTAATATTATCTACAAAGTTTCAGGAATTCTGTTGTGCGGTTTCAGAAGAGTTGCGATGACGAACTGTTGCAATACATGTAGTATATTTAGGCAAAAATTCTAAGTTCAAAGGGGCAAGATTTCTAGAAAAAAAAATAGAATCATAATTTCCTGTCGATATGCACATCTACATCGTATGTCCTTATTATCTACAAAGTTTCAGGAATTCTGTTGTGTGGTTTCAGAGGAGTTGCAATGACAAACTGTTGCAGTAGTATATCAAGACCAAAATTTTGAGTTCAAAGGGGCATAACTCCTAGAAAAAAAAATAGAATCATAATTTCCTGTCGATATGCACATCTACACAGTATGTCCTTATTATCTACAAAAGTTTCAGGAAATTCTGTTGTGGTTTTCAGAGGATTTGCGATGACAAGAACAGGTCACGGGCAGACTGAAGGACGGATGAGGTTCATTTACTTTTATTACAATTGTTTCGCGTCACTGGATACATCTGCCTGATAGTTCATATGAATGTAGGTGATTTAGTTTCCTAAAACTGAACTGAGGAAAAGCCAAACAATTGGTAACTTTTGTCTTAAGAGACAAGATCATTTTCTATAAAACTAGAGGCTCTAAAGAGCCTGTGTCGCTCACCTTGGTCTATGTGCATATTAAACAAAGGACACAGATGGATTCATGACAAAATTGTGTTTTGGTGATTGTGATGTGTTTGTAGATCTTACTTTACTGAACATTCTTGCTGCTTACAATTATCTCTATCTATAATGAACTTGGCCCAGTAGTTACAGTGAAAAATATTTTGTAAAAATTTACAAAAATTTACAAAATTTATGAAAATTGTAAAAAATTGACTATAAAGGGCAATAACTCCTTAAGGGGTCAATTGATAATTTTGGTCATGTTGACTTATTTGTAGATCTTACTTTGCTGTACATTATTGCTGTTTACAGTTTATCTCTATCTATAATAATATTCAAGATAATAACCAAAAGCTGCAAAATTTTCTTAAAATTACCAATTCAAGGGCAGCAACCCAACAACGTGTTGCCTGATTGGTCTGAAAATTTCAGTGCAGATAGATCTTGACCTGATAAACAATTTTACCCCATGTCAGATTTGCTCTAAATGCTTTGGTTTCAGAGATATAAGCCAAAATCTACATTTTACCCCTATGTTCTTTTTTTAGCCATGGCGGCCATCTTGGTTGGTTGGCCGAGTCACCAGACACATTTTTTAAACTAGATACCCCAATGATGATTGTGGCCAAGTTTGGTTTAATTTGGCCAAGTAGTTTCAGAGGAGAAGAATTTTGTAAAAGTTAACAACGACGGACGACGGACGCCAAGTGATGAGAAAAGCTCACTTGGCCCTTTGGGCCAGGTGAGCTAAAAAGGATCTTTACACTAAATTATATGGCTTTATGTCTGTACCATCAAAACTGGTAGTAGATGTAGTCCTCAAACTCTTGAAGAGGAGAGGAGAGGAGAGGAATTTGTAAAAGTGAAAATTCACTTGTTTTCCAATCCTAATAAAACTGTCATATTGTAATGTTTCTGTTAATATTTTCGCACAAAACTATTGTTCACACTAAACTCTTGAATGAATGCAGAAAGCACTCCAATATTTTCCTCAACTTGAGGCAAACTAAAACAAAAATTCCTAAAGGGGCCCCTGGAATCTCTCTTTAATCTGCCATATTGAATGTAAGAATCTATTACTAGATCTTACATAATTACATCTGTATGCTTGTTGCAGGAAACTAACATGCTATGTACATATCTTTATAAATATATAATAAGCAATAGAACTCCTCCAAAATTCAAGAAATAAAACTTAAGATAGCACTAAGAACCTGAATTGATTTTCTATGGTAATTTCTAATGGTTCGATATTATAAGTATCTTAAAAAATAAAATTATGCAAATTCATGCAAAAGATATGATTTATACTTAGAATAAAAAATTCCACACCATGTGGGCTGTTCCATCAATTAGCTTTATTAAAATGTTGTAAATCTAAACAAGTGATGTATTGCTTGAAGAAGAGCCATGCAAAAAATCAACAAAAGTATGTAATGAATAGGAAAAACAGCTCAAAGGAAGAAATCAGGAACAGCCCAAAATAAAAGGCATTGTTAGTTTTCTCAAAATAAACCAAACGAGTTGTCCTTTTTTCAAATCGCTCAATGAAACTGATGACCAGATATATGAAAGCTGTCAATATCCATTGTACTGAAGTACTCAAATAACTCTATCCTTTTTAACCAATGGTCTAATCCGTTGTACAATAAGACACATGACCTTGAAAGAGGTACTACTTAAAATTGAAGATCAGCTGGCAAAGCATATATTTTACAATAAAGTATGAATGAAATCATTAATTATCTATAGATGTCAATAATACACACAATAATGTGAAACGTAACAAACGTTGTGCAATGAAGAAATGGAAGGTCAGGTTGTCATAATGTTGCAGAAATTGTTATTTTATCATATATGAGAACTGAAGCTATTGAACAGTGTTAGTAAACAAACATGGGTTTTTCAGATATAGACTAAAAGATCTAACCATTCACACCAGAATAAAATATAGGTCAATGGGTCCCAAATGTTACTGAATAGTGTTGTATGGGGGTAAAAAAATTGAAGTAAATTTCAGTACCATAGATTTTAAAATAGAATTTAAAGTAACTGAAATGTGAAATCTAGGTCACAGTGACTATATTGTGCTACATAAAGAAGTTAATTTATTAAAATATCATCGAAATATCCTCATGAGTTCACATTAAATTAATTTAAAAGCAAAACAAAAATTCAGTCACTCAGGCATATAATGTAGGTGAAGATGACTTAAATGTTGATCAATGTAGTACTACTTAAGAGAATTACATTGATAAAATATATACGATATCTATCTGTTAAAAAGTTTGTTTTCTGATAAAATGAAATTAAACACATGACATACTTTTTTTTGTTGAAAAGACATAACACAAATTTCAGGACATCAAGAATAAAGATTATTTGTAGTTTTGATTTTAGAAAAGGAGAAAACCCCAGAACAACTTCAAGAAACAGCAATTTTCACTGAAGGAAAACAATTATCTATACCATGTTGTCTATCAGTAATTATTTTTTCCCCCTTTCATCCAACTCCAAATACTAGAGTTGAAAGCCTTTTCTATTTTTAATGAAGTGTAATTTGTCTCTTATTATAGATTAACTGAATTATGAAAAATAATGAAGAGTTTTTTTTTTTAAAGATAAAGCTGGGTACTAAAAGACAGAATCTACAACTCATAATACACTTTAAGGCAAAGTATACATAATTTGGTAATATTTTGGATATCCACAATATTAGCAAATTACATATACTTTTCCATCAGAAATAAATAAAAGAAAACAAGAAATATATAAATGCATTTGTACTGTTCAATTGTGAGTACAGAAAAAAAGTATTGTTATTATATTGACTATCGTAGTTCTTCTTCTTTTATATGGAACAGCCCTTTTAAAAGAGGAAAAGAAAATTCTGACCATTTATTAGTAAAATCAACAAAAGAAGCAACCTCCCCAAGAAACGCTGCTAGAGAATTAAATTTTACATATTACTTAACTCATAAACAAACTGTAAAATATGTGAAAAAAATGTCATCAAAAATTTAAGAACAAACTTTGGTTAATTAATATATGATGTAAACAATACATATATCTTCAGGGCTATTCCATTCCATTGACAAGTATATGAGTTCTATTCCACCAGGTTTTACATATGCATATGATAATGAAATCACAATCATTTTCTGTAATTATTTATAAGACATTGTAATTTTATTGTACAATTGCTCCACCTAGAATCAGAAAGATGGCGATACTTGGTTGAAAAACCTAAATAAAATTTTCTTATCATCTGCTGATGGTAAAAACTAATTAAAATTAAAGAACCTTAGTGAGCGCGCTCACATACCCCACGTCCTCTCATTGTCATTGGAGAAATAAAATATGTGTAAGAAAAAAAAATTGAATCATAATTTCCTGTCAATATGCACATCTACATAGTATGTCCTTATTATCTACAAAGTTTCATGAAATTATGTTGTGTGGTTTCAGAGGAGTTGCGATGAAAAACTGTTGCAGAAGACATTGAAGCAAATAAGTTCAAAGGGGCGTAACTCCTAGAAAAAAATATTGAATCATAATTTCCTGTCGATATGCACATCTACATAGTATGACCTTATTATCTACAAAGTTTCATGAAATTCTGTTGTGTGGTTTCAGAGGAGTTGTGATGACAAACTGTTGCAGTAGTACATTGAAGCAAATAATTTCAAAGGGGTGTAACTCCTAGAAAAAAAATTGAACCGTAATTTCCTGTCGATATGCACATCTACATAGTATGACCTTAATATCTAAAAAGGTTTCATGAAATTCTGTTGTGTGGTATCAGAGGAGTTGCGATGACAAACTGTTGCAGTAGTACATTGAAGCAAATAATTTCAAAGGGGTGTAACTCCTAGAAAAAAAATTGAACCGTAATTTCCTGTCGATATGCACATCTACATAGTATGACCTTAATATCTAAAAAGGTTTCATGAAATTCTGTTGTGTGGTATCAGAGGAGTTGCGATGACAAACTGTTGCAGTAGTACATTAAAGTAAATAAGTTCAAAGGGGCGTAACTCCTAGAAAAAAAATTGAACCGTAATTTCCTGTCGATATGCACATCTACATAGTATGACCTTAATATCTAAAAAAGGTTTCATGAAATTCTGTTGTGTGGTATCAGAGGAGTTGCGATGACAAACTGTTGCAGTAGTACATTAAAGTAAATAAGTTCAAAGGGGCGTAACTCCTAGAAAAAAAATTGAACCGTAATTTCCTGTCGATATGCACATCTACATAGTATGTCCTTATTATCTAAAAAGGTTTCATGAAATTCTGTTGTGTGGTATCAGAGGAGTTGCGATGACAAACTGTTGCATAGTACATTGAAGCAAATAAGTTCAAAGGGGCGTAACTCCTAGAAAAAAAATTGAACCGTAATTTCCTGTCCATATGCACATCTACATAGTATGTCCTTATTATCTAAAATGGTTTCATGAAATTCTGTTGTGTGGTATCAGAGGAGTTGCGATGACAAACTGTTGCAGTAGTACATTAAAGTAAATAAGTTCAAAGGGGCGTAACTCCTAAAAAAAAAATTGAACCGTAATTTCCTGTCGATATGCACATCTACATAGTATGTCCTTATTATCTAAAAAGGTTTCATGAAATTCTGTTGTGTGGTATCAGAGGAGTTGTGATGACAAACTGTTGCAGTAGTACATTAAAGTAAATAAGTTCAAAGGGGCGTAACTCCTAGAAAAATAATTGAATCGCAATTTCCTGTCGATATGCACAACTACATAGTATGTCCTTATTATCTAAAAAGGTTTCGTGAAATTCTGTTGTGTGGTTTGAGAGGAGTTGCGATGACAAGAAACAGGACTGACGGACTGACGGACTGACAGACGGACGGGTCAAAAACATTATACCCTCCGCAACTCGTTGCGTGGGGTATAAATACTTGTACTTCTTAAATTAGGCCACATCATTAGATTAAGTAGACATTTTCTTCTCTTTTACCTTGGTAGATTTTAAAATGTTTTGTGATTCTTTGAAGTGCAAACTAGTGGATTTATGGGTTAAGTTCCTAAGTTGAGCATTAATTCTACTTCAAACGAAACGTCTTCAATCCCTAAACTGACAATCACATTACAATTTCAATAGGACAGAATATACAACTCAAAAGGACTTGAAGTTTTGGTAAGACAATTTTTCTACAGAGGACTTTAACCAATCAAGAATAACTTATCTTTACCACTACCCGGTACATTCATTCATATTTGATAATGTGAGTTTATCATTGTAAAACATGATCTGATTGGATGTCCATTCTCTATAAAAAAATAAAACATTAAAGTGTGCTATATCCGACAACCATAATAAAGATTTCGATATTATAATTAAAGTTCTAAAAAGTTCATTATATGTTATCCATTAGTACTTACAATTATAAGAAAGTCAGCATGTGTTCCAGTGAATACAGGTATATCCATTGGTACTCGTACAGTGTAGGGCTTGTTTAATCTAACACCAAAATTTCTCTCTCCACTCAGAAGTAACAAAATAAATACACCAATATGCATTAAACCAACTCGAGCTGTAAAAATAATACATTTAATGTTTTTGTTAATAACTACTATAGATGTTTGATTTCAAGGAGTCATGTTGTAAATTCCTGCTACCATTACTTGAGATTTTTAAAATTCTTTATTTCACAAGAAATAACAAGGCTGTTTACCCTTTGGCAGTGCTAGGGACATATGTGTCCAATGTAAGACCATGACAAAACAGTTTTTTTTCAAAATTAATTAAAGAATAACACTAACTTGAATACTACTTGTTACATATAACTTAGGATCATTTTACTTCAAAAGAATAATGGTATAGCGCCTTAATGACAGATATGACTCAGAGAGTGTAAGTAGATGATGTTTTCTGAAGTTCTTTCTACAACGTATAAAAAATACAGTGTACAACACGATGTTGATTCTAAAAAGAGTTGAGCACTTGGAAAAACAGATAATGGAGGCAAAATTAAATGATGACAGGTTGTATATTAAGAACAGACCATTGGACTACCAATTGTCAGAGAAAACTTTGATTGAGTCTTCTTGAAAGATGAGAAAATGTTTTTCTTTCATGAAAATTCTGTCATATTCATATTTATATTTATACTCAATACAAAGAAATAATCATAACACAAAAGTTTATTGGCATTGCAATGGAAAAGAAATGATTGAAATCACAAGATCATTATATGAGGGAGACAAAAAAAAAGTCTTCTTCTGAAAATTGCATGATAATGATATATTTATTTCAGAATTGACACCTTTTTTTACTCTACTGGCCTTTGCCACAAGATACATGCTATCTAAAGTGTTTTATCTTATGACAGAGGGAGTGAATATTTCAATATTCTATGAAAGATAACAATTCTTTATGATAAGAAATAAGGTACTTTCTCAAAGACACTATTTAGAAATTTGTAAGCTCTATTTCTATAAAAATGATTTAAACTGTCATCTTTAAAGATAACAAGTAAAACTAATATTTAACTGCAATGTGCTGGTGATGCAATTCAACTAAAAGCTCTGTTAGGCATTTAAAGTGCTAAAAAAGATGATACATTTACACTAGATGTGTGAGAACAATACAGATTCTTCTGTCTACAGCCTAATTCTGAAAAGTTGGTCAACTAAAACTTGATCTGTAGGTCATCATGACAAAAAATGTACCAAAAATCTGCTACAGAACTGAAGGCATAACAAAAAAGTCCTGACAAGTACAATTTTTCTGTCTAAGGGACATATTTCTGTGAAAATCAATTATTCAGAATAGAAAGGATACTTGATCTGTTAGTCATCATTAAACACATAAATGTTGGACAACTGTTTGATTACAGGAGGGCCAAATGATGAAATGACACAATGACAAGCAAGGGTAACACTATGTGCCCTTGTCAATAAGTGGTTGAGGTTTAAAAAAAAGTATTAGTTTATATATGTGTATATATGTGAAGCCAAAAAATCAGCTGATCTTGATCTTGATATATGAAGATCTGTTAAAATTGGCACATCAGTACTTTAATATATTTAATGAATATGTATGTAATGGGCACTGAAAAAATCATAATTTATTCAAATTGGGGAAACAAATTTTCTCAATTTTTTTCTGTACTCTCTTAATTATTACTGTTGAAATAATAAATAATTTAACATAGAAATTAGATGTTAAAGCAAATATAATTATATGTTGGCAATGTAAAAAGACCAACAATATTATAAAAAAAGCCTACATTAAGCATGCATCAAAATAATACAGTCAAACCTGTATTAAGCAGTCACTCATGGGAAGTATCAAAAGTGACACCTCAAGAGAAGTGACTTTTTATAAGAGGTTCAGAACAATTTGGATTCCAACATCGCCTGAGGCTGGGAGGGTGGCAAATTGTTACAGTGTTTTCAATCAGTAGAGTTATAATTCTTGTGAGTAGTGAAATAAAAAATGGTGGATTCCTGTGTTGTAAATTTGATTGATTGATTGATTGATTGGTGTTTTAATGTCACTTTCAACACTTTTCTACTATTTCGTGTCAATCAGTTTTTATTGGTGGAGGAAGCCTGAGTGCACAGAGAGAACCACCAAACTTTGGTAGGAAAACTGACAATCCTTGTCACTTCAGATTGGATTTGAGCGCACCTGCCACCTACGGGATTTGAATTTGAATTTCAGTGTTGACAGGTTAGTGAAACAGACCACTCAGCCACAAGGCCCCTTGGTAAATTTGAAGAAAACATTTGAAATATGGTAATATTTGTGGAGAAATAAGTTGGTTTTAAACAGAAACTGCAAGGAGTGGAATAGGAAGAATTCATGAATTCACCTCCTATTGCATGAACTCGGTTACAAACGAGTTCGGATTCTCAATTTGACTTCTATACTGAACACTTATATTTTTTAATCTTGATTATATTGGTTGTTAAAAACATTAAAATGACTGTTGTCGAAAGTTGAAATGACAATTTCGTGCGAAAAATTAGGTGACCACTGAAAAGAGTTAAATAACAGAGAAAATGTTTGGGTTTGTCTGAAAGTGACCGTCAGAGGCAGGTGACTGCTGAAAAGAGGTGACTGTTTAGGCAGGTTTGACTGCATGTGCTTACTGAGATCAGTAGGTTCAACTAGTCAATAAAATTATCATTACCTGAATCTGAAAACATAAAGCATTGGAGGTACAATTTGAATGTATAAAATTTAGTGGCTAATTCCTTATTCTATCTAAGACAGAACTCACTATTCTGTAATAACATTCCCAACAAAAATGTTGCATAAAGCAAACAAATAACTTATACAAATATAAACAATGACTAAAACAAAAATATCTACCAAAGTGAAACACCAAAATATACAATGCGAAAACCTCGGAACATAAACTTTAATAAACATCTTACAATGGAAATCTACTTACATTGATCGGCACGTGCATCATTAAGGAAATAGAGTATTGGTACTAGTACATCTAATACATCACTACTCTTTAGAACAAAAAACATGAATTTCTGCAAATATACAAACACAATATGTTACTTTGGTTTGACAATAGAGAAAACCTGTATTATTGATATCTTCAGTCTCCATCACAAACAATAATAAGGTCAGTTGACATGCTCAAGACTTCAGGAATAGGTAATGCATATATAATTTTAAAATGAGTTTTCTCTATTTCTTTGATAATTTTTACTAATTTTTAACCTGTTATTTTGATTTTTATATAAAAACAAGTAATCTGCTTTTTCTCAGATCATTTGATTATGACATCAAATATCTTTGGAATTCTTTAGTTAGTCATTGTGACATCATAACAAGAAGGAACACTATTTTCAAAGATCATCATTCAAAACATTGAAGTACAATACTACTTTATGCTGTATAATAGCAGACTAGCTGCTTCTTTATTTTATGAAGTTTTATTAGGTGCAAATTCGTCTTCAAGTTTTGTTAACTTAATACAAAGTTATCTTGTGTTTTTCTAAAGAAGAGCTATAGTATAATGCACAATTTTTACCTTATTTATATCACACATTTTCCAGAACATTACTAATAGTTCCTGATGAAACTGTATTTTCTTTGTAGAACCAGGTAGATAAGTCTGTGCCAGTGGATTATTTAACAACCTTGTTATGCCTCTCAATATAAAATGGAAATCCTGAAAACAAAGGTAATAACATGTATGTTAAAGCTCCACTACACTACATTGATAAAGTTCTCAATGAGTAGATTTTGTCTTTTTTTACATTTACAATGCAAATATTAGAGTAAAACAATATACTGCAAATTCATTACTATTTGTGAGATACCAATTTTTAAGGATTTCGTGACCACCAATTCAAATGTTCAAAAAAGTACAAAAGTAAAATAACAGAAAAACGGAACTCCAAGGGAAATTCAAAACCAAATTTTCTACAGGCTGGTGTGCAGACTTTGGCAAAACCATAAAATCAAATATACACTAAAGTACAATTGTTCATCAATCCAAGAAAATAGTTACCAACAAAAATAGTGAATCCACAGAATAAGATTTGACTATGTTCAAGTAATGCCTTAAAATGTCACTTAAACATCTTCATGTGGATAACCAATTTCTTACATAAATTCATATTAATTTATTAAACTTCATGTGGATAACCAATTTCTTAAATAAATTCATATTAATTTATTAAACTTCATGTGGATGACCAATTACCCTTAAAGGGAAAGTCCGCGATTTTTTACTTATCATCTAAATATGTTCATCTTAACATAAAAAACACATTCACAAAGTTTTAAATTTATATTCTTTCTAATAACGGAGAAAATCAAGTATTTGTAACTTTTTTAGTTGACCTACGTCACTGGGTTGTGACGTTTTAACCCGATTTGTTGAATCATGGGAAAAAATAAAATCTGTTAAAGTCTTAATTGCTTATCAGAATTTTACGTAATTAAAAGCGCACCGATGACCGTTGGTCGTAGTTAATAACCACAATATAAGAATGAAAGAAAATGAATATGTGTGTACCGTTTTGTATTGATTGAATAAAACTTCCTATATGAAGTTATCTAAATATAAATATTTTCGAATTAATTTCATAAATTATTGAGATTTTTTCATAAAATATCTATAGAACATTTTTACTGATATTGAACTGAAAATATTTTAAGTTTTATTTACCGTTATAACTTTGATAACCATTTCAATGCAAAATATTTGTGAACAGAGTGTGTCTATTATTTTGTAAAGTCATTGTTTATTTCTCGATTTGAGGAGAATTCGTTTGAACTTTACCTTGCAGCAATTTAGCCTCAGGCGTACACAGGTGTGAATTCAAGCATACACAGGTGTTAATATTGTCATTTTGAATGGATTAACAGAAAGAGTATAGCGTGTTTAATATATCCAGATGAAATACCCGATGACAATAGAGAAACAATAATTAAATTGTATAAATAAATTGAAAATTAACATTCAACTTTTTAATTCCGGAAGTGTTACAATATTAAAATGGAACAATTTTCGGTTACGTTCTATGCAATTAGCATAAAGTTAAGATATGAAGTTAAAAAGAATAGTACTTTTAATCTTAAAAATTAAATGTTACATTTTCCAATTAATAATCATTGCACATCTGTTTAATTTACTTTACCGGAATTCTTTAACTTGTATTTAAATCTGGCGATGTTTAAATGCTAACAATCGTAAAACTATCGCAATTTTAAAGTTTTTACTTGAAAAAATACAACAGTACAACATGCATGATTTTTTTAAATTTTCTTATTAACATTTCATTCTTACATAATTAAATTCATTTGACAATCACTTAGACAAATTATTTGAGAAAAGAATACCAATTATCGTTTATTTCATTAATGAATATACATACATTATAAATCTAAGCTAATACATTAATTTGTTTGAGGATTTTTTTTAGGATAGCAGTCATTAATCCAAATTAGTAATACAGTTGTTGTAATTAAAGGCATATCTTAGTAATGTATTACTGATATTGACGATTTTAGAACAGTTCGTCCCAACCTCGTTGTTCTTGAAACAATCTTTACTAGTATACTTGTAAGTTTCCTGACGTATAAGCGCCATTGAGGATGAGCTCCAGAGATAGCAGACTAGTAGCGTATTTGTTTGTTGGGGCAGGAGAGGCCATGCAACCACTTGTACAGATAAACAATCTTATGTTGTCAACACTATCAGAAAGAGTTCCCATCGTCGGATGGGGTATATGAAGGTTCCAAGAATGAACTATTGACATGTCTGACTCTGAACAGTTAGTAAACGGACTTAACAATGATCTATAGACATCGACCGCTTGTTCTTGATATTTGAAACTGCATGCATATATACGTTTATGAGAGTGATTATTCATCTGGTGTCTGACGAAAACTAAATGCCTGCATGGTTATATCTTGCCATACGTTTGTATTGGTTTGGTGGGTGTTCACTCAAAATCGTAATTCAAAAATTGTGTTTGTGAGATGTAGATTCACTTCAATACCGAATTTCTTCTATATATTTCACAAGTGTATACCACGGAGAAGATCTGAAGGTATATTACTCCCATTTTGTTTGGGTGTGAACCATCGATGTGTACAGCAATATTTAATGAATAAGATGATGATGGTACAATGTAGAAAGAACTATGAGCGTCATGTGGCAAATATTACATGCATGTCGGACCATGAGTTGTCAATCTGTATGAAAAGATTTCCAATACAACCATATTGAGTAGGAATTTTTACATGCTATACTCTCGTACTAGTATTACAGGGTTCTTGTGTCGTTTAACTCAGACACACATCTTTTACTTTAAGATGTATGCAAGGTTCTAAATATATATATATATATATATATCTTAAATGTAACAATAATCAAACGCCTATAGGCAATCACTAAAATGGTATGAAGTTTTTATACAGACTTATTCTTATTTACACAATCATTAACAAACTAAATAAATTTAACAAAGTAACACCGTGACACTACGATATAACAAATGGGATAATAATTATTTTAACCATGCTATGCAGAAACTTAACACATCAAGCAGGAACATATGTATTAATATACTGTTCCCAGCATCAAGTTAGTGCACGTGAATACCAATTAGGAACACGATGTGTGATTTTGTATAACTAAAAATATCAAAGCGAGCAATAACTTTGTCAAGCAAACATTTTTTTTCACTATGCCTCTCTTTATCTCCGCTCCTTTACAATAACTATTTCGCTTTTCGTCGATCATTCTCTATATTGTTCTCTATTCGGTTATTTTTTTTTCACTATGCCACTCTATCTCCGCTCCTTTTCCCCCTGTCGTCCTAATCCTTATAAAGATATGGACATTAGACATAGAATCGGCTCTCTTATCTTCAATGAATTAATATTGATAGTGACTATAAGTGCTGCATTACTTTATATATCTGCATGTTTGCCAATCGACAAAAGCTTGTATTGCGTGAAGAATTTTTTTTCTTCAAAAATATCGTCCAGAATCATGACAAAACAATATTCATTTCACAAAAATGTTCAAAGGTCATGTTTATATTTTTTTTTAAACTTATTATCAGCAAAAATAGTGGATACTATTATTATCAGAACATCATTCATTAAAAGGTGGAATTATAATTTCAAACACACACAAGATAAACAACGTTAGACACAAATATATGGTTCAATAAATGTTACCTGTGCACACCGGGTACCTCAATAAAGAGGCCATGCATGAACCTGTATTATATAATTGTGTAATACGAATTTTTAGTTGACAGGATGTCACTGGAATACCCAGGGACGTGAATCTAATATACGTCCTTGGAATACCTAACTGAATGTGTCGCTCTGACACGACATCTATCAATAATTCTGACATACCTATTATCAATTCGGGAGGAAGCCAAAATATATATATAATAAGATAACGTAAATAAAATTTAAAAAGAAAAAAAAATATAAATTTTTCACCGAACATACAAGATAGAGTCACAGATTTAACTGTAAAGCTTAGTGTCTTTATAAGTGACCGTTCCGAATTGATCCCGTATCAATTTGATATAATTTAAAGATTAGTTAAAAAAAAAAACACTTTTAATAAAAAAAATTGAGATGTCCGATATTTCGATATTTACATATCTATAACCTGGGAATATTATACTATATCAACATATTATGTCCCAGCTAAAACCTCTTCCTAACATTGCTCCTTGTCAATAGCCGTTAAATATCATAATTAAAAATGTTATTTTATATCGTATAACTTTATTAATTGAAAAATTATCTTGTCTAAATACGGAACTATTCTTTATACAAATCAATGCACTTTATATAAAAGAGGCATACTAATGAATCTTCTGTAAATCAGTGATTGTTACAAGAACACTGCATTTGTCTTTCTTATAATTGAAACTGTTCTTCCTCATCAAATCTTTATTTTTTTTATTCAACGAGATCTTATCATATAAGGATTTGATAACTATAGCTATCAGAACTGCTAGGTTATTTTGTTATTAAAAAAGGATAATTACCATCAAATCTCCCTCGAAACAATATTGTTCAAAATGGTCTTCACACACCAACTTGTGCTTGCTATAGATGCAACTATTTTAAGGTTGTACAACCATGTCTGATACAATTCTTTCTTTTTTTTGTGGGATTGGGAAAACTATGTAGACTTTTGTCATAACCTTGTCTGATAGAACAACCGTACGCTTGACAAGACATTTTGACACTGAATAACCGTCTACGATAATCCCCAATTGATGATGGGAGTTTTTTAACGCACGGTCGGTAAATCCCCGATTCTTTTTGTTCTTTGTGGTTTATAGATATCACGTGACTTTTTAGATCGAACATGCCGACAAGATGGCGATATGTCGAGAACTGATAGTGAATTTCAAAAATCGATTTTGATCTCTTTACATAGAGAATAAAAGTTTTTTATTTATGAACATGTGGTTTTTTATGCTTAAAGAACAAAATATCAATTTTTCATTTTTTTGCGGAGTTTCCCTTTAAATAAATTTGTAGTATTTTTAAGTTAACAAATTCGAAGGAAAAAAAGGAAAGTTGGAACATTTGACCATTACCATAATATCACAGGGAAAATAACGTTAATTTAATTTGTACAATTTATTTTGGTTGGATATCATTCTATCAGTTTCAACATATTGCCTTATTTATACAGCAATTTGTTGACTAAAAGTTCTATCCAAGTACTTTGATATATAGGAAATATCAATATACATTGACATTTGTCAAACCTGGAAAATCCCATCTTTAAATATCCAAATACTTACTTCTTCTCTGTGTATCCTGGACAGGTAATTGACAAACAGATTATCTGGACCAGCAGCCTGAAATAGCCAAAAAAGATACATTTTTTTTTATTTCTATAAGCTATCAGTCCTCAACTTATCAACAGATTTTTATTTGTCATGAGTAATGGGTGCAACTAGTATAGCAGGAACTGTTCACAATTATGTGACACCCCAGTGTTTTTATGGGGTTGATGTTGCTTAATCTTTAGTTTTCTGTGCAATGATTCATCTTTCTTTTTTTTTTTGCCATGGTGTTGTTGGATTTTTTTTGGGATAATTTTTTGATTGCCACATGGCATATTCTTCATCTTTTTCTAATGTCAGATAAAATGTCAAAATATCTAACATTGATACAACAATACATCAAATGCTTACATAAACTCAACATGACATAGAATCAAATATTCTACTTAGGAATACATGATTACAAGGTAGACCAACTAAAGAAATATTTCAAAACAGTTAAAAAATTTTCCGAATTTACAAGAAATAAAAATATGATGCTTTATGAATGTATAATTTTTTAATTTCATTTTAAGAATGATGTCAAGAGTATTATGCTCTCCAAAACTCATTCTCAAAGTACAAGATAGACCCTACCCATTTTCAGTTTCATAACAAGACATACAGCATACATTTTTTTCATTAATAATTTATGAATATCAAGAGCAAAATTTACCTTTCTATACCTCACAGAGGCCACTGATAATATTAACTCAAAAAATGTCAATGATCATTTCCTTAATTCTTAGCTGATTTATACCTTCACAGATCAGTTAATTATTTTATTTATAATCAATGTGTGGTTCGTTTCATCTCAGTTCTTCATTGGTCAAAATTAAAATATGATGTCAAATTTTCTTGCTTTCCTCTGAATTTGCTATTGTGACAACATGCAGAAAGGCAACCATACTGGATGACGTAACATAAAAAGAACACATATTTCTGCAAATCATTGGAAAACAAAGATAAGTGTTGTCAACATATTGTTTCATTAGAGAAACAAATTCCACCACAGTGTTATAAGAGCAATACTATATTCCTCCACTCTCAAAAGTTAAAATTTCAATATATTTAAAATACTCAGCAAAACTCTTGTTTTAAAGGACAAGGTACGATAAGCCCCCGTTTTGGCCCCCCTATTTTCTTATTTTTCAAATTTTATTTTGGAAAGCTACTTTTCATGTTAAAATATTCCCTGAGGTTTGAAGTTTGTTTGGATGAACTTCAAAACCATTAATTTCAGCAACTGGGTGAGGTGAGGTGAGTAAACTTTCCGTTATTATTCAGATATTGTAATTATTATTCACTTTGGTGGTGTTCCGTACAACGATTTTTTAGTTTTTAAGTGCCTGCGCCAATGTGACCCAGGATTTTTTTTATTACAATGTCATTATCACTGTTTTTGCTGTCTAGATCACCATAATTTTCTCCAGGTCACGTAGGCGCACGCTATTAAATTTTAAGAAACACAGGCCAAAAATCGTAATGTTTCCTACTTTTGGCGTTTTTGATGCCCTTTCACCCCCTCACCTATCCTAGTTGCTGAAATTAATGGTTTTGAAGTTCATCCAAACAAACTTCAAACCTAATGGAATATTTCAACATAATAAGTAGCTTTCCAAATCAAAATTTGAAAAATGAGAAAATAGGGGGGCCAAAACGGGGGCTTATCGTACCTTGTCCTTTGAAAACCTATGTGTCTCAATAAGAGTAATATCGTATCACACTCAATACAGTGGTAGATCTATATGTAACTTACATCTGGTTGTCCATTTTCCATAGCAGTTCCACCAGATGTTCCGTCCACAGATACATTCTGATTATTGGATGCTTCATTCTCCAACGTAACACATAAAACTTGCAGGGCTACTTCTACTAATGGTTCCCGAGAGTCTGTGAACATCAGATGATTATATGGTAGGCCATAGCCTACAGGGTCATATGAACATACTATGTTGAGTAAGGAAGTAAATAATGGTAGAGCATGTCTGAAACAAATAGGTAATCATATATCAAATGGTAGAGCATGTCTGAAACAAATAGGTAATCATATATCAAATGGTAGAGCATGTCTGAAACAAATAGGTAATCATATGTTAAATGGTAGAGCATGTCTGAAACAAATAGGTAATCATATATTAAATGGCTTTGCATGTCTGACTAAAACAATTGATGATGCATGAAATGGCACTGCATGTCTGAACAAGTAAAGCAAAAAAACTATTACATTTCATTTAAAATGAAAAAACAGCTTTCAGAACAAACCTTCAAGATGGATCTTAGAAGAGTATTTAACATGACTTAAAACTGCAAATTAAAATTTCTAAAACGCTATAGTGAAACAATATTCCTCGTTTATTTAGTGTTCTATGTTGGTAACTTGTTACAACTCCTCTTTATCTAAATATATTTTAGCCATTTCCATTCAGTAGTGTGCAAATTTCACCATTAGAAAATCAAAAACAAGATCCAAAGTCTTATCTTATATAACTTTTATACATTATAAAATAATAAGATATTATTTGTAGATGTGAAAGAAGTCTCAGTTCAGCATAAAGTTATTGCAAAAATCATCATTATACTGTTAATGGCCATACTTTATAACAAGCTTTTACTCTGTTAAGGCTCTAGAAAAGATGTGAATGAACTAGGTGTAACAAAACATCACAGGCCTCTACAATAACTTTTTTTTCAACTTGCCCAATAGGACAAGTACATACCAAAACTTACTTGTCCGAATGGAATTGTAACTTGTCCAAAAAAAAAAAACCCTTTATATTAACCTTTTTTGCATTTTAGGTTGATTCAATGAACAAAATGAATTAAAACAATACAACAGAATTTGATTTATATCTCTTGATTTCCTTTTCAAAAATATGAGTCCAGAACAACTGAATCTAGTCATGTCAAGTCACAGGACTTAGGTTCTAGTTTTCATCAATGTCAAAGTCTCATCAGACCACCGCTGATTCCAATAGCCAAGGTTCTAGTTTTCATCAATGCCAAAGTCTCATCAGACCACCGCTGATTCCAATAGACAAGACTGATTTCCGAGAATAGTATGCATTTTATCTGTTATAAAATATCTGACAAAGAACCAGTTATAAATTATCGATCGCAAGTAAACATGTCAAATCAATATTTGTTTTTATCTTCTTTTCTTGTTTTTTGTTTATTGCTTTGATCATCAAAGTTGGATTTAATTTATTTTCTACAGAATGATTTTACTTGTCCCATCGGACAAGCTTGATATGGCTTTTACTTGTCCGACCCGTTTTTCCTCTGGTACCGGACAATCAGACAAGCGTTATTGTCGAGCCCTGGACCACTAAAACCACAGATCCAACTCAAAAGTTAAAATATTTCCAAAAACTCATTAATGTTGGCAAAGTTTTGACATTTATTTTTCACAGGCGACAGACAGAAGCCTTTCAAAGTTATGTTTGTTCCCCATTTCTCTAATTATTCCTTTTGATTTATATTTGCTTAAAAAGTGCAATGAAATTTCATATATTGCATTCAACATTATGAGCTGAACATATCCATCTATCCAAATCATGTGCATTCTATGACATCATGACCTGAATATGATATTGAAATCAGTTATAATTTACTCCTGAACTTGATTCAGTCGTGTTAGAGACCTTCCTTAATTTAATATGGCATGTTTACAAGCCTTAACTATAAAACAAAATTATGCAAATCAATGCTTTATCCAGATACTTTGGTCCCTGATGGATAGTTTTCCGGTTGGCAATCATACCACATCTCCATATTTTTTATACTTATGATTGATAAATAAATTCTAAAACATTGTAAATTTTAAACAGTTACCTGTTATCTGTTGATGAGAAGTAATGAATCCATTGGTTAGGTGATGTGTGGGCATCAGCTGTAAAATAAACAAAATGTCAACATTTTCTATAGTACAATAAAAGTGAAGTGCTCTCAAATTTTTGTTATTTATATATTTCAAACTAGAAAAAGTCATTACAACCAAACTGAAAACAATTCTTTTCTGTTTCTGACCTCTGAAATAATGCACTGAACATTAATCATGCATCAATCAGTCTCAAATGCTGTATATGATTTCCAGGCCTGCAGACTCACAACATGATGGCCACTCCTATATGGCCATGTAAAATTTATTTTCTGGTTATCAGATAACTAAATATATTTCAAATTGTACCGGCACATGGGTTCATAATTTATGAATGTATTTGACAAGGTTTTCTAGATTGATGTCAGCATCAAGCATACCATGTGATTTTATCCCTATAAAGACAAACATTTTTTAGGATCAAGTGTTTCATCATATTGGCATGGTTATACCGTAATATTAACGGAAATGTTTCGTTATCTTATAAATTTTAAATTGAGGATGAAATAAGTTTACTACATTTTTTTGTTTGTACTGGAAAACATGTCAGAAATAAATAGCTGACATTACAAGGGCAATAATTAATCAGTGTTTAAAAACTAATGAATTGGAATTAACTCACTTCACCCACACGTAGGAACAAACACTTTATTAGTGGTTTGTTTTTTATAATGAATAGATACAGGATAGCAGCGGATTTTCTTCTAATGCAGTGGTTTCTGAGCACCAGATGTAATGTTTGGTATGTCATATAGTTTGCTAAAATAAAAAAGAATGGATGCAGGCACTTACCAACAGGAGGCAAGTACATAGTTTCTGAGAAACAAGTGAGTAGTAGTTTGATTATTTCTGTACGATTTTGATCATGAGTATGGTTATGCGTAGGGGAGTGAGCGAATCCAACACCAGCTTCCCATATATATTCACAACTGTCTATAGAAGTCATATCTTCTGGGTTGTCCTACAAATATAAAGAATATTGATTTATAACCAGGAATTATACTTGCACATGTATGCTGATTTCAGTCTAGATCATTGTCCTTTGATGGTTGTCACATTATCAATCACATCTTGCTTTCAAAATTAAGACAAGAATAAAAATATAACAGCCTTTTTGACTTACCGGTTCATTAAATGGCAATATTCTAAAATAAAGTTTAATCTTTTGTATCCTCAATTAGATTAGACACATTGAAAATAATGAAGCCATTGTAAAGATAAAGAAAAAACAATTCTCTTAAATCCACTCAAATACAAAGATGATTAAAAAAAATTCTGAAGTCCTCAATGTATTTTATCTACATTACAATATCAATATTAAAACTCATAATAATTATAGTCCATTTATGTATATAGGTCAAATATATTCAGACCCTTATGTGCATGTTCAAAAGCCCTCTTTTCCTCCATATCTTGCCAACAGACATACTTACAGGACCAGATTTTCTGTTTGACTGCACTGTAAAATCTGGACAAAACAACAGATCCTGTGTAGACAAAAAAAATAAGTAGTGGACAAGTTCCTAAAACATGAAATCTATTTCAGTTATAAATAATTTATTAATATATGTTCATAGATCTATTTCATACAGTTTGTATATGGATTTTCTTCAGTTTGGAAATGCAAGTTGAATAATTAATCAATGGATTTTAAAAATAAAAATTAAGAAAAAAAGATAAGTACTTAGTCCCTATTATGTATTTTCATGAGATTTTTGTATTTTTGTATAAGTACCAATTTTTCATATAGTATCATTTTATCTGACAAGATAACAGGGAAAATGACAGGAATTAAATACTTTTATATACTATAATTCCTTTACAAGACTTCGTTGTCTTACAAATTCTGATGAGTTACATGTATATCCATATTATTTCAAAGTGAAATTATGTCATTTAAAGAATTTGTGTGATTCATTATCAGGTCCGAGGACACAGTTATCTACCTTCAATTTTCGTTGTCCACAAATGTAGTTCCCTTTAATTTCAGTGTTTTTTTTCTTATTTTTTTTCTTTGTCTTTTTTTGGAATTTTTCATTATTTGTTTGCATTTAGGTGAAAGATAAGACTTCAAATATACTGTCTGGAAAAAATCTTTTTGAAATTTTCTGTAGAAATGAGTGATTTGGTCAGGTAAATAAAGGTGGAATTTCCTCTTCTCGGAAGCTCTCTGGCTTCATCCTTACCGGTGTCCTTATGTTTGGGGTTACCAGGAGAGAATGAGCTGGTAGACTTTTCTGAATTTTTGATATGTTTTGGGATAAAAGTCAAACTTTATGCACACCAAATCTTTTTAGAATAGAGCAGGTGGAATTTTTTTTAATTGCCATTATGTTTTAATAGACAAATAGGGGAAAATAACTGTGTTCTCGGGCCTAAGAGGCTGAAACCACTGTACCCCAAAATGGACATTTTGGTCCCCTGATTTGCACAATTTGCCTCAAAATTGAAATGTAAAGATATTTCATTGTTAATTTATAGTAAATAATTGGAAAATATTTTTAAATGCCAAAAAAAATCCTATTTTGCCATATTTTTGGATTGTTATTTATATGTTGAAACTTTTGGGGCAAATCTCAAAACAGGGGCTCATAATTTTTCTATTTTGAGCAAATTCCTACTCATTCTGATAAGAAATAGTTCTTAAAGTTTAAATGGAGGGATTTATTCAAAAATATTTAGCAAAATTACAAGAAAAATCTGCCCCTGGCCAAAATGGGCACTGTCTGATTTGGACAGGGACTTGTACGCCTAATGGCAAATATGGGGTGATAAATTTCAAGCATCCCAATGCCGGCGGGTGGAGACAAATACATGTGCACAGACTTGCGTACATGATAAGGCATCTAAATTTTCATTTACCTAATTTTGATGTCTCGCATCTGTGCCACAACTCAAAATGCATTAATGTTGATCATCTGGTGTTGGAGCCACACGGCTTCAACAACAGTAGAAAAACTTGCATTTCATGTGGCCATTGCTTGGGTCACCCAGCTCCATTGCCACCTTGCAAGTTGGACTTAAAGATGGCAAACAATAACCTTGGTATTATTCATGTTTTAGGATTTATAAATTAAATATTTACTTTATTTTATTTTATTGATGTAAACAACAATTTCAGATATCTTTTTGAAAGATTTGGGTGGTCCTTAAAAGGACCTTTGGTTGAGTTACTGTGTTGCTGGGTTGCTGTCTCATCTATGGTGCTGGTGGTAGTTTTCTCTTGCAGTAGGTACTATGGCTAAGTAAGGCAGGCACTGGGTCCAACTGCCCTTTTCTGTAGACATCGCGCTCTTTACTTTTTACCTTGGCCTCTCTATGTTCTACTATTTTTTCACCACTCTGTGTGAGACGTCTACGTTTAACTTCAGGTTTTTTTTCATACTCTTGCTTGTAGGTAAACTGTTTGTCCATACTGTCGAGGAACTTTAAACTGGAATCAGATAAATTAACCCCCAGATGTTCACACTTTTGCTTTGCTGAGGTTCCTGGCATGTTGTTGTTTCTGTGAATTCCAGATGCTAATCTGGCCTCCATGCCTCTTGAGAAGATTACATTCTTGGGTAAATTCACACTCAAGGATCTGTGCACAGCTTCATTCTTGTTTGTTGTGTTGTAAAGCTTCATACTACTTATCGCATCTTCACTAAGCTTCATTTTCAAGATCTCTTGCAGTAACAACTTGTCTTTTTCGTCCATTTGCAGGATAGTAATGTTATAGCAGCCAAGATACTTGGAGCGGGTCCACCAGTTGTAGCTCTCATCACCTGCACATACCACTGAGTGCTGTTTACACATGGAGCAGTCACCATCATAACACCTGATTGTCGCCTGCAGAGCCTTGGGTAAGTCTTTACATACGTCATCTGTATTTCTTTTGTACTGTTCCATTAGCTGTCCCACTATCATCGAACTCCTACATTTGACATCTTGACTAAAAGCCTTCTTCATTTCTTTCTTTATCTCTTTTGTACGCCCATAGAACATGCCTTCGCTGAACTGAGCTCTCAGGGATGCTCGGAACTGTGACTGGCCAAGGTGGACATAGTCAGCTAGCCTTTCGACCTTCCACATGGGATGTAGGGCTCTGGCTGCGTCATCTATCCCTTTGGCAGCCCGTCCGTCTCCATCTGTTGTGGCATTCTTTACAAGGATGTCTTGAAGTGCCAGCTGTGAACCAATTTCTTTACCCATCTGGTACTCTGACACTGGAGCTGCTCTGTATAAGTTTGCAGTGCAGTCTTCGTGGCCATTGGGACAATTAACATCGAAACCTTTCCCCCTCAGCCAGGCTCCTTTCCAGCACATCTGATTTTGGGCAAATGATGCAACAATATATTGCCTCTCTGTCATTGTCTCAATGGCAAGTGTGAAAGCTTGGGTGGCATTCAGTCCCGGTTTCTTGCGGCTGGTAATGGTCTGACTGTTGTACCTTCCGTCGACTGTAACATTAATCACATTTTCTGGTAGCCCCCTCTCTCGATTTACTGACTTAACAATCTCCAGTTTTTCTGACATGTCTGTCCTGTTAAGTTTTACTAGCTCCTTTCCAACATTATGTGACATTCTCTGCATGCTTGTTCTGGATGGAGGAGGACAGTTCATTCTAGCAAACAGCTCCTGGAACTTTGTACTACCAATGGGACAGTCATGTAGGACTGCAGCTACTGCAACATTGGGTGCTCCAGGGTTGGTACCAGGTTTATTGGTGACAACTTCTTTGTATAACTTTATAACTGGGCTCATGTAGGTGCAGTTCTTACATCTAAGGGTATATTTCCAGCAAACTCCCCATTTAACTTGTCTGTGTGCCAGTATTTCTGGATTTTTGCAGTACTTGAATTCTTTTGTGTGAGCCTTTATAACAATGTTCAGCATCTTCATCATCTCTTCATGATCGACGAACCTCATACCAGAAAGTGAACTCCAATCTTCTTCTTCTGTTTTCAGGTCATAGGATGATACCAGTAGCTGGGAACGAGTCTTTATGCCATCATTGTGTACAGCTGAAGTAGAAGTGATTGTAGGTTCATCTTTAATGTCCTTCTGTTCAACATTCATTTCAACAACAGGAGCATTATTGATATCTTGGTCTGGTGTAGTGGACAACTCTAGTACAGGGACAGGAACAGGAACATTCCATGGAATTCTGCCATTCTGGAATCTACACACAGGTGCAACTCTCCTTCTCTGCAGCCGTCCAGCTAAGCCTTTGTTGAATGGCCAGTAACCTTTTGGATACATGTTGAGACAAATATTTTGGTGGTGCAGTGTAAAGCGTCGAAAGAAACTTGCATGAAAGACCATAGAAGTGTTAGTTTTTATACTTTTTGTCATTATGTAACTTTTGATTCAGATTTTTAATTGGCTAAGTGATGCTGTCAATTAATTCTGTGGATTCTTTTGATCTATTTTTAGCTGCAGATTAAAGAAATGACCAACTCTGGCTTCAAAGGGTTTGGTCCAGTTCAAACAAAATTCCTTATTTTGGCCTTTATTTGTGAAATAAAAGTTCTTTTCCTATTCAGATTTTACAAACGTTAATTTTCCAAATTTTAGAAAGTTGTTTTGCCATTGAAAAGTGATTTTGTAATTTATTGTTAATTTTTTGGTTCTATTTTTGTTTGATTTTGAAAAAAAAAATTAATTCTAAAAATCTGTTGAATTTTTTACTTTTTTTAATTGAAATGAATTTTTGGCATCTTAACCTTTCCAAAACACTTTATTTCATCTCAAAATTGCAAAAAATAAGGATTTTACAGCATTTTAAAGTTTTTATGACATCTTGATTTTGCCTTTGGCAGATGGTGTAAAGGGGGTGTTGAATATACAGGTAAATAAGCCAAAAGTTTATTCAAGACCCCCATAAAGTTAAATTTTGTGTATTGTAGTATGACTATAGAATTTTTTAATGCAATTCTGAAAACTGTAGGTTGAGTTTTGAATTTTTCATTGATTTTTTTAAATATTCTGGTTTGGAATTTTCGTGATTTGAAATGAATTTAGAAAAATAACCTTAGTTACACAATAATGCGTTCTAATTTTGGAAAATTTTATCAATGATTAAATTTTATCAATGTTTCTACTTTAACAAACACTTTAGTTTTTCGTAAAAATTGCACTAATAAAAAAGTTATGAGCGTTTGAATAAAGAAGGTATTTTGAGGAAATTGAAAATTCCATACCAGAAAAATGATAAAATTTGGGTGTGAAGGTAGGGGTGCAAGAAATGCATTTGCTGGTGCATGTATTGTCTGATTGGTCTGAAATTTGGTATGTAGTCTTGATATATATTAAAGTTAATGTATGTAAAATTTTATTTCATTTGGACTACTGGAAGGGTCCTATTAGGTCCGAGGACACAGTTATCTACCTTCAATTTTCGTTGTCCACAAATGTAGTTCCCTTTAATTTCAGTGTTTTTTTTCTTATTTTTTTTCTTTGTCTTTTTTTGGAATTTTTCATTATTTGTTTGCATTTAGGTGAAAGATAAGACTTCAAATATACTGTCTGGAAAAAATCTTTTTGAAATTTTCTGTAGAAATGAGTGATTTGGTCAGGTAAATAAAGGTGGAATTTCCTCTTCTCGGAAGCTCTCTGGCTTCATCCTTACCGGTGTCCTTATGTTTGGGGTTACCAGGAGAGAATGAGCTGGTAGACTTTTCTGAATTTTTGATATGTTTTGGGATAAAAGTCAAACTTTATGCACACCAAATCTTTTTAGAATAGAGCAGGTGGAATTTTTTTTAATTGCCATTATGTTTTAATAGACAAATAGGGGAAAATAACTGTGTTCTCGGGCCATCATCTAAAACTTAAAGATAACTTACATAAGATATTACAGTTTGATTAGAAAATCATATTCCTTTTAAACTTTTGTTTATCATAAACACACCTATCATATATAAATACAAAGGGATATTTCTATATGTAAAAACTTACTGATAGAGCATTTAGAAGTGACTGGGCTAGTGGAGGACTCTCAGTCTGTAAAATAAACATAATAGTTTAATACATGAACTGCTATCTGCACAAGTTACTCTGGAAGTATATGTAATTCTGTAGTACTCAACATTTAAGTGATGCTCTGCAGGTAATAATAGATTACAATAGAAAATATGTTTTTGGCAGCATTCCAAATAATTAATAATCAATAGGCAATCATAATTGATGATAATTCAGGGCTCACACTACTTCAGAATCATAGGGAGAAGTGACTTCTCTTTTTGAAATTGAGAGGGAGAAGTGGTGAGATTTGAAAGAGAAGTGCTTGTTCGCTTGAGGTGCTACAATGTTAGGTTTTTTCCTATAATACATTAAGGGCCATATGTATCTTATTTTTTTTATATTGTTCAATTTGTACCTGGGTATACAATTAAAGTAACTGTTCAAATTTAAAGTTGTTTAATTTTATCATATTTAGTTGCACAATCATATGAGTCCTCTTTTCAGAAAAAAATTTTCCTATAATACATTAAGGGCCATATGTATCTTATTTTTTTTATATTGTTCAATTTGTACCTGGGTATACAATTAAAGTAACTGTTCAAATTTAAAGTTGTTTAATTTTATCATATTTAGTTGCACAATCATATGAGTCCTCTTTTCAGAAAAAAACAATTAAATATCTGGCACTAATAAAAAAGATTTTTTTTTATATCAAAAAGGAAAAGAAAGTTGTTATTTCAATTAAAAAACTACTCTGTTATCATGTTCATGAAACTGAGTATTTCTCATTAAAAAGATATATAAATTTAAGTTAAGTTTGGACATAATATAATTATATTAGTGTAATAGTCCCAGAGTTGAGCAACTTTAACTTATAAATTAAAACAATGCATATACATGGAAATATATACATTAATCAAGAAGATCTAACCAAAAGTATGTTAATGCGTGTGGAATGCGTAATTTTTCCTTTTGGGATCAATTTTTGTCTGTCAGCAGTGCCATTCATGGGTCCATAGTCATTATCAGAAAAATCCGGATTTCAGTCATAGCAGGTCAGTTTCTGATGAAATCCCAACTCCGATCTGCAGTTGTACAATAATATGCCCAAAATTTTAAATGGCGGACGAAGAAAAATTTACAAAAAAAAAACGATGTTTGATACGCTATTTGGAAAGGAATATGATGTTTTTAATGCAATACAAGGATAAAAAATTTACTTCAGACAAATTTCATCAAGTTTTAATGAAGTAACAACTTATTTTTCTGAAAGTTAGAATGATTTGATGTACAATCTCGAGTAACAAGTACCGGAAGTGATAAAAAATTGTTTTTATGAAATAACATGCCACCAACTTTGAAATCAATGCTTTAACCTCTTTTCTGAAGAAAATAAATTGTTTATGCCTTTAATTTCTTTACTTTTAAATGAAAAATTGCTGTTTCATCGTCTTGGTAAAAATTGAATATTGCTGATGACAAAAGCGACTGAAAGCGAGTAGCGTAAACCACAGGGCGACTTGTTTTCGCTTTTGAGGGTCGGGCAAAGCGAAGTGACGGACGGGAAAGCGACTTTTTCACCCTAGTTGCCTGGTAGCGTGAGCCCTGATAATTGGGTGTATCCTGAAATCCTACCTCTTAACAAGGATTCTAATTTTCGTAGTTTGTGAGCTCTGAATGGTATCATAATTGGTCCCAGTTTCTCTAAGGGGAATGACAACCCAACATAGGGTGTCATCCTGCTGTATAGGATTTATAAAAAGGCAGTAACATCTACAGATTGATTTATGCTTAACATCCGGCAGCAAATATTACATGCTGGTTCAGAATAATAGCACTTTAATGAAATATAAATATACCTTGCTTTATACTAAACCAAACAGATTGAAACAGATGTTTTTAAAAAGACTACCATTTAAAGTAAAAATCTGCAGGAATACACTTCTACATGTCTACCTACCTAGACACATTTTTTTTTACTCTAAGTTCACTAGCCTTTAATCTTACCACTAATAGCTGTCCGCTTGACAGATAAGCAGCATATACAATTTAAAAAAAAAAAAATTTACCAAGCTGTTGGCAAAACCTTTATATCATATATGTTTTATTTCATATTATAAATATAGTTCAACAAAGCTATGTTTACTATCACTTCATAGCAGCAAAGATGAGTAAAGGTTGAGCTTTTTGACTAATTAGTTTATATCGATAAGAGTAAAATATTCTGAAAAACAAACCTCTGAGTCTTCAGACTGACCAGGTAATGTTGACCAGAAGAATCCTCTCCAATCAGGGTCTTCAAATATATATGGTAGCACCCTGGTCAACAATCGTATACAATTTAAAACTGAAAATAATGGAGAAACAATGACTGTTGTATTGGCAAAAAAAGTTCATTTCAACAGTGAAAATAAACTAATGTCTGGAATCAGATTCCAGAGATATGTATCCTATTCAAACTTCAAAATAAAGATATTTATATCCTTTAGGAATATGACAGTTATTTTCGATTCGTTTGATGTGTTTGACGGTTTGATTTTGCCATTTGATAAGGGACTTTCTGATTTGAATTTTCCTTGGAGTTCGGTATTTTTGTTATTTTGCTTTTTACTACAAGTACAAGCATCTTTGCTTTGATGAAGATCAGGAAAATTTTTACAAAAATGGCTTATTAAAGAGTTAATGTTGCAGGAACATCATCCAAATGAAATAAACAGCTGCGCCATGAGCGCATGATACTCCCGTCGCTTTTTCAAAGAATAAAGTTCAAGAACTTCTCAATGTCATATTAGAAATTCACAAAAAACTAAACGGAGGTTATCTTGATATATATAAACCAGTCACCAAAGTTTCATGATAACTGCTCAAAGCATTGTACGAAAACTGGAAAATTTTGGAAAATCCCCCCTTTTTTATGAATAAAATCAACTAACTCTAAAACGTAAAATCTAAAAATTATAATAAACTGCTTTGCCAAGCGCAGCTGGATACAACCGCAGAGGTCCAACCCTGAACAGTAGGGGCAAAAATGGACACAATATTCAAGCTTGATACAGGTCTGAATTTGGATTGTAATTAAATATTTGACACATTATAGGTTTCTGACACAGAATAAATGTGTCAAAGAACTTGAAATTGGTTGTATGATTTGAATTTATATTCAATTGAAGATTTCTTGCTGCTGTGCAATACACTGTGCTGTTGCGCAATACTTAGTAAATCTGTTTTCAGACTATATACAAAGAATTAGCAAAATAAATCGTGACACCCAATTTTTTTCTTTTGAAAATTGACAATTTCTTAATTCTTGAGGGAAAAAAATTGACCCCCCCAAAAAAAACCTTGTGGTACAATTTCAGAGCAATCAAAATACTTATACACAAGTTATTGTCCTGAAACTAGAAAAAATGCTTGTTTTGGCCCCTAATTCCTAAACGGTTTGGACCATCACTCCCAAAAACAATCCCAACCTTCCTTTTGTGGTATTGAACCTTTTGGTTATATTTCATAGAGATCCATACACTTAAACTAAAGTTATTGTCCGGAAACCAAATGTCTTCAGACAATGACGACGCGATACCAATATATGACCGCAAAAATTTTTGCTGTCGTATAAAAATCGAAAGGGAGCTTAAGTCAATAGATATAAACAATTCACCAAAGTTTCATGAAAACTGCTAAAAGCATTTTGAGTTATTGTCCGAAAACTGGAAAATCCCCCTTTTTTTTAATGAATAAAACCCCATAACTCGGAAATGTAAACGCTAAAATTTTTAAAAAAACAAAAGGGAGCTCATCACAATAGATATAAACAATTCACCAAAGTTTCTTGTAAATTGGTGAAAGTGTTTTTGAGTTATTGTCTGAAAACTGGAAAATCCCCCTTTTTTAATGAAAAGAACCCCAAAACTCGGAAACTTAAAATCTAAAATTTACCAAAAACAAAAAGGGAGCTCACGTCAATTGATATGCACAATTCGCCAAAGTTTCATGCGCATTGTTTAAAGCGTTTTTGAGTTATTGTCCGACATGTTGACGATGGATGGACAGACAACAGTATACCATAATACGTCCCGTAAACGGCACCAAAATAACAGAAAAATTAAAATGTTTATAATATGCATCGATTAAAGAATTAAACAAAAGTTGTAGAGCATCTTAAAAATATTATTCATAGATATAAGAAGATGTGGTATGAGTGCCAATGATACAAATCTCCATCCATCATACATGTATTTCAAGATATCTGATTTTACTATATTATGTAATTTAACTTCATGTGAATTTTAAAATATACACACATGTATATATATAAAGAGCCTAGAAAATCAACCTAACAATGTTAGAGTAGATCTGATTCTTTACTACCTCCCCGACCAGGGCTGGAACCTGTACTTTTTCACTTCTCACTTCTACGGCAACACTGTCTAGCATTGCCCAGAGCGCCTTATCCCTCCACTAACTATAGCTGATAAAAAATCAGTTTTCATTTCAGAAGGTGTTACCTTCTATCTATTTTATTATTGATCGATAAAATATTGCATCAGTAGTGGATCTAGAGCTTCAAGTGGGGGAAGTTGTTTGTGACTTCTGGGAATGGTTTAGTTTTTTCTCTCACTTTTTTAATGGAAATAAGAACACATAAACTATTTTTACCAATTTGTTGTTCTTTTTGTGAAGGACAACCACTTTCTGCAGCTGCTACAAGTTTCTCTACAGCTTTGTAACATAATGTTGCAAGATTTGACGGAGATTCTTCACGCAGTGCACGTATCTCTGCAGCAGGTATTAGAGTAAAGACATCTTGTACACAGGTCACACTGTCAGACCAAAACTGTTCCCAGAATGATTCATCACTGGCTTCTATTGGCTATTGAAAGAGAATATATAAATTTAAGATTGCTAGATATATTTTCTCTTGTGTGTAATGCCTGAACTTTGGGTATTGATTTCAATTTATTTGTGTCAACACATGGTCAAAGATTCTCAATGTCAACTACCTGTTTCTTAGTTTTGCACTTAATCATGCCATGTCTTGTCTTGTATGAGGATCCTGCCTTTCAAAGGTACACCTCTGGTTTCAGAGTAATATATATGGTGTATTTAACACCCATTGAAAAGTTTATTACACTTTTAAAATCTAAAACAAAAGATAATTTAGATTTGATAAATTCAGGTCTTTGACCGAGTGATTACAAGCAAATCTTTCTTTTTATTCACAGGTAATGTTAACAATAGCATATTACGTCTAATGTGCAGAGCAAAGCAGAGTTTTCTACTAATCTTATTTCTACGAGTTGAAGAAAGTCTGTTCATCCACATTTACATTGACAGTTGCAGACCAAGGCACTAGCGTCTAAAACCGGTTGTGTACTAATTTTTAATTGTTCTTTTATTCTACATTTTGCGCAGAGCTCACTATTATTGATAATTTGTGAGAGTTCAAGCGAGTGATAGTCCCTGGCAGAGGCAAGAGCAGTACCTGAATGAATGAAATGATCTATTGTTTCTGAGTCCTCCTCTTATTAGAGACATGTTGGATTAACGTCAACCTGGCTGAAGGCTGCCCTATTACATTGGAGAATATATTTTTTATAAGGTTAAATTTTGACATTTACAATGAAGCAATAGACAAATATTATTTTCCCTTGATTGACCTCGGGTAGATGGTGTACCTAACTCATTAAAAAAAAAAACTTGAGCAGTACTGCCAAGTTTTCATGAAGCAAATGCGTGAGATTTGGCCAAAATTGTAAAGATCAAAGAGAAAAAACAATAGATCAAAAGAAAATGCGTGAGTCTCACGCTAAATGCGTGAGACTTGGCAGCCCTGCAAGTTGAGATTGGTCTATATTTTTTTGGTCAGGCCCTGTTAAAAGCAACAATTTTCAGCAGGGTGTAAATTTGCTTTATTAGATTCCTACAGGGAGATGCTCCAATTAGGCTTAAAAAAAATAGAAAAAATTCAATTAACAGAGTATATTAATTGCGTTTAATGAAATTGGTCATGCGTGTTGTTTTAGAGGGTTTTCTTGCTGTTCTGCTCAGAGTATGTGACACGTATGAAAGGTGTTTTTGTGTGTTGATCACTCGTTTCACCTGTGTCTTAGTGGTTAGCTGTATAACAGCTTTCCTGAAATTGAGTTTTGTGTCTGTATTTCCCATTGCTGACTGTTTTCTTCAAGATTTTGGCATATTTTAGAATGTTGTTGTTGTCAGAAAATCGATTAAAATAATTATGAAGAAAACCACAAAAATGGGAGATAACTCTGTGCAGGAATAATCAAAGTACCGAAATACTGTTTCCTCCAAAGTCAGTTTTTACGTTGAAATATTTATCAATGGTTACCATCAGAGGAGTAAGCTCATTTGACTATTTTTTTGTGAGGATGGGAATGGGGTACCCCATATGATGATTTATTGTGAAAAAAAATTGTTCATATAAGAAAAATGATAAGAGGAGTGTTGATAAACAGCTGATATAAAAGGACATTCCTACCCTCATATATGAGTCAACTTGTTCATCATAACTATTTACTATGAAGTTTACTCTAGAGTGCAGACAAACATGTGCAACTGGAAAATTTTCAAGTCTGGCAGCACCTAGATATATATAAAAGAGGGTCTGGATAGGAGGGATCTTTATTTCTGTATGTTTTTACAGCTCTTCTATAAAAGCATGCAAAGCAAACCTTTGATCAACTTGCTTGCTATGTTTGTTTGGATGTTTGTAAACAAAAGGTAGGTAGTCTGTTTCAGTCTGTTTACTATATAATGGAATTTGATTGGACAATAAACATTAACTTCATTGCATGTCAATTTTTATTGTCCAATCAAATCCCAGTATATATAAAATAGACTGAAACTCCGCCTACCTATTGTTTGCAAACATCCAAGCAAACATAGCAAGCAAGTTGATCAAAGGTTTGCTTTGCATGCTTTTATAGAAGAGCTGTAATAATTTGGGCCATTTCTCTTTTCTTTATCTATTTTTCCCTTATTCTTCATACTTTATATAAGCACCCCATTTTTCTCTATTCTTTATTTTTTGTTTTTTTTTTCTTTTATTCTGTAATCTAGGTCCCTTATTCTTTTCTGTAAACCCCATCCAGAGATTCCAGACCCTCATAAAAGTTAATTACATATAAAGCTGGGTAAATTCTTAGATGCCACTCTCAGATAATTGTATTGTATTGTATTGTATTGTATTGTATTGTATTGTATTGTATTGTATTGTATTGTATTGTATTGTATTGTATTGTATTGTATTGTATTGTATTGTATTGTATTGTATTGTATTGTATTGTATTGTATTGTATTGTATTGTATTGTATTGTATTGTATTGTATTGTATTGTATTTATTGTATTGTATTGTATTGTATTGGTATTGGTATTGGTATTGGTATTGGTATTGTATTGTATTGGGATTGGATTGGAAATGGTGGGACAATAGATATCTGCATAACAATAGGCGATTTAAGCATATAATCTAGAGGACAGTACATATAAAATAAAATTCATTTGCTTGTTTATTTTACTATCTTTTGCAGTGATGAAAAAAGAATGTCATAATCCAAAATTGATTTCATTTTTCTGTAATGCAGGGGTAGCTGTTTAATTTCATCATTTTATAAGAAAGATAAGCTACAAAATATGTGAAAGTTGAGACTTTTCTGTAATTGTTGGGACTAGTACATGAATCTATTGGTCCCAGGTTATAGGTGTCTAGAACTTAAGTAGACTATGCAGGTTTTTTACTTTCAAAAACATATGGTTCCAGATAGGCAATGTGGAAGGTTTGTACACACATTGAACTGGCTTAATCCCCAACACCTATTGTGTTTTTACCAAGTCAGGCTTCACTGTTGTTTATACACTTTATTGCACTTTTGGTCAGGGTGGACAGGATGGAGGTAGTATATTCCTAAACATTTATATGTAGAAATATATTCAAACTGTTGTACTTTGTACCTTATTGTATCATTAGAAGTTGTGTTTGACTGTTCATTGCATTACTCTGCTCAGTATTTGGCTTCTTCAATAAAAAAGATCAAGGTAGGTAGAAATTACTATAAAAGAGAGAATCAAAACTGAACAACTATAAAAATGTTATCTTGAATATGTTGCTCTTTTTATCACTTTGAAAGTATTATGGATGGCATCATGATTTAGTCGACGGTTGTGGGATATCTGCTTCACAAATGACTATGGATTTTTGCTACAATCCTGCCCTCTTTTCCTTGTTTATGTCATTCACCAAATGCAACACATCACCCAATTCTTACCTGCAATTAGAAACATAGCCACTAGTGGAGCTGGAACTGCTTACCCTTCTGGGGAACCTAATTTTATCCCTGGCCAGCTTTTCACAAAAAATGATATAGCTAAAATTGATTGTAAGTATACTGAATTGTACATTACTTACAAGTAATTTTTGTTGTAAGATTTTTTTGTGAAACAAAGGCCTGGATTATAGTGGGATCAGGTAGCTTAATATTTGGTGTTCTGTGAAGTATTCCTTGACTGTTTTTTATTGCTGTTTTTTTTTTTTTTTTTTGCATTTGTGATGCAAGTCTTTATTTTAATAGTCCCTTGGTAACTTATCAAAATCTCATTTTAAGCACAAAAGGACCTCAAGCATCCCTTATACATTTCATAAGTGTCTTTAATCCATTAAACTATGATTTTGAATGCCATTGAGTATATATGTGATTAAATGCCACGTTCACTCTATTGAATGCCTGTTTTGAGGTACTCAGTTTACAAAATGGATGATTTTTAATGTCAGGTCAATACCTCTCATGGGAGATATCCCCATAAATAAGAAAAATAGGTAAGCATATAAAGAATTTGGCTGGGTAAAATATGTTGGTGAGCACTCAAACCTCCTCCTCAACTGGAGCAGTGGTGTAACAGCAAAACATAAAAACAAAACATCAAATAAAATGGCTTGACTCAACTCTTCTCTTTTGGTTCTAGGTTTATATCCTAATATATGGAGGCTTTGATCTTTGAACATGACTGTACACTATTTATGAAGTTTTACTGCAAGAGGCAATAGTCAAGACCAGATGAAAGGATGTGATAAACATTCTCTTATTACATCTTTCAAAGTGCAGCAAGGCCCAAGTTAAAACATAACACTTTTAACGTTAACTTTTTATAAGATAAAAATATAAGTTCAGCATGGATATATACAGCTTGGCTGCATAACATTAAACAAATAAAGGTAAACTTCATCACTTGAATACAAAATAGTACAGTATATTAACTTTCTATCAAATACTTATTCTATGCAAATCTTTTATACAAACAGATTTCTTTATGCTAGACAGGAGAGCTATAGGAAAAAATGTTAGCAAGTTTAATCTTATCATTTCTGAACATGGATAAAAAACCAATTACCTGTAAGCAATATTATCTGTATACAAAATTTACAAAATTAAAATAAAACTTGATTATAACAGTAAATTTCTCAGGAATATAGAGTTACTTCCCATTGTGAAAATGTTCACAATCTTACAGAAAATACTTCCTCAAGTTTATTTTCCATTTTCTGTTCTTGCTGTAATTTTGCACAATTTTTACATATTTTCAGAAATTTCTAATACAATGTAAATAAAAAAAATTGAAAAATATACTCCATAAAAAGAATTTAAACTTGTTTTTCCAGTACAGAATTACCAAAAGTAATTAGCAAAATTCCAATAAAACCAATTCTTATTGATAAATCTGACATTATAAATGCAAAAAATGCTTTTGACATCTAAAAAATTCTGAATAAAGTGAACTATAAATATATATGTGTGATAAAAGATAAATGACTATAAAATAAGGAATCTAAAGAAGATGGCACACCCTTGTAATTCCTTCTCCACAATAGATGTTTACTAAAATTTATAAAACAAACTAAAAGTATTCTATCAGGATCAACCTGTTGAATCTATAAATTTAAGCTTAGTTTTTTGCTATATAACTCAATAAACAAATGTAATCTTTAAAGATTATTTTATCTATAAATCTGACAAACTTAATGTCCCCTACATGCTATTAACAATTGCTATGGATATGGATATCAGCATTAACATGCAGTCAATAAACTAAATAGACTACTACTACGGGAGTGTTTGACAATCTTGACTAGCTATAAATCCCTTGCACAGTCAGTAAATAGACTAATAAAAAAAGTTGACACAAAATTAGCATTGGGTTTGGTTTGAAAATATCTAGGTAACAAACGATATTGCATAACAATACATCAATTGCAAATGGTTTTTAAATCTAACCTTACAGGATTACTTATAAAAATTAAATGATGTCATCACTTACACAATCCACCTTTCTATTTTGACTAATGAAAAAATATTAGGCACGACATGACCTTCAAGTTAAGGACATTTTTGTAATACAGAAACAGCTATTAAAATAAGCCAACAAAAAGTCTTAAAAGGCATATCAAGGTCGCAGTCACTGTGACTTGCTTAAAGCTTGCTAAAATTATCACATTGGCACATTGACATTAAAATTTGAAGATTCTTAAACTTGCAATGCCATAGGTAGGTAACATTTAAAATAAAACTTAAGAATTCAGTCATATATGATATCTGTGTGATTCAATCCAATTACTAGGGAAATTTGAATGTGAAAAGAATATTACATCATGCATCTTAAATTAAGACAAGAACACCATTTCAAGACAAATTCTAACCCGAATAATTCAGTCGTTATATTCCACTGCTCTATGATGGCTACATTAACACCTGAATGCCTAGTCAATAAAAAATCGTCAAATAATCATTCGGAATTAGCTCTGGATTTATCTATCTCGATAACATTAAGATATTAGCTGATTGGCTCTCTCTCACAGAAAGCACCAATCAAAATCCTGGATTCGTGACGCATTTTTATCGTATAAAGAGTTCAGGCCCTCGCAAGTGGGAGAGTCGATCACTGGGAGGGACTAAATTATTCGGGTTAGACAAATTCAGACATGGATGTAAAAATAACAGATTGTCAAGAGAAAAAAATCCTATGTTCTAGTCAAGTTTTATTTCAAGTCTTTTTTTTTTAAATCAAAATATAAAACATTCTTATCATATCACACATTAAATATTTTAATCACCAACATACAAAATATGCCTATAACGACTTTTAAAAGAGTAAAAACAGACATTTTTACTGTAGCAATAATTAACAATTGTAATCAACAATGACTAGCATACCAATTAAAAGGGACATATAAATATATTAAACATAAAGTCCAATAAAACTATCTTTCTTCACACTTACATTAACAGCATATCATACTTTGTTTAAACATCTTATTCTAAATTATCATTCCACTTAAAAATACAAAATTAAGAGACTATCAGTTATCATCTGTGATTTCTTGCAAAAGACGGTTCATGGCAGAGGAGAGGTTGCCTCAAGATTAACACCAATGGTTTTCTTTTTTTTTCTTGCATTTTTACATGAGTGGACATATTACAATATCAGCATTATTTTAATGTCAAGATGACATTATTTTGATATTTACCAGTCTACCGCTGTGTAAAATGTCACAACAAATTTAACTGTATCCATGACTGTCAATTTGAATTGCATCAATTGGCAACAGGTCAAATGTTATACACCATTAACATGTACACCAAACTTAAAGCATCAATTTGCAACAGGTCAAATGTTATACACCATTAACATGTACACCAAACTTAAAGCATCAATAAGCAAAACATTTCTATGCAGTTCCTTGCCAAATTTTTGTTTAGACTGGACAATCCAGTTTCCATACTTATAAAACTGATTGCCATAAAGCACATTCTTACAAATATTCAGAGAAACATTCCAGTGTTTCAAAATCTGCAATCAACTTTTGAAATGAATGATATATGACTAAATTACTACATGCAACTAATTAAGCAGTAAGTTATTTTTAATTTTTTTATATTTTATCTACTGAAATATTTTATAATTACCCCCAAAATTTTTTTTTTCCATTGTTGAAGGTTAATCAATTTCTTATTTGGTCCATGGTGGAGATTTGCTTGTTTGATAATCTCACCAAATTTTGTGTTTATAAATTCCCCACTATGTAAATTGTATAAATCTTACATGAATTATTGGTGTATAAACAGAAGGTAAGGAAAAACATCAGATTGGCATATACAAATAAAAATGAATACTAAGACAAATACATGTATACTGCCCATAGATAATATCAAAAATATTGACCTATCTTGAAAAAAGTGTAACTGTAAATTCAGAAATTATTGCAAGGTTTTTATTAATGAGAATAATGGCACTATGTGAGTATCGCAATAAGAAGAACTCACATTCTGAATTTGATACATATATCTGTATGCCTATTTGCCTGAAATCACAATAATCAATCTCACTTTTATGTCCATTCTTCAAAAATTCCAATAATAAATGCATGCAATAATTTCTGAATTTACAGTATATCACTGGATTGCTAAAAAATGGGATAAATATGAGATGACAGATTGCACATAGACCTTACAATGAATAAACAAACAAATATACCTGACAGTTAGTTAAAATAATTCTGAAAAAAAAACATTAAAAGTTTTCCATTTTAAACGTTGCTTTCCCTAATTGCTTAAAATCAAAATCTGTATATGATTTGTATAGAGAAAATTAAAAAGTTTACATAAAACCTGGTGACAATTCAATGTAACATTAATATGTTTACTGATGAAACCAAAATTCAAATAGCATTATCAATCATACTGACAATTACATAATAAATTAGATGAAAGATTTTGAAATGCTTTTTCTGTTAGAATGCTGCTGTATATATGGCACAATTACTGGAATAATTTTTACCCATAGAAATAAAAACATATCTTACAGAACTTACAGAACCGCAATTAGGAATGCATACTTTGACCAAATCACACCTCATATCCGTTTTACATAAAATTTGACAAACATTATACAATCAACTTATTAAAGCAAGCTTATTTTAAAACCGGAGGTAATACTGTGATTTCTAAATCCTGTTTCTTCAGTTGACTAGGAGTTTACTTGGGGTCATCTCCAAAGTTCTGTCGAATTTGTTCAAAGAAGATGAATGTGAACACTGTGTGTGGTCCTAATCTCACAAATGCTGGAAAGAAGCCCTGAAAAAAACAAATTTTTAAACATCTTAATTAGAAAGGAAAACAGAGGTGCACAGGCTGAAATGTCTCATCTGCTTTATTTATCATGATTGAATTTATTCACATTAGCAATATTGTTGACCTATCGTTTATAGTATCTGAGAAGTGGACATGACTATGAAAATGTATCATTGACCTATGAACCATGAAAATGAGGTCAATGCCAGATGAACACTACCAGAAAGACATGCACACCTAAAAATCATTGTGTGCACCAAATATAGTTGACCTGTTGCTCATAAAATCTTAGAAACAGGCTAACCACAAAAATTTTCTTTCACAAATAAACCAAAACTAGAGGCTCTCAAAAGCCTGTGAGGCACACCTGGATCTATGTGCATTTTCAACAATGGTGACTCTCCATCATTAGAACTAGAATATAGTTCATCACTAATATCCTTTTTTTGTTGATCTTGTATAGCTGATCATTTTTCTGTTTTCAGTTTCTATCTAAAAGTTTTTGCATAATATGCAAACACTGGGTAATAAAAATTTATCATTAATAGGCAATAACTCCTATCAGGAGTCAATGGTAATTGCAGCTGTGTTGATATATTTGCAGATCTTGTCTTTAATGCTGATGATTTTTGCTGTTTACAATTTTTCTTTATCTACTATAGTTTTGAACAAAAAATAAAAAAAATGGATAACAAGAGTGCACACGCTGAAATGTCTCGCCTTCTTTACTAATCATTGATATTATGTTGATAGTCCTAAATATAAAGCTTTATTACAACTGTCACATAAACTTAACATTAACCAAGTAAACTAAACATTGACCAATGAACCATGAAAATAAGGTCAAGGTCAGATGAACCATGCTAGGCAGGCATGTACAGCTAACAATTCTTCCATACAACAAATACAGTTGACCTATTGCTTATAGTTTAAGAAAAACAGACGAAAACACAAAAACTTAACACTGAGCAATGAACCTTGAAAATGAGGTCAAGGTCAAATAAAACCTGCGTGACTGACATATAGATCATAAAATATTTCCATACACCAAATATAATTGAACTATTGCATATAGTATTAGAAAAAAAGACCAAAACTCAAAAACTTAACTTTGACCACTGAACCATGAAAATGAGGTCAAGGTAAGATGACACCTGCCAGCTAGACATGTACACCTTACAATCATTCCATACACCAAATATAGCTGACCTATTGCATGCAGTATTAGAAAAAAAGACCAAAACTCAAAAACTTAACTTTGACCACTGAACCATGAAAATGAGGTCAAGGTCAGATGACACCTGCCAGCTAGACATGTACACCTTACAATCATTCCATACACCAAATATAGTAGACCTATTGCATACAGTATAAGAAAAACAGACCAAAACACAAAAACTTAACTATAACCACTGAACCATGAAAATGAGGTCAAGGTCAGATGACACCTGCCAGTTGGACATGTACACCTTACAGTCCTTCCATACACCGAATATACTAGACCTATTGCTTATAGTATCTGAGATATGGACTTGACCACGAAAACTTAACCTTGTTCACTGATCCATGAAATGAGGTCGAGGTCAAGTGAAAACTGTCTGACGGGCATGAGGACCTTGCAAGGTACGCACATACCAAATATAGTTATCCTATTACTTATAATAAGAGAGAATTTAACATTACAAAAAATCTGAACTTTTTTTTCAAGTAGTCACTGAACCATGAAAATGAGGTCAAGGACATTGGACATGTGACTGACGGAAACTTCGTAACATGAGGCATCCATATACAAAGTATGAAGCATCCAGGTCTTCCATCTTCTAAAATATAAAGCTTTTAAGAAGTTAGCTAACGCCGCCGCCGCCGCCGGATCGCTATCCCTATGTCGAGCTTTCTGCAACAAAAGTCGCAGGCTCGACAAAAATCATCTTTAAAGGACTATAAAATCTATAAGGAGGTTAACTGACAATTTCTGTCATATTGACAAATTTGCAGATCTGGTTGTTATTCATTTTTGCTATTTAAACTTTCTCTTCATCTATCATAGTTTTCAAGATAAAATGCAATAAACTGTTGAAACAGATATATATCTCGCCTGTCGGCACAAAATTCAGAAATTCTGATGGACAGCAACATTGCTTATTGATTCAAAGTCACTGGACAATGATCTAGTGGGCAGATGAACAGACAGTAATGTAACTTTGTAGAAAACATTGTTGTCTATTGTAAGCAGTTCCTATCAATCTAACTTTAGCAGAAAGCTTAGCATTGAAAATTGCTAATTAATTCAAAGTCACTGGATTATGACCTAGAGAGCTGGGCCAAGAAATAGTCATCAAACTGATACAAACTAATAGTAATGCAACTTCATACAAAATATCATTGATCTATCATAAGTAGATCCTATCAAACTAACTTAAGCAGACAACTTAACATGAAAATTTGCTAATTAATTCAAAGTCAATGGACTATGTCCTAGGGTGCAAGGCCTTAAAATAGTCGTCAAACTGATATGTACTGATAGTAATGCGACTTCATACAAAATATCATTGAACTATCACAAGTAGATACTATCAAACTAACTTCAGCAGAAAACTTAACAATTGTTGACGCCGTCGTAGTCACCGGAAATGCAATACCTATGTCTCACTTTTTGCAACAAAAGTGACAAGGCGAGACAAAAATGTAAAAAATTAAGGGGCTATAACTCTTATAAATTGAGTTGATCCACGATTTCAGCCATGTTGACTTATTTGTAGATATTGTCTTGCTGATTTTTTTTGCCATTTTATGTTTCACTCTATCTATTATTTTTTCAACATAATGGATATGTTCATCTTACAATCATTCCATTCACCGAACAGTTTTTCTATTGCTATTATTTTCTTAGAAACAGACATAACCACAAAAACCTCAACTTTACCAAGATATGAAAATGAGGTGAAGGTCAGATTAACCAACTGGACAGACATGTACACCTTACATTCTTTCCATAGACCAAATATAGTTGACCTATTGCTTCTAGTATCTGAAAAACAGACCTAACCATGAAAACGCAACCTTGATCACTGATCCATAAAATGTGGTCACCTTGACATGATATTAGATACAAAATATTATTGTCCTAATACATTGTGCACTCATTATACATGAGAAAACCATGATAGAAAAAACTATACATTTTTTTCAAGCAGTTGCTTAACTATGAAAATGAAGTCAAAGACAATGGGCATATACTTTATGGAAAGTTTGTAACATAAGGCATCTGTATACAAGATATGAAGTATCCAGGTCTTCTAATTTCTATAACATGAAGCTTTATTCAAAAAGTTAATGCCACTGAGGCCAGATTAGCATTCCTATGTCTCACATTCTGCCACTTTATCACAAGGCTAGACAAAAATAAATGTAAAAGAAACAAAGATCTATAATAATGTTATTTTTGTACTCATCAAATTATCACATTAATTAAAGGATTCTTGGGGAGGAGGCTGAAATCATTGGAAGGGGATTGTGCCTGGTTTTATGAATTTTGGTGTAAAGTTGTGATAATATTGCTATAACAAGAACAGCTATAGTTTTTAAGGGTTTTTTTTATTCTACACAAACATGCGTACAGATTTATTTCATCGTTGTCTTTATCTATTAGAACTTACCTTAACCAATCAAATTTTACATGCCTTCACACAACTCAACTCCAACAACTATTTCTGAAAAAGACCATAGCTACTGATTCTTAATACTTACCTTGAAGAATCCTATAGGACCTTGCTTTGCTATATCAACTGCACATGCTAAGATACTCTGAAAAATAACATAAAAAGTATTCATGTTATAGAGTAATTTAATGGTATGATTGCCAATGAGACAACTATGGAATAAAAAGGTACATATGTTTTACCGGGTATGTTCTAATTGTTTCATTTTTAATTTCATAAATACTATCAAAATATATTGACTTTCATCAAATATTTATTGTCTCTAATAGGAAGGATCTTTTTAGCTAGAATTTAGGTACATTCAAATTTACAAATATAAGAATAAGAAGATGAGGTATGATTGCCAATGAGGCAAATCTCCAAAGACCAAATGACATAGAAGTTAGCAACTATAGGTCACCCTACGGCCATCAACAATGAGTAAAACCCATACGGCATAGCAAGCTATGCTATATAATGCATTGTTTGTTTATTTAATTGATATTAGATTGGTTATTTAATTGATTTATAATAAGTTATTTAATTCATATTTACAGGATATGGATTGTTCATCATTCTGGTCTTCATGACATCTAATGGCATTGTCAGCATGGTGGCCAAACATCCCTGAAAGTCAAATATTTGTTGTAGTACTTGAGAGTGGTCATTTCCATATTTTGAAAAATGATGAATGCCAAGTTATGCAAAATATTTTACACATAGAAGCTGAGTTTCAATAGATTTTTCAAAAATTATCAAATATTGTTTATATGCTGCAGTAGGTAGGTCTTACTTTTTTGGATTAGGTCTGGTTTTTTTCTAAGAAATTATAAATGACAAATCTTTTTAATTAGGCATTAATATATAGAAAAATAAATGGAAAATGTGTCCAACGACACAGATGATGCCCCCCGCTTGCATATAACGTTATAAAGGTAAATAACTCAAGAATGGTAAAAGTGACGCCACCAATTTCGAACTTGATCTGAGTTTTGTGGTAATAAGCATTGTGTATAAGTCTCATAATATTTGGTTTAGGCAAACTTAAGTTAGAGAATGGAAACAAAAAATTCAGCAATTTTTCCATTTGTAAAGAGGCATAACTCTAGAACGGTAATAGTGATGCCACCCAAATTCAAACTTGATCTGTTTTGTGGTAATAAGCATTGTGTGTAAGTTTCATTACATTTGGTAGAGGCAAACTAAAGTTGTTAGAGAATGGAAACCAATTTCGGGATGTACGTAAGGACAGACGGACGTAAAAATGGACAAGGGATACACTTAATTCCCCCTCCACTGCGGCAGGGGCATACAAAATGTTTTACAATAATTTTATAGTATAGGAAACATTTTAAAGGTTTACCTCTCTGATAAACTTTGACATATTGTACTTACAGCCATAGTACTACAAGTAAGATGTGTAACTGTGTTATCCTTGAAGTATCCACTCTTTATTAACAGCTGTTTTATCTGGTCATAACCTGCAAGCTATTAAATAAAAACAATTCACAATTAAGAAAGCTATGAAATTACTATTATTGCTGATGTTGATGACTATGACATTCATAAATAATTATAGCAATATCATATAAATGTTTATTTCTCAATAAACCATATATAGTGGCTAAGTATACAGAAGCATTCAATCATCAAGAGATTTGTCATAGTAAATGCATCAAACACTCTTTGAAATTTCATAAATTGATAAATTATGTACATTTTGAGAAAAAAATTTCACAGTCCTATTTTTATCATTGATACATAAACTTATATCTCACAGTTTTCAGACATTGATATACTTTTAAATTGACAGCTTCACTTAAATTGTCCATGACAACTAATTAAGATGTTAGAGAATTATGTAGCCAGATAGATTATGAATACCTTTACATGTTACAGGACTCAAACCCATCACATATTTCCATGTTTGGTGAACTTTGAAATGTGGATATAAACCCTAATTTGGCATATATTTTTATCATTCCACATCAAAAAGAATATGTGACGTAAGTAATTAAATTTGATGAAACAACAACTTCATGGTAAATTACTTTAAACTAAAACTTTAACTTCAGATATGGGATTGACATAAGGATGAATGAACAGATTAAAAGAAGTACACACAAACTGGAAAACATAAAACTCCCCTTTATTATTGTAGGTGTGTTATAAAAGCTGTAAACTTCTCTGGAAAATTTAAACAATACTTCTCTTTACACAGCTTCTTTTGTCATATAAAGAGAAAAATGTTTTTTTTTACTGTTTAGAATGTTATCAGTCAAATATACTGCTGATTACATTGGAAAAACAACTATATATCACTTACTGACCTGACCCACTGTCACCAGGACAGCTCTTGAACTGGCCATAGAAGCTCCATTAAACATCCTTGCCAAACCTCCCTCCTGGTACACCTTGATCAGACCATCAATTGCATGTTTGTAGCTAAAGGAAGAGGGAAACTTTTCAAAAACATAGATAATGTGAAACTTATGAAAACTACATGAAGTATGAAATCTATTTGGACATACAACAGCTGATATTTGAGTGAATTTCCAAATTAGCTAACATCTCATTGTGAGCTTGCTTTCAGAAACTGATAGCATTCTTTGATACAGTATTAATTAAATTCAACTTGCATTTTGTTGTATATGATATCAATGCAAAAGATGAATTAAATTCAACTTGCACTTTGTTGTATATTATATCAATACAAGAGTTGTGTATTTTTAACTTTTTATCAACCTTAGCAATTCAAAAAGTAGAGATTAAAGGGGATGGTTAAGTACTAAACAAATAGTTTAACCCTCCACAGGTTAATGTGCCAGGAGTTTCTTCTGAGGTTACCTTCAGTTAGATGCATAATTTTTGACAATTAAATACTTTGGTGTTGATTGCAGATCTTTTCTAAATTTTTCACAACTTTAATGAACATTTTTAAACAATGGTTAAGTCATGCAAGAACAATGGCACCTAAAATGAGTCTATTGACTATTTTGGTCCTTCAATTTTCTGCCAATATACCTTGAAATATTGACTGGATTATACAGCAAATTAGATAAAAGTGTCTGTTAAGCTTTGTTTTTTTTTTAGAATACTTCTTAATTTACTTATCTACACTGAATACATACTTTCTTCTTTGCTCCTTTGGCAGTTTCACATCATTCTGCATTCTGTATGAAAAAAAATACAATGGTAACTTGGCAAAACAAGACATTTTGAAGCTGAACATTATATCTTGTTATATAAACTTAATAATCTTTCATTGTGTGCATTTTTTTTAATCTTAAAACCTAGAGGTTCATAAATATGAGACAATAATACACCGTTTTCTTTCTTTTCCCTCTGATAATTCTATTTTAGGATTCTAATTTTAGCAGTATTAAATTGATTTATCTGATAATGATAATGCAATGCATTGGATTGCTTGAAATTCAAAATTCCCACATAACTGGCAAAACTTTATTAGTAGCTTTCATTTTTTTTCCAACTGAAAATTATGTTGATTACTCTCATGCACTAAATCTGGAATAAAAAAAAAATAATAACTTCTACTTGAAAATAGGTTTAATCAATTGAGATATTCATATTCAATAACTCAGTTATATGTAAGACATCTCCAAGAGATAATAATGTTATCATACTAGATATTACACTTACCTTACATTGACTAGATCTGGTGGTGTCCCTATAAATCCTCCAGTGGCCCCTGCAAAACCAGCCACACCTACTTTCTGATACAGTGGCATCACACTCCCATCACTGGTTAAATTTTTCTTCACAGTTTCATATATAGCAAATCTGGTCATTGAATATGTAAGCTGTCAAATACATAATGAATATCATATCAATAAAACAATAGAGTTCCAAGGGGCATAACTCATTAAAAATATTTGATCGGCACTTATTTTCGAAATTGTCAGAGACATTGCTGTTATAAACCTTTGATAAGAATTTGATAAACATCTGGTAAAAACTGTACATGTGAGAGCGATAACAAGCCTTGACGGACGCCCCGTATTTCTATGTCCCCCGTTACACTGGGGACAATAAAACAACATATTCATTCATTCTTTGATTTTGTAATAGGATGATTTCTTTCAGCCAAAATATTGTTTAAGGATGTTCGCTATTCTATTTCAAAATAACAAGCGTTTTAAAAGACTGTTATAAATTGATAGTCTATAAATGAAGGAACTAAAAAAGAAGAAAAAAATGAAGGGTCCGTGTGCTTGTTTTCGAGATATAAGCCAGTGGAAATTTGGCGGGAAATGATTCTCTCTAGATTTTTCATACATTTAACATTGGCACCTTTCTTCGTTCAAAAACAACGAAAAAATAACAAGGATTTTATAAGATTTTCAAATATGGCTTTTTAAACTATATGTAACTAAATTATGAAAAGAAAAGTACGGGTTAGCGGGCATACATTTTTAATGGCACTACATGGATAAGTCCAGAGGATTCCCAATATCTGGCAAGAAATCAAAAACAAGAGGAGCGAACATCCTTAAGGCAAAAAATTGTAGGGTAAGTGGAGAATTTTGGGATTTCAACACATGCATACCTGCCAATGTTTCAAAATTTCCATGGGGGATTTTAAGCGCAAGAGGACCTAATACTCCTCTTATATTCTCATAAGTGTTTGTAATCTACTACTTTATTGTTTGAATTAGTATATATGGGCTTAAATACCATTTTAACTCATTTCAATGTCTGTTTTAAGGTGTTAAATCAATACACAAAAGAATTTAAAAGTTCAGGTCAACACCTCTCATGGAATATATCCTTCATAAATCGGGATAGTTGGCAGGTCTGCACATGTCAGAAATAGCTTAAAATCATAGGGGAAGTATCTAACAGTCTTGTTAAAGTGCAATGAAAATTCCTAGTTTATGTTTTCTGAGAAGGCAGTATAATAAACACCGCAAACTGATAAATATTAAGGGGTTAGCTGTATTTTCTTTTGATTTTTGGGGGCTTCCAAATCAGATTTACAAATTTTCAACATACATCACTACCAGAAGTCTGAATGTATTTTCTGTTGTTTAAATTCTTTAAATACATGTATACAAAGTCTAAGGTTACAGAAGACAATGTCATGTTTACCTAAAAAAACAGCTTTTCTTAGGCTTACTCAAAAAATATTTTATAGTATTCTGTTTCTTTCCAACTTTTCCAAATAATATCTTGTTTATTCCTATGGTAATTTCTCAACAGAAATGAACTTTAGTCTGGGAGAACATGATTTATTCATAAGTTGTAATTGGCTTTGAACTGGCTTTTTGTAACTGAGAGTACTCTTATTTTGGTGCTTTGAGTCAATTGTTTTTATTTTAAGTTAGTTGGGGTTTTTTTTGTGTGCTCCATTCTGACCTATTAAGTTGACCTATTTGCAACTAATTTTTACAGTTTATTCTAATGTTGTGCTGTTACATGACTGTCCCAGGTTGGGAAGGGTTGTGCACTCACAAACATGTTTAACCCTGCCACATTCTGTATATATGCCTGTCCCAAGTCAGGAGCCTGTTATTCAGTGGTTGTCGTTGGTTCATGTCTGTCATAATAGTTTTTCAAAAAATTGAATTGTTACAAATTAGGCGGTTAGTTTTCTTGTTTGAATTGTTTCATATTTTTCTTATCGAGGCCTTTTAGAGCTCTCTATAGGGTATAAGCTTTACTAAATGTTGAAGTCTATACCATGACCTATAGTTGCTTCCTTCAACATCATTTGAACTTTGATGGATAGTTGTCTCATAGGCAATCATAGCACATCATCTTATTTTTATATTGTACCTGTCTTGTGACAGATGCTGACAATCCATTGTAAAATCCTAAAACACCATCACTTTTATACAGTCTTCCTATTAATGTGGTGACTTTGACTTTAGTCTGCTGGGTCTGTAGATGCACCTGTAAAATAACTTTACTTGTGAAATATATATCATACATGTATCATAAACATTAGTAGGTTGTATTGGTGAATATCAAAAGGCGTAAATGAAGTTTAGAATTGGAGAGATCTCAGTCTTACTTTTAGGTGAGAATGAACATAACACTTTTCATTTAAGTGCATCAGAAGTTTTCTGGATTTACCTTTTTGATGTATATGAACAGCAGGTAGATCTCAACATTCTTAACATTTCTGCCCCTGACAGATTTTACCTGTATATTCTATTTTCAGTAATGTCAGCCATGTTGGTTGGAAGGCAGCGTCATCAGGCATGTTTTTAAACTAGATACCCCAATGATAATAGGTGATGAGAAAAGCTCTCTTAGCACTTAGGACCCCATACCATGATTTCCAGAGAACTCCCAAGAACTGAATATTGACCCGAGAACTGATAAATGTTACCTGAAAACTTTACTTTATATGATGTTATACTGCTTTAAGTTTAATAGATATTAAAGTATATAATTTCAAGATACAAGTCGTTTATACTCAATATAAGTACAATTTCACTTCATAAATTTGATGTGTGTGTCTTGTATGCAAGTTCCGTGTGGGTAACAATATTGTGGACATAAATACTCAAAAGATGGATACATTTTGTAACTCTATCTAAATAAAAGTATAAAAAGTATTAAGTTTTCCAAATGATGTATTTTAACTTTTCAAATTTCCATTATTAAGGAAAACTTAAATCATTCGGAACTTTTTCACTCTTGTTTTTAGATACAGTTTAGATACCTTTTGAATAATTACGTCCGCCATATTGTTATGCAAGGAACTTGTATACAAGACACACAAATCGAACTTTTGAACTTAAATTGTACTTTTTTTTCAGTAAAAATTACTTATATCTCAAAATTATATACTTTAATATCTATAAAAGCAGTACAACTCCATATAAAATAAAGTTTCTGGGTAACATTTATCCGTTCTTGGGTCAATATTCAGTTCATGGCAGTTGGGGGTTCTCTGGAAATCGCTGTACCCTTTTGGACCAGGTAAAAGTAAATACAAACTGACAAACCTTCATCAAATCAAGGGGGTGTGTACAACAAGCTGCCATGGCACTTGCAACTCCTCCAAAATACCATCTTCCAACTCGTTTTGTCTTGTCAACCTGGGACATGTTTGGAATTAAATTTTATAAAAATGCCTGTTGAATGGTCACGTTTCTCAGCAATTAAATTATTTTCTGTGACCCTCAATTTGCTTACTAATTTTCTATGATATCTGACTTTATTAAAAATCATGCATTGTAATTTTTAAGTAAATAAAGGTAATCAGATAGATACACAGCCACTGTCACCCTTAAATTAAAAAAAAATCTACAAAATCCAATTTATATCATCCTGTTTGTCCTGGCTGAAAGATAGCAGACAACCTTTGATTATCTCCCTTCGGGCACCTGTCCTTGAGAAAATACAAAATTATGTCGGATATTCCCAGTTTTATCTATCTATCAAACTATTCGTCACCATCCAAATTCTATCTTATTTCGTTGAGTAAAACAAATCTTAAAGTATAATTCCTTTTTTTTTTTTTCATTTACATCATCAAATTTATTTAAATTGGACAAATCACTATATGTAAAAGGTCGGGGCTATCTGCCTCAAATTGGTATTTTCTATCGTTTGTTGTCTGGATAAACAAATAATGTTATTGGTGGTACCCTAAGTAGTCCTACTGAAATATGCATATAGGTACTTACAGGGCCTTCTCTGAGCAGTGCCCAGCGATCACTACTATCCTAGTTCCTCCTATGTAACCATATAAAGTCCAGGGCTTCAGTATTGGTATTTTTACAGTTGTTTTATTATTGCCAAAAATAATTTCCCATTTATTTAATTTTAATCATTTATTTCTAATACATCTTTTCCTGTCATATTAATTACCTCAATTTTTTCTGGTATGTCTTTTCACCACTGAATACCACAGCACACTGCAGAATACCACTGAACACATTAAACAATATCTAACACACTTAAATATATTTTTTCATTTATATCTAGATAGTTGAGTTACTTCTGAATGAGGATTGACATGTTTATATATTTATACATATACAAATAGATAAGAAATAATAACCAGAGAATCAAAAAGAACAGTCTTACACTTTCAGTCTAACAACATTTTTTTTTTAAATATAATTATTGTGATAGTCTCCCATTAAATAAAATGTTTTTACTTATTTGAATAATTTATTTCTTACAGTTGAAAGGTAAAACAAGTAAGATAATATTTACAATGTAAATCCTGGAAAAAAATTGCTGAATCCATAAACATTTTTAATTAAAGAACCTTTGTGAGCACGCTCACATACCCCACGCCCCCATATTGTCACTGGACAAACAAAATCTCACCAGGTTCCTAAGTTCAAAGACTCATAACTCTACAAAAGTCAAGTGATAAAAATTTTCTTGTGGATATGCACAGGAGTTGCAATGACAAACTGTTCCAGTAGTATAGTGAGGCCAATAAGTTCAAAGGGGCATAACTCCTAGAAAAAAAATTGAATCATAATTTCCTGTCGATATGCACATTTACATAGTTTGTCCTTATTATCTACAAAGATTCATGAAATTCTGTTGTGTGGTTTCAGAGGAGTTGCGATGAAAAACTGTTGCAGTAGTATATTCAGGCCAATAAGTTCAAAGGGGCATAACTCCTTGAAAAAAAAATTGAATCATAATTTCCTGTCGATATGCACATCTACATAGTATTTCCTTATTATCTACAAAGTTTCATGAAATTCTTTTGTGTGGTTTCAGAGGAGTTGCGATGACAAGAACAGGACTGACGGACGGACAGACAGACAGACGGACAGACGGACAAGTCAAAAACATTATACCATCCGCAACTTTGTTGCATGGGGTATAATTATTTTTGATTCTCAACTTTTAATAACATCAAAATAATATACATAAAAATATGAAAATAAGGGAAAAGGATAAAATTTTACGTATTTGAATCTATTTTATAGTTTAATTGTATGATTTCTATTTTCCTAAGGGGTTAATTTTCTTTTTTTGGTGTTACAATGTAAGTGGTGAAAAGACATCTTATTTTTCTGTTTATAAACAATCACAATAATAAATTTAAAGTATCCAATAATTTCTGATTTTACAGCAATTTGGAAAAAAAATTCTATTTAAAATATTTGAGAGAAATTTCAAAATGTAAAAAAAAAGAACTGTGCATTTCAAAAACTTTGGAAAAAGAAGTAAGAAAAAAAAACCTTCAGTGCTTTGTTCAAAATTTATAGATTTATAGATGACCATACATTGTCAATTTGACAGCCATGCTTGTTGGAAAGATATGTTTGGATTGGATAGCACTGATCACACAATGTAATAACAGTAGCCAAAATTAGTTAGTAGAAGAATTACATATAGAGATTTCCTAAAAATAAAATATTTGAATATATACAAAATGATTGGGCAAGAAACTAATTCAGTACAACAGTAGATTAAATATGAATAAAATGCTCCGCTGGACGCAGCTTGATACGACCGCAGAGGTTGAACCCTGAACAGTTGGGGCAAGTATGGACACAACATTCAAGCTTGATACAGCTCTGAATTTGGATTGTGATTAAATATTTGACACAGCATAGGTTTCTGACACAGAATGAATGTGGTCTAAGAACTGCAAAATTTCTAATTTACCTATTATGGTCCAATATCCAAAATCTAAATACATACACGGTTAGATTCAGCATATCAAAGAACCCCAAGAATTCAATTTTTGTTAAAATCAACCTAAGTTTAATTTTGGACCCTTTGGACCTTAATGTAGACCAACTTGAAAACGGGACCAAAAATTAAGAATCTAAATACACGGTTAGATTCAGCATATCAAAGAACCTTATTTGCTTTTATATATAAATCAAAAATAACCAACTTAAAATGGAAAATTTTTAAAGAAAAAAAAAAAAGGAAAAAAAAATCCCCCCCCCCCCCCAATTTTTTGAACCCCCTTATGATTCATCACCCCCAAACTTAATCCCAACCTTCCCTTTGTGGTATGGTATCTTGCAGTACAATTTCAGAGAGATCCATACACTTGAACACAAGTTATTGTTTGGAAACTGTAAAAATGCTTGTTTTTTTGCCCCTTTTTGGCCCCAAATTCCTAAACATTTAGGGCAATTACCCCCAAACTCAAACCCAGCTTTCCTTTTGTGATATGGAACCTTGTAGTACAATTTCATAAAGATCCATACACTTACACACAAGTGATTGTCCTGAAACTAGAAAAAGTCTTGTTTTTTGCCCCTTTTTTGGCCCCTAATTCCTAAAATTTTGAGGCAATTATCCCCAAAATCAATCCCAGCCTTCCCTTTGTGGTATGGTACCTTGCAGTACAATTTCAGAGAGATCCATACACTTGAACACAAGTTATTGTCTGGATACTGTAAAAATGCTTGTTTTTTGGCCCCTTTTTGGCCCCAAATTCCTAAACGTTTAGGGCAATTACCCCCAAACTCAATTCCAGCTTTCTCTTTGTGATATGGAACCTTGTAGTACAATTTCAGAAAGATCCATACACTTACACACAAGTTATTGTCATGAAACTATAAAAGTGCTTGTTTTTTGCCCCTTTTTTGGCCCCTAATTCCTAAAATTTTGAGACAATTACCCCCAAAATCAATCCCAGCATTCCCTTTGTGATATGGAACCTTGTGGTACAATGTCAGAGAGATCCAGACAGCTAACACACAAGTTATTGTCTGGAAGTTACAAAAATGCTTATTTTGGGCCCCTTTTTGGCCCCTAATTCCTTAACTGTTGGTACCATAACCCCCCAAATCAATCCCAACCTTCCTTTTGTGGTATTGTACCTTATGGTAAAATTTCATAGAGATCCATTCACTTAAACTAAAGTTATTGTACGTAAACCAATGTGTCTTCTGACGACGAAGACGCCGCCAACATCATACCAATATACGACCGCAAAATTTTTTTGCGGTCGTATAAAAACAGACATACTTCAGTATTCTCCCTAGTATTTTAATTTCTAATAGCACCATGGGATTTAAAATAAGCACCTTTTCCTTAGAATTATCATGATTATAGCACCTCATTTAGAATACATTCTATTATAAAATCAATTTAGATAGCACCAGGGGAAAACATTGCACCATGGTACTTTGGTGCTACAAAAATGTTAAGGCACTATGAAGAGTGCAGAATAACATATTTAATCCATGTTATATTTTTGTCGAGCCTTCGACTTTAGTCGAAAAAGCGAGACATAGCGATCCTACATTCCGTCGGCGTCGGCGTCGTCGTCGTCGTCGTCGTCGGTGGCGTCCACAAATATTCACTCTGTGGTTAAAGTTTTTGAAATTTTAATAACTTTCTTAAACTATCCTTGATTTCTACCAAACTTGGACAGAAGCTTGTTTATGATCATAAGATAGTATCCAGAAGTAAATTTTGTAAAAATAAAATTCCATTTTTTCCGTATTTTACTTATAAATGGACTTAGTTTTTCTGCCGGGAAACATTACATTCACTCTGTGGTTAAAGTTTTTAAAATTTTAATAACTATCTCAAACTATCCTGGATTTGTACCAAACTTGGACAGAAGCTTGTTTATGATCATAAGATAGTATCCAGAAGTAAATTTTGTAAAAATAAAATTCCATTTTTTCCGTATTTTACTTATAAATGGAATTAGTTTTTCTGCCAGGAAACAATACATTCACTCTGTGGATAAAGTTTTTAAAATTTTAATAACTTTCTTATACTATTTTGGATTTGTACCAAACTTGGACAGAAGCTTGTTTATGATCAAAAGCTAGTATCTAGAAGGAAATTTTGTAAAAAAATAAATATTTTTTTTCCGTATTTTACTTTTAAATGGACTTAGATTTTCTGCCAGGAAACAGTATATTCACTCTGTGGTTAAAGTTTTTAAAATTTTAATAACTTTCTTATACTATTTTGGATTTGTACCAAACTTGGACAGAAGCTTGTTTATGATCAAATGCTAGTATCTAGAAGAAAATTTTGTTTTCTTCCAGTTAACATTACATTCAGTCTTCAGTTAAAGTTTTTAAACATTTATTAGATTCATAAACTATCCTGGATTTTTACCAAACTTGGACAGAAGCTTCTTACAATCAAAAGATAGTATCAAGAGGAATATTTTTATTGATTTACTTCCTCATTTTTGTTGAGCCTGCGATTAACAGAAAAAGTAGGCGAGACACTGGGTTCCGCGGAACCCTTACGAATTTTTGATATTGATAAAGTTGTACATATTTTTTTTTATTATGAATTTTGATATAATTAGTCCTAGTTGTAGGTTTTTGTCATTTCCCCTTACAACCAGAAGCTCACTTGTAACAATTTGAAAGTTGGAAAAAATTCACATCCTAAATGTTTTATCCCGTAGGTATAAGATTTTAAAACTTTTTAGAAAAAAGTGAGATAACTGTATTAAATACTGATATTGTTTTGCAGGTTTACTGAAACTGGATAATGGGAATGAATTAACAAATTTTTTTCATGATGTCTGGTATAAACAAGTCTCCAGTGCCTGCCAACATGCCAGGTAACTTTTACATTGTGAAGTATTCATCTTACATGTTTAAAGCTTGTAGGAGCATAGCCTAAATTATGAAGGAAAAACTATACTGAAAAAATCCTTAAATTTTTATCTTGAATCACCTAAACTTGCATTTTATGCTTGAGTGATTGAGAGATTTTTGGCCATTAATAGTGTTGTACCATCATTTTTGTACTGCAGTACAGGTGTCACATCTATCTTACTATTCTTCAACAATTTGCTTACTAATGACAGACCAACATTTACACACCTTTAAAGACGTTCGTTAAGTTATATCTATCTTACCATTCAACAATTTGCTTACCAATGACTGACCAACATTTACACACTTTAAATGACTTTAGTTAAGTTATGTGTATTATCACTAATCTAAAATACAATATTTGTCTTGCAATTTTGTCACATCAACCTATTTTTTACAGTCTTAGTGGTTTTAGTTAAGAATTTCTTGGAAATCTTTGATAACCAATCCCTAAAATTTAATCAGTCTAAATGTCATACAACTGTGGTATTAATGATTCTTTACTGCTACATTTCACTGATGTTGCAAAGCCTTTTCATATGTCATGAACACTATGACCTATATTTCATGCTTGAACAACTTCAATTATGTGTCTTATATTTTTTAACCATTACATTCTTATCAAATTTAAACACAGTCATTTGAATCATAATGACATGCATTCAACAATCAGCCAGTTGTTTTGTGTCAGATGTAGTGTCTCAATTCACGACTAAAAATCAATTAGTGCAATAGAATAAATCAAAAGCAAAGGAACAGGGCTTTTATTGCTGTACTTCATCTCTGTGTCACTTTGAGGCTTTCAAAATGGAGCAAATACTCTCACCTTACTGTAAGTTCACTAGTAGGTAGGAAATAACTTATGGAAAGGACAAATATGTGGATGGACTGCATAACAATTTCAATAAACAAAAATTGTTTAACACGAAGAATTGGAGAACACATATCAGAGAATTTATCTCAAGAATAAAAACACCATAACTGTTAAAATATAAGAGAATACTGTTCCTATTCCAAGCTTTCATATTTTTCTGCTGAGATAAACTTCATTGGAAATTCAGATATGTTTTTTTCTGAAATGAAGTAAGAATTATTAAGAACTATTAATAAAACACTTTGTTACTATAATTAAACATGTGTTAAACATTTTTTCTATTTCTTACAGGTGCATTGAAGCACAAATCCTCTTTTGGTGCAGTTTTAAATGGAAAGGTATAATGTTATGTTTTAAGATACAAATGTATATATACCTGAATTTCTCAGATCCATCACTAATACCTCGATTTCTTTAAAATGAAACTAAAAAAAAATTTCTAGAACTGAAAATGAAAATGTCCTTATGAAGGATAATTTTTGTTTGACCTGTGACAAAGACACACGTGAGGTTGTATTTTTCTGGTGACAGCAAATGTTACAAATTGAAAATGGTTTATGTCTTAGCAACTTATCCCCACTCTCACCTATGTAAATCAAAATATGGTTGGAAAACATTTTCATTTGAAGAAGACAACATTTTTATGGTCCAATGAGTAGGATTTTTGGCTGCATTGATTTTCTGTAGACTACCATTGCCAGAACTGTTTTCCTTCAAGCTTAGCATTTGGATGTTCAGTGTGTTAGTGAGACCCTATCATTATTTTTGGTTCTCGAGGTCAAGATATGATTGGCCTTCTGTAGACTGTATTAAACAGAGATTTTTCTGCTTCAAACATTGTACTTCGTTTGTTTGTATGGTCATTGATTAAGGCCCATCGTCCATGATAACTACACTAATAAAGAAGAATTTGGCTGAAGATGAAAAATATCAGCAGAGGAAGTGTCAAAATTTTAGGATTTAGTTTAAATCTCATATTTGGTCACAGTATTTAATATTACTAGAACACACCCGTATCGCGGGTCCGTGACTCAATTAAAGTACCTACGCCTGATTTTGAGCCTTGAGTTTTAGTATTCATATTGTCATCTGATAAAGTCATGCTGATTATAAGGTGCACAGTTTTCTCTGCTTTGAAAATCTTTCTGTTTGAACCTGTCCTGGTTTTCTTACTACAATTGGAAACTACATGTGACATATACTAATATTTCGCGCTATGATGATGGAGTTTAGGTGTGATTATAACCGGGTTATATAATTGACCATATTTTCATTCACCAATAGTCATGTTTAATTTTTTGTTTTTAGTCTGTTTTATAGAAATCATCCATGAGATTAAAGTATTTTCTGTTTTTTAAAAGAAGTACATATGCTTCTGACAGGTTTCATTTGATCACTTCTCATTTTCATAGTTAATTGAATTGAAATGAATTGAAATATTGCAGCAGATAATAAAGACATTTAAGTGTGTAAACTATTGTTTGTCTAATCTTTGACAAAAGTTGAAGAATTAAAACATAGATGATGTTGCTTCCCCATTTTGAACTGGATAATGTATGTAGTTGTAAATCTTTTTTTAGGTTTAGTGCATAAAGTGATTTTAATGATTTATTAACTTAAATATTGATGTCATTAAGTGAATTAATATGCTAATGCTTCTGTTATAGAGAATTAATATGCTAATGTTTCTGTTTTATAGAATTAATATGCTAATATTTCTGTTATAGAGAGCAGTGATGAACTCTACAGAAAAGGTGACAAAAACAACGCCAAAAATCTTTAAGTATGTTTTAACATGTATCTTGTGGACTATACTTTCTACCTTCATTGAATTACTTGTAAAAATGGGTTTAGCCTCTGCTGCTCTAAGTATTCTAGGTTTTTTACATTAACTTTACCCCACCTAACAATGTCGCAGGGGGTTTAATATTTGTACCCATGCATCAATTCATGGGGCACATCCCTCAATTCTTGAGGCGTATCCATCAATCATGAGGCACATCCATCAATTCATGAGGCACATCCCTCAATTCATGAGGTATATCAATCAATTCATCAGGCACATCCCTCAATTCATGAGGTGTATCAATCAATTCATGAGGCACATCCATCAATTCATAAGGTCCATCCCTCAATTTTATGAGGCACATCCCTCAATTCATGAGGCACATCCATCAATTCATGAAGCATATCCCTCAATTCATGAGGCACATCCATCAATTCATGAGACGCATCCCTCAATTCATAAGGCGCATCCTTAACCTCATGAGGCGAATCCATCAATTCATGATACTCTTATTTCAACTTACTATATACATGTATTGCCCTTGTTCTTGCAAGTTATTATGAACCACTATGATAATTATAGAGGCAAGTATTAGTAATTTGGTTAATTCCTACTTTTTGTCTGCGTGACCATTATTACACATTTGATAGCATTATTATTTATTAGATTTGTATCTTTTTCATGTGTTATGAAATGGTTTGAAATTAAATTCTTTATTATAAAATCTATATTTATAGATCCTTACAGAACAATGAAAAGAAGGAAGAAGCTAGATCAGGTATGTTTAATTCGACATAGATTAAATTATATATATATATATATATGTAGTTTCTAACTCATCAGTCCATCTAATGACATAATGAAAGGTATTGAAAAAACTTTATATTGAATTGCAACCTTACTTGGATATATAGTCCCGCATATCATCAAGATCATAGTTTCTAAAAAAAGACCAAAATTTGTGTCTGAAAGGAGTTTTTAAGCATAATTTTAATGGCTTTAATTATTTAGCTGTCATTAAAACAAATATGTAAATAATTTAATTTCTTTTTTCTTTTATAACACAGAGAAAGCCAGATTCTCAATTTATATGCAAAATTCTAGAATAACTGTGTATACCTGAAAGGTAGATTGAATCGTTTTCTCCTTTTATTCATACAATTGATGTAAAGTATGTATGAGAAAGGCAGATTCTCAATTTATATGCAAAATTCTAGAATAACTGTGTATACTTGAAAGGTAGATTGAATCGTTTTCTCCTTTTATTCATACAATTGATGTAAAGTATGTATGATTTTATACCATTGAGTAAACACTTGAATCTTGTTCCACAAAAAAAAAATACAAAATATATTTGTTGATGCTTTAATTCAAGATAAACTCACAGATCAAATAAAGGAAGCTGAAGCTAAGTTTGACAAGTTGTTAGAAGGATGTCTGGATGATTTACCTAGTTTACCACATTCTACAGTTAGAATATTCATGAGCTCAACATTTTCTGGTATGTAACTCCTGTATTGATTTGTGATTTTGTCGAGTTTGATTTTAACTGTTGCCCAAAATAACCTTTCTATAGTTTAATGCTGGTGAATTGTATAAGAATGATAAAATTGATGGTTTCTGGATGATGACAAAAATTTGCTACATGTATTACTGATATCTGATGATTTGGTTATATTTTTTATTTTCCAAAACAGCTGTTTAGTTTCAATTTTCACTGTTTTCCATTGTAGCAACTCAGAGTTTTGCCTCTTAAAAAGTTTGATTAATAAATAAGTAATATATTGATGATTAATTTTTCCTGAATTAAAGTAACATGAGGATGAAGTGTTATTTATCTTTCGGTGACTAGATATGAGATCTGAAAGAAATGCCATTGTCAGAGATGTCAATCCATTGTTGAAGGAGTACTGTGCCAAATATGACCTTGACTTTCAGTTTGTAGACATGCGCTGGGGTGTAACAGAAGATAGCCAAATTGACCATTCTGTGGAGAAAATTTGTTTGTTGGAAGTAGAAAATTGTCAGAAGATTTCTCTTGGTCCTAATTTTATTGTAAGTGAAAGTGTGAATTTTCCTTTGAAAGGAGGAGGTATATAGGATAACAACCTTTCTCTTATGGTTGTGGCCTGTTATCTATTTTCCTCAAGAAGAGATACTTCTCGTATCACACTGAAAGACTTATCATGCCTTCTTCTTTCTGTATTTTGTAATAAAGATACATTGTCAATCTATTGTCTGAAGTATAATTCTATGTCAAACTAAGACACAATTACTTTAATACATATTATGCATGTTTAGGGTTATGGTTTTGTGTGAAATAAACTACTGGTATAACTTTTTTACATGCATTATATTTGCTATATTTTTAAATGAAATAAGCAAATTTTGATGCAGGAATGCAATTCATTTGTGAGACTTTCCATTTTAATGAGAAAATTATGTGATTTTACAACAACTGAATATTTTTTTATTGATTCAAAATTTTAAAAACTTTCTTTATAAGGGGAGCTAACTTAAATAATTAAATTTTATAAAGGGATGCCATCACTTGGCATTCATCGTTGGCATCTTGAACATTTTAAAAAAAATTCTCTTCTGATATCACTTCACCAGTTTCAACCAAATCTAATCGAACAAGAATATTGAACAAGTGGGAAGAATGATAAGAAAGTCAAGATGTACCTACATTACCTTTCCAACAAAATTATCAAACCACTGCTATACGAGTAATTCCCCTTCAATAATAATTTTTTTTTATCCATTTTTTACATTATTGGTAATTATCTGGAAAACAATTATAGAAAAAAACTACAAAGAAGTTAATAGCCTTTAATTTTTTTTCCTCTTTTTTTACTTTTGCCTATACTACCTTCAAAATTATATATTTAGAGAGAAGCTGTAAACAGCAAAAATGATCTGCAAGATAAGATCTACAAATAAAAAAAATAAAGAAAATTGTTGATGAACTCCTTTTAGGAGTTATTGCACTTAAAAGAAGATATTTACCCATTTTTTTAATTTTTGGATATTTTCTTGAAATTTATAATAGATTTAGAAAGAAAAAAGCAAAAATTATCAGCTAGAAAATATCTACAAAGAAGTATTCATACCTGATTGCAATAATTTTGAAAATGAATATAAAAATAGCATATGTTTGCCATAATAGTTATTCAGACTCTTACATTAGCCTCTTGTTTTTTTTTTTTATCTTATCACATGCCTTGCCCTTCTTAACTCTGTTGAATATGATAATATAGCATTTGAAACACCTTCTTTCATTATTCTAAAAATGTAAAATTTTGAAATATATGGAAAATAGAAAATATACCTTTTGGAAATATTAGCCATCTGACTAAAATGGTATGAATGTTTCTCTAAGAATTGTCTTTGGAGGCACAGGAGGTATATTTTATTGGTTGTTTTTCTTCTGTTTATTATAGCTATTGTCAGGTGACAGATATGGTTTTACACCAATACCTACAGAAATTGAGAAGGGAGAGTTTGACATTATAAAAAAGTTTGCAGAGAAAGAAGCAGATGATGCTACATTACTGGATATTTGGTATCGACTTGATGAAAATGCTAAACCACCAAAATATATTCTACAGGTGGTTTGAATATGAAGTATATTTTATGTACTCGTTTGTAATTAATTTTTTTTTGTGGGGAAATGTGAATAACAAATATATTTTTTTAGGTCATTTTTTAGTAACAACAAACAAAAGAACTATGTCAGTTGGACCTGCTATGATACGATAACTGCACTTGAATTTTTACTAGAAAACATTTTTGTTCGCTATGGAGATTCCATTCACGTCAAGTTATCAGAATTCAAATGAGGACTAACTGAGCACCACTTATTGTGGACCTGTTTCTGTATTGTTATGAGTTACAATTTATGACTAAAATCAGCAAAGACCCATTAAAACAACATCTGATACAAAAATTGAATAACACTTTTAGATATTTGGATGATATATTGGCACTCAATAATGATGACTTCAGTATGTACACTAAAGAGATTTATCATGCTGAACTGACTTTAAATAAAGCTAATACTAGCAATGAACACTGCCCTTTCCTGGATCTTGATATCTATCTCTAACGGGAAGCTTAATACCAAAATTTACGATAAAAGAGATGATTTTTCATTTCCTATTGTTAATTATCCATTTTTAGATGGTGACGTTCCCTTGTCACCATCTTATGGTGTTTATATATCTCAACTTGTTTGATTCGCTCGTGTACGTAACAACGTATTTGATTTTAACGAAAGAAATCTCTGTATTACTGAAAAATTATTGCACCAGGGTTTCGATATCACAAACTAGTCAAAACATTTACTAAATTTTATCATCGGTACAAGGAAATCTTTCATAAATATAAATCAGCATGCAGACATCTTATACGTTCAGGTATTTCACATCCAATCTTTTATGGTAATATTAAAAATGTTGTCATTCACCTCAAAAGCTTACTAAACCTGTAAAGAGACTTATTCAGAAGGGATATAGTTACGATACTGTTATCAGGTCATTAAAGATGGCATATTTTGGAATTGATATTGATTCACTCATAGGGCCTTTGCATCAGAAATAAACACATTTATTCTAAAACCAGTTGTTGGCATGATACGGGTTATGTTCTCATATATTTTTTGATGGTACGATACTAAACCCCTAACGGGATTGTGCTTGATTTTCATACGATGAAGACATAATCTTTCAATCAGTTTAATTGAGGTCTAGAGCTGGCATGTCAGTAACTGCTAGTAGTCCTTTGTTAATTTATGTATCATTGTCATTTTGCTTAGTTTCTTCTGTTACCTATTCTGACATCGGACTTGGACTTCTTTTAAACTGAGTTTTACTGTGTGTATTGCTGTGTGTTTGTTTATTCTACATTGGCTAGCTATAGAGGTATAGGGGGAGAGTTGAGATCTCACAAAACATGTTTAACCCCGCCACATTTTTGCGCCTGTCCCAAGACAGAAGCCTCTGGCCTTTGTTAGTCTTGTATGTTTTTTAAAATTTTAGTTCATTTATATGTTTTGGAATTTAGTGTGACGTCCATTTTCACTGAACTAGTACACATTTTTGTTTAGGGGCCAGCTGAAGCCCGCCTCCGGGTGCAGAATTTTCTCGCTGTGTTTAAGACCCATTGGTGGCCTTTGGCTGTTTTCTGCTCTTTGCTCGGGTTGTTGTCTCTTTGACACATTCCCCATTTCCATTCTCAATTTTATAAACTAAAAGAAGGAAAAAAAGGGGGAGAAAATACAAATAGGGCTATCAAAAACAGTAAGTAGAAAAAATGCTGACAACACCGTGATCAAAAGAACAGGGACAAAAAGACAAATGACAGTCCACAAACCACTACACAGAAAACTTAAGATTGAGCAACACTTAATTGTTATGGTTTTACTTGTGTTTTTGTTATCATTTTTACAGTTGAGTGTTTTTCCTGTACTGATTTTTGTTGTATGTTAATGTCTTTGCCATATCTTGTTGTTTTTGAGCCATATCTTTATGTTTTTGAGTCTCTGCTAAATTTAATCACATCTTTATTAGACTCAGGACAATTAAAATCTAGATATATTGAAGAAATCTCTATATTGACCTCTAGATGTCTTATGTTTGTTTGTGTCAGTGGGTTGCTGCCTCATTGACATACAGCAACACATCTTGTTTTATTCTAACAGAATTATTTTAAAGGAAGAAATATTTTCTTTTTAGCCAATAAGATCCCAGTTTACATTTTATGGTGATCACTCTGTAGGATGTGAAGAACTGAAAGCTAAAGACACGCTTGGTTGGGAGAAAACTTTTATGGTTCTACAAAAAATTCTAAGACAAGCAGCAATGCAGTGTAATGCAGAACAACTCAGTGAAGAAAAGCTTCATAATTATTTCAAATCAGGTAATTCTTTCCAATAATCTTTGGAGATGTATTTGTAGATGAATAGATGGAATCTAACCACATTGTGAAGCTGATTAATAAGAAATACCGAATTACTGTAGATTTGTTCAAGTGCTCTTAGTACCCAAGTATTTAAAGGTTTCAATCATATTTTGTATTAAAGTTATGTATAAAGAGCCTTTTACTCATGTCACAATCAAGATTGTTCAAAGTATAAGGTAGATATCCAAATAATTCACAATAGTTTCATCTCCAATTACCCCAACAATTGAAAATTAATGTAACAAACTGTTTTTTTTTGGTCATAAAATGCAGGAAAAGAAAATAAGAGTTTTTACAAAATCAAATTTCAGTCTTCACTGATTCACAGATAAACTCTTCATAATAACAGTTTATAATTTTGGTGTGTCAAGAGCACTTTTCTTGATTTACCTTCACGCAGAACACTCTAAACACAAAATTTGAAAGCCAAGGATATATAAATACTTGTTAATAACCCATTCCATTCTAAAATCAAAACATTTTCTATGATTTTCCTTAGTCAAATAGTAACTGTGTTAAGCACTAGAAGCAATGTGTTTTTTTTAAAACTTTTACTATTATTTATCTACCAGGAAAGATTGTTTTTTCTTCATATCACCTTTGTTGTTTCAGTTACTGAATTAGAAGTAAAGAAAGGAATTCTGACTGCTGATAAACCTGAAATACACACAAGTGTCTACCAAAGGATACTGTTGGGGTTAGACATTGATACTGTTACAGATATCACAGCTGTAAAAAGATATTTTGATACTAACATGGAAAATGGCAAGGTAAATTCTACTGTAATTACATTCAAACAATCACTGTTTGTGATGTAAACTTTCTGTGGTAGAGTTGATGTTGAGATTATGCAGTATCAAAAGATTACAGTTTTTTAAGGGTGTAAAGTTTAAAATTTAGGACCACATCAAATCTTTAAGAAAACAATTAACAGGATTTTTTTTAATCTTATAAAATTGAGAATGGAAATGGGGAATGTGTCAAAGAGACAACAATCGACCAAAAAGCAGAAAACCACCAATCAGTCATCAACACAGCGGGCTTCAGTTGGTCCCTAAACAAAAATTTGTACTAGTTCAATGAAAATGATGTCACACTAAACTCCAAAACATATAAATGAACTTAACCTGTTTTATACCTATTTTAAATATGTTACTTAGTGCAATTATGACTTGTCTTGCTTAAAATCCCTCTTTCACCTCATCGTGTTTAGCAGGGAGCAGACAATGTTTAGCAAACAGAAAGGTACATAAAACAAGATTACGTTATAAATGCCATTGGCCCAAACTTAAACATATTTTTAACACAAATGTCACCTTAATTAGCCCAAACGTGCATCTCCCATTAGATCTCTAGAAGCACTCAATATCCTTTTTAACATACTGCATTAATGAAAATATCTTTTCAGTTGATAATTAATGATCAAGTCAAGTTACTAAGAGAGAAAATGGTTGCAGAAAAAGTTCCATCGGCCTTAAAGAAATCAAAAAGAATTCATCAATATAATATCCATTGGTATGAAGGAGGAGTTGATCCTGATAAACATAAAGATCATTCTACATACATTGAACAACTTTGTGATGATCTTATCCAGGATGTTTCTGAACTTATTGATAAAGCCAGAGAAGACCAGAAAAATGTAATTAGAAGATCAGAATATTACATGGGCTATCATGAAGTACTTCATCATCTGCATTTTTGTAAACTAAAATGTGAGACTTTCTGTGGTAGAGTTGATGTTTTACAGGAAGCAAAAGAATATATTCTCAAGGACAAATCCAGAAGGCCTCTTATTTTGCATGCTCCCTCAGGTGGTGGAAAAACTTGTGTTATTGCCAAAATTATGAAAAATTTACAAGTATGGTTCAAGAAGGAGCCTTATATTGGAATTATTAGGTTTTTAGGCACATCTCGTTTTAGTTTGAACATATATGATGTACTTTTTGGACTCTGCGGACAACTTGCTGACTGTGCTAAAATAATGATGGAGCCAGTAGGGTACAAAAATATGAAGAATATGCTAGAATATATGCCAAGATTCTTACGTCGAGTATCAAACAAAGTCAAAAAGCCAATTGTCATTCTCCTGGATTCTCTTGATCAGCTGTCTGCAAGAGATGATGCCTATATATTAAAATGGCTGCCAACAGTTCTACCAACAAACATTAAGATGATTTTGTCAACATTACCACAGGAACATGAAATTTTGAACACACTACAGTCAATGTTTCCAGATGAAACTAACTTCATAGAACTCCCTAGACTACCAGATAATACAGGATTTGAAATGACTGAAAAATATCTAGCAAAAAAGAAGAGAGTTGTTACTCAGAATCAGACGAACCAAATCATAAATGCATTTCGAAAGTGCAGAGGGCCTTTGTACCTAAAACTGATCCTAGATGAGGCTGTTAATTGGAATTCTTACACTCCAGATGATGCTTTAGTTTTGCAAGATTCAGTTCAAGGAGCCATAAATCAGCTGTTTGACAACATGGAAAAGAAATTTGGGCAAGTTTTGATAAGCCATGCTCTAGGTTACATTACAGTTGCCTACAATGGAATTTCTGATATTGAATGGGAGGATGTGTTATCGTGTGATGATGAAGCACTGAATGATATCTACCGCTATCATAATCCGCCAGTCCCTGGCATTGTACGAATGCCACCTGTACTTATAGCAAGGATAAGATATGATCTCAGAGAATATATTGTTGAGAGAAGATCATTTGGGAAAACAACACTGAATTGGTATCATAGGCAGTTCTTTGAGACAGCTCATGGAAGATATGCAACTGGAAGTGCAGGTAAAAAATTACACAAGGTTTTGGCAGAATATTATCTTGCCAATGATGGTATTCAAAGGGACATAACTCTTCACAGAAGAAATTTGACTGTGGAGAACGCAGACAGACAAGTCACAAAACAACCACTTGTTGTAAGGAATGAAAGAAAACTAATGGCTGTACCTTATCACATTACCCATGCAGGAGATCAGATAGATTCTTCAATTGCCAAGTCAGAATGCTTTTGTAATTTGAAATTCTTAACGATGAGAATGCAAGCGCTGCCATTATCAACCTTGGTGGATGACATGACAGAATATTTGGACAAAAATGATGATGAAGAGGTGGCATTCTTAAGAAATTACTTCCTCGTCTCAAAATCAGAAAACTTATATGGAATCAACTTTGCCTTAAATCTACTTTCAAGGTTATACATTGATCAGAATCAAAAATATCTTCAGGAATTACTTCAACAAGCAAAAGATACAGTGTACAGCAGTAAATCTCCACTACTAATCCCTGTATTTCCATGTTTGGCTCCAAGGAAAGACCCTTCATCGGCTCTATTGAAGACCTATAATGATATAAATAATATCATTTCCAATGGAACAGAATCAGTTTTGATGACAAACTCTAGAGGTAAAGATTCAGAAGGAACAAATTATTCAATTTATGATGCAATCAATAATGAAATTTACCAATTGGATCAAAACAAAAATTTCAAACCCATAATGCTACCTATACTAGATAAGTCACAGAAGAGAGTAATCCAGTTAGGAAAAGATAGTTTACAGACTTTCCATTTACACAATCAGGTGTCAAACAAGTATATGTTTTCTAAAGTTAGTAAAGATATTGGGACCAAGAAATGTTATCCCATGATGGGTTGTCTCAGTACTGATTCCCTACACCTGACAGTTCTATTTAGCAATGGTGATGTGCTAACACTTGACACAAACAGTTTTAAAAAGGTTGACTTGATCACTTTGGGTGAAAAACCAGATAAAATTTCTAACATCATAACTACAAATGAAGAGAATTTAAAGGTTATCTTGACTATAAGTGGAGGAGAGAAGGGAAAGAATACCAGTAGTTGTGTCCAAATTCATGCTATTGGAAGTACAGACAATGGAAAGATGGTCAACACTAAACATACTTTCACTAAAGGCCTTGCAGCAGTTGGATTTAATGAAAGTCTGCTTGTTGGAAGTAGTAATAGAGAAATTGGAGGAACTTTGACAGTAATAAACCTAGATGATGCCATAATAGCTATCAATAAGGATCTTTCTTCCAAAATACTGGAATTATCAGTGGCACATTCCCATGCACTGGCTGCCATTTGGATGGAACAAGGCTTTGTAGCTGTGTACAACATTTCTAATGGGGAGGTTGTCCAAAAATTGAATGTAATAAATACTATAACCAGCTTTGGAGTGAGTTGGATAAATGATTTAGTCTTCATAGGTGACAACCAAGGGCAGATGAATATGTACAAATCTCAGACAGGGAAACATTTTGGAAATTTCAGAGCTGATAGTAATGAAATCATCAAAGTTGCAGTACTTGAAGATCAAGTTGTAACAGTGAGCCAGGAGAATACAGCAAAAGTTTGGGAGTTGACAACATTACTTAATGCTAATCTCAACAAGTTATCCATTGTAGAAGTCAGTACAGAGGGATCTGAGTTGTTGGCACAGAAAGGTATTGTTGGTTTTGATGTTGACCTTAAAGGACACTGCATCATAACTGCTTCAGAAGACAGAAATATGAGGATCTGGTCCGTAGATAATGTAGAACTACAAAATAAAATTTACATTGCAATCACTGGTCACAAAGTATCAGCAACTATAAACTCAATGTGTATTGTGTTGGATAGAATTACCAAGACTCTGAAAATAGTGGACTTTAAAAATGGAGTAGAAAAAATGGTCACACACAATGTGTTAGATTTTTGCCAAGGAAAAGATTGTAGGGCATTGTATCTAGTGAAATCTGGGGAAAACAACCAATTTATAGAAATCATTGATGTAGGACTTCTTAAAATAAAAAAATCATTCCTGTTGAAACAAAATATAACTACAGACAGAATTGATCTCACGATGAATGATTCTGAACGTTTTTTAGTGTTAAGGGTGAAAATTACAGAGAAAGAATATGCAGAAATTCTAGCAGCATGGCAAAAACAAAGTTGGCGCAGCGCTGGGTTTATGCCTGAATCTCATAAACATAGGTTTTATGCTGTTGATCTACCGCAAGCTACAGGAGGTTTAATGCCATGTAACAGAGTATTGACCAAGATGCCACACCTAGGACAGATTATTCGGCCATATAAAGGCAATGTAATGATGATCACTACACGTCGCTTTGTTTGTTTCTGGGATATTCCTACTGGCAAGTGCGACTATAGAATTATCAGAAAAGAAAAGCTTGGATTTTTGTATCAGCCAAAACATTTGGATGAACCTCCCTATATATTAAATATGGAATGTAGCCAAGATGGTCTTTATGTTGCAGGTGGTTCTGAGGAGGGATACATGATTATATGGGAAACCAAAACAGGTCTGCCTGCAGGAGGAAATGAACCTAAGAAAAGGCATTCAGCTTCGGTATGGTTAACTGTTTTATCTTGAATTACTTTAAAAATCTTACTTTTTAATTACTGGTTGTTATTTTTGTGTGAAAACATCTTTTATTTCAATCTTTAAATGTTTACATATTTTTCAGACTAGCCATCATGTGAGATGTACATGTATCTTTGTCAACAATATATTTGTTAATGTGCATTTTAGATCACCTGACCTAAAAGATTTTTAAAAACATAAGACAATCCATTTTGGAGTTATTACCCCTGAAATGTCGATTTTTTTTCCCCAAATTTTGAAGTGTTTGGTTATCATCTTGAAAGCTTTAATAGATCTACAAATACTAGTAGTAAGTCGTTGTGGACAAAATCCTCAATTGATCCCATATAGGAGTTATTGTTCTTGAAAGAATATTTTTACCTATTTTATGCTCTTTGTGAATGCTGTTATAGAGAGAAATTGTAAAAGCAAAAATGTTCAGCAAAATAAGATCTACAAATAAGCAAACATGGAAAAATTGTCAATTAAACCATAATAGGAGTTATTGCCCTTGAACATGATGTTATAGCACTTTTGCAGAAGCCATAATAGATAGAGAGAAACTGTAAATAGCATAAATGTTCAGCAAAATAAGATCTATAAGTAATCAACATAGCCAAAATGGTCACTTGACCCCTTATAGGAGTTATTGCCCTTGAAAGATGATTTTTGTTTATTTTTAAAGAAACCATATTAGAGAGAAACTGTAAATAGCAAAATTTTTCAACATAATAGGATCTACAAATAAGTCATCATGGTTGAAATCGTTAATTGCCCTCTTATAGGAGTTATTGCCCTACAATGATGGTTTTACTCATTTTAGGAATTTTTTTGGCAGAAAGCATAATAGAGAGAAATTGTAAATAACCAAAGATGTTCAGCACTATAAATTCTACAAAACAGTCAACAAAGCTAAAACTGAAATCTTTTTTCCGCTTTTTTTTTTACCTATTTTTGCATTGTTGTCAAAAAGTATAGTAGATAGAGAGAAAGTTTAAAAAGCAAAATAAGATAAAAAAAATTCAAAATGGTCAAAATTGTCTGATTCCTAATAAAATTGATTGCCCTTAAATGACATTTTTTTTTTATTAATTGTAAAAATTTTGCTAATTATCTCGAAAATTTTAAACATTAAAATTGATCATGAATACTAAAAAAAAAAATCACTAAATAAGAAAACTTAACTGATCGCAGTAAAGGTAAAAATAAATATCAAAACAGCATATTTTTACCAGGTGAGCAATTCAGGCTCACAACTTGTTCAATTCTCTATTCAAAAAAAAAACCTAGAATGTGAGATAGAGTTAGTTGTTGTATATGACTTCTGAAGCAATTGATTGTGCTTTCATTTGTAGAATACATTATGATTTCTGGTTTGTGTGTCTGTTGGTCTATCCATTCATCCATCCATCCTGTATCAAGTTGTACTTTTTAGTCAAATTATCGTTATGACAATGATTTCACAACTTGCTGAACATGGAAATGAGATACTGTAGTGGGGAAAAACTACATTCTTTGGTTAAGGTAGTTTACATTGAATTTGTGGTCATATTTATATAAAACTTGAATAAATGTTCATTATGTTGTGAACTTTTTAATTATAACCAAATTATGGTTTTGATCCAAATTTAATGGTTCAAAGAACATGTAAGTGTGATAGTGTGAGTGGGCATGGTGTCTTATGGACACATATTCTTGTTCTATAATAAACAAAACTAATATCTTTTTGTGTCATTATTGTCAAGCCTGGGACATTTATGTCGCGAAAGTGAGACATAGCGATCCTAGATTCCATGGTTGGCGTAGATGGCGGACATCAATAACTTTGTCAAATCTTCATGGAATTTTAGGAAATTTGGACAGAAGCTTAGTTCTGACCAAAAGACAGTTTCCAGAGCAAAATTTTGAAAATATTTATTTTCATTTTCCTGTATTTTTACTAATTAATAGACTTAGTTTATTTTACATTTAACAAGTAGATACAGTCTGGGGTTAAAGTTTATTACACATCAATTTATCAAACCTTCATAGAATTTTATGAAACTTTTGCAGAAGCTTTTTGTCGAGCCTTCGACTTTTGTCGAAAAAGCGAGACATAGCGATCCTACATTCCGTCAGAGCCGTCGTCGTCGGCGGCGGCGTCCACAAATATTCACTCTGTGGTTAAAGTTTTTGAAATTTTAATAACTTTCTTAAACTATCCTGGATTTCTACCAAACTTGGACAGAAGCTCGTTTATGATCATAAGATAGTATCCAGAATTAAATTTTGTAAAAAAAAAAATCCAGTTTTTCCGTATTTTACTTATAAATGGACTTAGTTTTTCTGCCAGGAAACATTACATTCACTCTGTGGTTAAAGTTTTTAAAATTTTAATAACTTTCTTAAACTATCCTGGATTTCTACCAAACTTGGACAGAAGCTTGTTTATGATCATAAGATAGTATCCAGAATTAAATTTTGTAAAAAAAAAAATCCTGTTTTTCCGTATTTTACTTATAAATGGACTTAGTTTTTCTGCCAGTTAACATGACATTCACTCTGTGGTTAAAGTTTTTTAAATTTTAATAACTTTCTTAAACTATCCTGGATTTCTACCAAACTTGGATAGAAGCTTGTTTATGATCATAAGATAGTATCCAGAAGTAAATTTGTAAAAAACAAAATTCCATTTTTTCTGTATTTAACTTATAAATGGACTTAGTTTTTCTGCCAGTTAACATTACATTCACTCTGTGGTTAAAGTTTTTAAAATTTTAATAACTTTCTTAAACTATCCTGGATTTGTACCAAACTTGGTTAGAAGCTTGTTTATGATCAAAAGCTAGTATCTTGAAGGAAATTTTTAAAAATTTTGTACCTGTTTATCAGTATTTTACTTATAAATGGACTTAGTTTTTCTTCCAGTTAACATTACATACAGTCTGCAGTTAAAGATTTAAAACATTTATTAGATTCATAAACTATCCTGGATTTTTACCAAATTGGGACAGAAGCTTCTTACAATTAAAAGATTGTATCGAAAGTAATATTGTTATTATTTTTTTTCCTCATTTTTGTTGAGCCTGCGATTAACAGCAAAAGTAGGCGAGACACTGGGTTCCGCGGAACCCTTACGAATTTTTTATGATTATATACATATATATATAAGAGATAATGTCTGAAGCAAACTTTTGAAAATGTATTTTTTTCATTTTCAGTATTTTTCTGATAGATGGACTTAGATTTTTACAGTTAACATTTACAGACAGTCTGGGATTCAACTTTTTTGACAAGATAGGTTTAATGGATTGTTATAAAACTTGGACAGAAGCTAATCTTCAAGATCTTAAGAAAAAGTTAGATTTTTTTTTTTTAAATTCTGTATTTTACTGATAAATAGACTCACTTTTTAGGTCAACATTACACTTTTACACTAACAGTAGCAATCACAGGCAAGACACAGGGTTCCACTGAACCCCATACAAATTTTTTTTTTAAATAATTAATTTGGATGTTTATTATTCAGGTGGTTCATATCACAATTTCCCCAGATAGTAGATGGGTTGTGTCCAGCTGCCTAAACAACAGACTAAAACTTTGGGACATCACTACAGGAACAGACGTAGCCAGTCTGAAGATTCCCTCTGATGTCCAACAGATGAAGTTTACAGCTGATTCTAAACACCTTATTATTAATACAGGGTTTCGTAATACTAGGATGTTAGTGTACAGACTTCATACTGGCGAACCATGACTCTTAACACCTCATTATCAATACAGGGTTTCGTAAAACTAGGATGTTAGTGTACAGATTTCATACTGGCGAACCATGACTCTAAACACCTTGTTATCAATACAGGATTTCGTAATACTAGGATTTTATTATACAGACTTCATACTGGTGAACCATGACTCTTAACACCTCATTATCAATACAGGGTTTCGTAATACTAGGATGTTAGTGTACAGACTTCATACTGGCCAACCATGACTCTTAACACCTTGATATCAATACAGGGTTTCGTAATACTAGGATGTTAGTGTACAGACTTCATACTGGCGAACCATGACTCTTAACACCTCGTTATCAATACAGGGTTTCGTAATACTAGGATGTTAGTGTACAGACTTCATACTGGCGAACCATGACTCTTAACACTTTGTTATCAATACAGGGTTTTGTAATACTGCGATGTTAGTGTACAGACTTCATACTTGAGAACCATGACTGACTTAACACCTCGTTATCAATACAGGGTTTCGTTATACTAGGATCTTAGTGTACATACTTCATACTGGCAAACCATGACTCTTAACAACTCGTTGTCAATACAGGGTTTCGTAATACTAGGATGTTAGTGTACAGATTCATAATGGCCAACCATGACAATTAAATATTACTTATATGATAATGATCTATTGTCAATGAAATTGATTTCATTTATACAACCTAGAATATCAATAATTTTGTGATACACCAAATTTGATATATTTATTTTTTAGAGAGACATCAAGGAGTTTTGCAATTCAACAGTACAAAATTTTAAACTTGGCTTAACTTACAAAAATGTATATATTATATTTGATTGGTTGATAAGTTTTTGTTTTTTGCTTAAAAAGTTTACAAACTTTTCCACTACCACACATTACAGTCGAACCTCGTTGTGTCGAACTTGGTTGTGTCAAAAACTCGGATGAGTCGAAGTAATTTCTTGGTCCCGGTTAAATTTCCGTTTGATCAATGCATAATAACCTCTGATGAGTCGAACTCGGTTGATTCGTATACTCAGTTAAGTCGAGTAAATTTTATAGTCCCGTCGATGTAAAATTAATGTAAATTAACCCCGATGTCACGAAGTTCGTACGTAAGAATTTTCGAAAGATGTAGACCTAATGAAAAAAATTCAAATCGGATGTATTTCTTATGTAACCTCATCATTTTCAAAAGAGATTAAAGCTAAGACAATTATGATAAATTCATATTGATTTAATGTAAAGCAGATGACCTCATCATAGACTGTTCAGAACTTATTTTGTTCCGCGAGTGATTTCATAATTTATAGTGACTGATCTTTGTATATATTAGTGTATACTATTGATTTTATTTGTGAAGATTTGTATCTGTACTTGTGTGTTTAATTATTATGAAGGACCAAAATATATGGAGATTGAATACACATAATCATAAAGTATCATATCAAAGTATCTAGTTACACAATCTCATACTGTATTTCATGTATTCCAAATTCATGACGACACACTCGACCTCGGATGAGTCGAACCTTGGATAAGTCAAATACTCTTGTCCGGTTCCTTTAACTTCGACATAATGAAGTTCGACTGTATATGATACAACAGGGTTCAACAGTAATCATTACAAGTAGCTCATGTTTGATACTTTTATTTAATTTTTTTCGTTTAATATCTTCATAGTTCACATCCTATAGAATACAATTTATTTATATATCACTTTAATGGCTCTACAGCACGTGGACAAAAATCATTCCCTTTCAATATTTTCCCTTTTATTCTATAAAAAGTTGTAAATTTTCCAAAAAAAAACTATGAACTCATTTGGTAACCAATTTCATGAAATTTTCATCATGTAACTCAGAACCATATGTGCTGCTTTCTATATATTTATTATCTGTTATTTCATGTCATGTAAGAATTAGTCAATGAAAGTATCCACCTCATACATTTGTATATTATTTACAATGTATAAACATTGCAAATAACATAATATAAGCAACCTTACTCATTTCATTTATAATTTGTTGGACTTAATTAATGAGTTAATCATAATCAATTCAATAGAAAATATTTACAAAATTAATGAGCTAAAACTCCTAGATTTTTTTATATTTTGATAAAAGTTATTGAAATCACCAAGATTTTGAATATTATAATGTTCAGTTCTTTCAGAAATTTGTCCTTAGCGAAATTTAACTTTCCTGTTTTTTTTCAATGCACATCAGAAACAAGCAATAGTATGTATATATAACACTGTGTTCAGTTTGTGAATGGTTTTGTCCCCCACATAACACATTTTGGTAAACATGAAAAACCAGGTGTCTGTCCTTAAAGGTTTATATCAGCAGTCTGTAAGACAAGTTCAAAAATCATTTCTGCTGAATTATTTTGTCAGGAGTTTTTTCCCTTAGAAATGTAAATTCTATAAAAAAAAAATTGCATTGTAAGCATTCTCACGTGTACAGTTCTTGCCAGATGTTTATGAAATTTATACCAATAGTTTATATCAGCAATGTCTCAGACATATCGAAAATAAGTGTTGATCAATTATAAAATCAAAGAATTCATATATTGCATGCATTGTAAATTATTTCATCATATTTGATACTGCAAGAATACTCACATTGTTCTGCCAAAATTATATTCCTTATTTTACATCTATCAACATTTTATCCATGTATTGCATTAGGAACCATCTTTTAACTTTTGGATAAAAAATCAAAGAATAAGTTGATAATTTTAAGAAGTTTGCATGTTTTAAAAAGATTGTTCATATTAGGAATGAATCCTTAGCTAGGATAATTTACTGTTACAGAGGCGGATTTAAGGGGGGGCCTCTTATGCAGTCAATGGGCCCCCTCTTATGAAAGTTTCTGGATCCGCTACTGTGTTATATATATTTGCATTGAAAATTCATCATTGTTCCATATTTTAATGCTAGTGAGATTGAGTTGCAACTTCTGGCAAAAGGAAATTCCGACACTTGAGTTCTACTTGCAGAAACTGTAGATAAGGTAGAATGCCTGCCCGTAGAAAGTAAACTTACAACCTGATAAGGATGTTTGTTGCATTGAGAGTAAAGTACCTGGTACTTTCAATGCATTTTGATTGTATTCAGATTTTTTTCTGCAAAGTTTTTCTTTGAAACGTGTGATAATGTAATTATTCAATTTAAATAATTACATGTGGTATTATCTTAAAATTCAGTATTTAATTTCTACTATTACCTTGGTCATGCTGAGTTTTAGTTTGTAGAATAAAATTAGATTTTAACAAAAATAAATTGTTTTAACTACATTTGTGATCATTGGTAGTAACCAACTTGTTTAAAAAAAAATTCTGATAAATGTCTGACTGAATAAAAAATTATATAAATTTTTTTCCGAAATAGAAATAGAAATGTGATCTTCATCATTAGATGTATAACTATATAAACTCTAGGTTATAGAATTCAGAATAAAAAAGTCACATTTCCAACTTGCTCCTAATTTTCATTCAGTTGTTTATAACCAGGTTTAATCCACCATTTTCTACATAAGGAAATGCCTGTACCAAGTCAGGAATATGACAGTTATTTTCCATCAGTTTGATGTGTTTGAGCTTTTGATTTTGCCATTTGATAACAGACTTTTCATTTTGAATTTTCCTTGGAGTTGGTATTTTTGTTATTTTACTTTTTACAAGACATTTTCATAAAACTGAACAATCATAAGTAGCAAGTGCAGATCTAGAGAACCAATTTTAATCATCTTGTGCAAGCTGGATTTATTTTTAAATTAAGGTTTAAAGTATATTTTCTACCAAATCTGCACACTTAACCCTTTTAACTGTTGGAATTTTCTTAGTTCTAAAGCTCTAAAGTTAAAGCTCTAGTTCCAATAGGAGTATGCAACACTCTAAGATGAGTTGGAGTTGAGGCAATGGTTTAAATTTATTGTAAATCACTAGTAATACTTAAATACTCATCATTACTGATATATACCTTTGATATTAATTAGTTACAATGACTGAATCAATGGAAAATGAACATGAACATTTATTGGGTTTTAAAAGATTTTATTTTTAATTCAGATTTTAGGTTTATTAGGGTCTTAGTATTCTTGTATTCTAGGCAAAGCCTAGATTTTTTTTTATAAAATATTAATGTATAATTTATTGTGATACAGACATTTACCTAATATATTATCTAAAACAATCTCAAATCATAGAGTTTATAATATAACTAATATAACCTCCTTGCTTAAAGTAAGCAAGACAAAAATGTTGCTAGCATCTAGTGCATATAGTCTCTTGTGGGCAGATTAGCAATCATACCACATCTTATTTTTATAAAAGAAACTTACCAACTACCTCCATCAAATTTAACCTTTTTTTATCACACTGTTATGATATATTTTATTTCCATTAAAATACTTATTAATTTACAGGACTTCTTGTATTTCATTTAAGCCATCTACAATCAAAGAAGAATTTCAGTCCAAATAATTTTCAGAGTGTTATCTTCATGATTATAATTATCTCCATATGGCCGCTAGCTAGCATTTTATTTGAATTAAAAAAGTTATTTCCAAAACTATGAGTCAAATAAGGCTATTCATCTGGACCTGGCCATATATATACTTTATATACAAGTACTTCTGGAATGTTGTTACAAATATAAATGAAAAGTTCACTTTTATTGCATTAATTGAGTTTATTTCTTAATACCTGAAAATGTATTTTTTTATTGACAACATATTTGTTACATTTGGAGGATATGCTTCTTAACAGTTAAATGGTATTCCTATGGGAACCAACTACATTTAACTCTCTGCTTGCAGAATTATTCCTTTATTAGTATGAGGTAGAATTTATACAGAAGCTACTTGAGAAAAAGAAAAGAAGCTTGGCTTCATCTTTTAATTTTACTTTCCACTATACAGATGATGTCCTTATTTGAATAATTCAAAATTTGGTGACTATGTTGACTGCATGAAATGAAGGATACCACAGATACAGTTAAGTCTGCTTCTTATCTTGACTTACATCTAGAAATTGATAATGAGGGTCAGTTGAGAACTAAACTTTATAATGACAAAGGAGATGATTTTAATTTTTCAATTGTGAACTTTGCATTTCTGTGTAGCAACATTAAAGCAGCACCCTTACGAAGTATACTAAGTATATCCCTAGTTGATACGATGTTCCAGGCTTCCATTTCCTCACTTTTTTGGCCTAAATTTGCACCAATGGATGCAATCATGAGCAGACATCCAAATTTGGAAAATTTCAGCCCCAAACCTCAAAAGTTGCACTTCCTCTAGATTCTAGTCAAACAAAGATATTTTTTCTCACTGTAATGACTGATGTTTTGTTCGATTTTGTTCATTTTTAAAATTTGAGGTTAAAGCGTTGCACACACTAGCATAAACTTGTTGAGAATATGATCTACTGTCTCTACCTGACAAAATTGGAAAAAAACGTATATCAACAGTTATAATCAGCCAGACCAAATACTACAATAATGCATGATATTAAGAGAAGAGGGATATAACTGAAAGAGATCATGTTCACTTCAATTTACAAAAACGAAAAGAACTGTGTTTATGTGTTGATCGTCGCTTTATAAACCAAATTCCAAACAAGATACCCATTCCAATACCTAACTCACCAATAGTTTCAACTTCATGGTGAGTAAAAGAATAGAAAAGGGGTATTAAACTTAAAATGATAGGTTGTTATTGCTGTATTGTATATTGCCAATCACACCAAACACATCACTATTTTTCATTGATGACAACACTAAAACCCTAGGTGAATAAATTAAACAAGAGACCCATCAAAGATCTGTCTCAGCATCAAATTCTCAAAAGACAAGAACATTACAATACAACTAAACAGCATCTGAGAGGTTCTTGAGCATGTGACGGTGTTGAACTAGTTTTTCAAGTTATCCTAAATAATCTAGAAATAGGATAGTTGCAGTCCATTTCAACCTATTGGTCTAATATTTATTGTAAGTTTCATATGAGAATTATTTGTTGGAATTCCCTATTTCGTTATTGTATGAATGGGTTTACCCAACTTAATTTTTGAAATAAACATTAAATTTATAAAGAGACAACAGGACCAGAAATACTTTCCACAAAATACTTAACAGAAAATATATATTTGATCAAAACTGATCCCGTCTAAAGTCAGGAGATGAACTCCAGTGTTTTGACTGGATGTACAGTAATTGTAAAATTTGTGCCACCCGTCAAAACCAGGCGGAGTACACCAATTGCATTAACGGTTCCAATTTTACTGCACCAGATGCGCATTTTGACTATTAATGTCTCTTCAGTAATGCTCGAGGCCAAAATATTTGAAAATCCAAAATTTATTCAAAAACTGAATATTGTCATGCCAGTACCGTACTGACTACTTAGTTGGTGATACCCTCAGGGACTAACAGTCCACCAACAGAGGTATTGACCCAGTGGTAGCAATAACATTAATGGTATAAATTTTACTGCATCAGATACACATTTCGACTGTTTATGTCTCTTCAGTGATGCTCGAGGCCAAAATATTTGAAAATCCAATAACTAATTCAAAAATTGAAGAGCTGATAAAACCAAAAAAGACAAAAAGTAAAGCCAAAGCCAGGCAAGGAACAAGACCTTTGCATACGGGACATATATTCCTTAATGCAATATAAAAAAGGCAAATTTCAATAACACAATATCCATATTCACAAGCGGATATTAAAAACACATATGTCTAAAATAAACTGACAAAGCCATGACGAAAAGACAAACAAGTCCACAAAACACTACATAGAAAATTAAACACTGAGCGACACTTAACTCCACAAAAAAACTGGGGTGATATCAAGTGCTCCAGAAGAGTAAGCAGATCCTGCTCCACTATTGGCATCCATTATGTTGTTCATGGTAAGAACAAACTCGGTGATGTTACATTCGAGGAAAGAGAAGGGGATGGTGGTTACAACAATTTGGATATATCCAAGGTCAACCCAACTCTTTATGGTGTACGTTAAACTTTCAAACGTTTCCTTGTAAGCATGAACCCATCGAGAGTCTCAAGGAAATCATGATTGGCTGCAATAAACCTTTAATTTCTATAGAAACATGGCATTTTGTCTTTTTATTGTCTATATAATAGAGAGGTCCATTCAGTTGTTTAATTTCATGTTTCGGACGACTGAATCTAAATGAATAGGGGTCGTCGATATAAAATATTTGGTACAACCTTTACGAATAGAAATCGAGAACAAAATCTGAAAAGACATAATGTGTAAAATGTATGTGAATAAATTATGAATAGAAAATAACCATATTTTAAACAGCAAAACAAACTGACATAATATTAGAAAACTCCGGTTAGATTTGTTGCTTGATGCCATTTCTATACAACAGTATTATTAAATTCTTTAAATACAACAAGTCTTTCCTTAATCATATTTAAAAGGTGTTATCTGTATAACCTAAATCAGATATATTCATATTGTATGTCAACATTATGTGCAATCTTTCTGCAGACCAAAGGCAGTAGTTCGTTGAAAATCAGTATTTTTAATAAGCAAACATGACAGGTTTATTCTGGTTGCTTCCCATATTTATCTTATATAACATACCTTCTTTCAATCTGATTTAATTTCTAATTTTAACAACTCAAAATGGGTCACTGACTAACAAACATTGACACTTTTCAACATATATATACTTTCGTTGTTTGCTTGGAAATATTTTTGTTGACAAGTTTCAAGTTTCAAAAACAATTACATGTGTTCTGATTTATAATCATGCTGTTTCTGAACTTATGACTTAGAGTAAGAAATTAAGTTTTTTTCCATCTATTTTGTCCTTAACAATATGTAAAGAGCTGAACAGGCTTGAGTCCAGAACAGTTATGAGTTAATTAACAGAATGTCGTGAATGCCAAATAACTGAATAAAATAAAGACATTCATAAACACTTAAATTCAAACTCAAGGAACAAATAATACGATGTTTTGGGTTCGTGCCACTAGACCAAATAGAAGCAGAGTTCAATGTGATGTCATTGAGTAGAGTATTTACACATTTGGTTTGCTGCATAAGGATGACTTCAGTAGTCTCAGATCGAAAGATTTATGATAAAATATAAAATACAGGAAAATAAACTATTGCATTTAGTTTTCAATTGTAGATATGCAATTTTTTATTGAAATCTTATAAAATTGGTACATAATATTCAAAAACGTAAATTGACACAAGAACAGAAATAAAAGCCCTGTTCATTGATAATTTTCTATGTTTTCTATGATTTTGTCCCATGTACATTTACTCCATATCCTTTCATTTTCTACAAAAAAGGTATATTTTTTTTATTTTCTAAGACATTTTCAGCACCACATTTGATTAGTTTGATATAATAGTATCAGATTGGGAAATGTTCCACTGACCATTACTTTTAATGACTTACTATTATTTACTATTAATAAGCATTACTTATAATTACTAATTATTACTTAGCATTGCATAGTATTTCTTATTATTACTTTTCATTACTTATTATTAATCATAATTACTTGTTATTACTTAGCATTACTTATAATTTCTTATAGTTACTTGGAATTGCCTATCATTACTTATTATTACTTATAAATACTCTTTTTAGCTTACCATTACTTATCAATACATATAATTACTTATCATTATTTATAATTACATATAATTACTTAATAATTATTACTTCAATGTCATAATGCTAATCAATTATATGAAAACGGTTGTGGTAATAGTTGAATCAGAGACATATTATGCAACTGAATCATAAGTCTGAATAAAACATCACTTCGGTCGGTTACCTCTCTTATAGTTCAGCTACCCAAAAAGGACCCTATTACACTACAAAACAATATTGTTGAAACGAGTTTTCATTTGTTGTATAAAAATACAAGAGGCTGTCAGAGTGACAGCAAACCGGATTTTCCTGCAGAGGTCAAACCCTGAACAGTTGAGCAAGTATGGACACAACATTTAAGCTTAAAACAGCTCTTAATTTGGATTGTGATTTAATACAGCATGGGTTTGTGACACAAAATAAATGTGGTCAAAGAACTGATAAATTTGAAATTGAACATTTACCGATTATAGTCCAATATCAAAATGATATAAGTACATTGCTAGAATCATCATATCAAAGAACCCCAAGAATTTCTGATGAAATACTTCTTAGTTAAACCATTTCTGTTTAAATGGAAATAACTTAAACTTTATTTCCATGAACTAATCATGTTAATCTAAAATTAAATACAATTTAACCATAGACTCTAAAATTAGATATGATGTAAAGAGATATGATGTTATATTTATTTTTAAATTATAATCAAATATAAATAATAGTTTTCTAATAAATCTGTCACTCCAATTATAATTGGGTGATTGCATTGAAAATTACCAGATGTGTGTTGTCTTATCACTTAGTGTATAAATCAAAATCAAACTTTATATATATAGTTGATAGTTCCCAATATGTTTTCTTTCACCTGTAACATACTAATATAGATCTGCAACTTATCTTATCTTAATTTTAACTTTTTAACTTATAAATAATAGATTATTATCAAATGAATCATGCTTGCAAATTGAAAGGTTATTTCCCCTTGAACAGAACTATGGTTTAACCTTTTAACAAAGTTCTCTAACATTAGGTATATAATTATTAGTAATGTAATTAACTTCAAAATGTCTATCTCTTAAAAACCTATAAAACTTATCTGTAATTATCTTCAAAGTGTCTAATAATGATAATAATAATGAACAGTAAATTTCAACCTTCATCTATACAGTCCTACTAGTAAATTTCAAACTTTACATATACAGTCCTACAGATCTTGTCAGGAAACAGAAAATTTTCAAATAAATCTGTCACTCCAATTATAATTATGAAATAAGACTTTTACCATATGCTTTAAAAAAAATGGCGATAACTCAAAAAGGAGAAATACTAAAATCTTGAAAATTGAACTAGACCTTCATTAAGTCCCAGGAAACAACATATTTAAATTTGAAAAAAATTTGTTTTTCATGTTATTGTGGAGACACTGTTTGGCAGCCGCCCGCCCGCCCGCCGTACATCCCCAATTTAAGAACCAATATTTCCTTCGAAAATCCGGTTAAAAATATCATCGGGAAATCCTTGACCTATGATAATGGATATCTCATATAAAAGAATCAATATAACATGATGTGAAAGGGTTTGTTTCTGCTGACCTGACTGAAAGTTTCTCAATTTCATTTTACCCATCTTTAGGGAGCTACCATTTGATTTTTAAGGAGGGGGGGGGGGGGGGGGGGGGGGGGGGGGCTAGGATGAAATTTGAAAAAAATAGGCAGGACAGCAGTTTAGATTTTAAAAAAAGGCAGGATGAGAGACTTGCAAAAAAAAGTCAGGATGACAATTTAGGTAAAAAAAAGTCAGGATAACCTTTTTAAAAAAAAGGCAGGACCGAGATTACAACCAAAAAAAATGCAGGACAAAATTTTTCATCCTAGCCCCCCATAAAAATCAAATGGTAGCTCCCTTAGCTAGTAACCAAACAATTGACAAATGAATAAGAAAAAGATATTCTATGATACGACTTGTATTTTTATGTTAAATCTAATGCAATTTGGATTCATAAATTGTTCCGTGACTGTGACTCAGAAAAACGAAATTCTTCCTGGCACTGTGTAAATTTCAATCTTTTACCTCTTTCCATTTAAATAAAATAATTATATAATTCAATGCAAACAAGTTTCATTGACCTGCATTAACAAAACAAAAAGGTCCCAATTTCAGGATGGATCTTGAAACAAAGACTTTAAAAAATCGTAGTTGTCAACCAAAACAGTTTATATTTCTACACATAGTACTTTCACCTACTTTGATTAGTTAGTAAGTTCTTTAAGGTTGTCTCCCTTCGAGCACCTACAGCTTTGGCATGTCATAAATTGTGTCTTACTACTCTGGACAAATTGATGATGTAAACAATATTAGGCGTACCTTTAAAAGAATATCTATTTAGATAATTTCTTTGTAAGAATTAATTTTATTTTTTGGGACATTTTCAGACGTATGCTTTCAATTCAAAGGTGAAAGACATTTGTTAAACATTAGAGTTCGGAAAATGTGTATTAATTTAACCAGTTTTTGCTGTCTCCCGGGTAAACAAATCGTTTGCAAGGTTTTAACTTTAACACATAGAATATGAGAAAGAAAGAAACTATAGCAACCAATTAACTGATGTTTTAATTATTTAGCTTTAAGATTTTCCATTAAATCCCAGATATACATAAGCCTGATACTAAAAACCTTCAAATCTCATCTTAAACAGGTTGTGACCAATATATCAACCGAATTAGTGATAGATTAACGCGTCAGATTGTGTTTACCTGCAGTTTTATCGTCAGATCATATGTTTTCGTACGTCATATGAATTTGTATTATGCATGCTTTTTCAATGGAAATTGTGACGTCACAATGCATTCTAAATAGCACGAAAACCCATAATAGTACGAGGATATAGCTCAATTAATTATCTTCCTTTTCAGTTTCTTATTTAATTTTCAGTTTCTCACTTATTATTAGGCTGAAAATACAGTTTGCAATATTTTTCTAAACTTTTCATATTGTAAAATAAAAAACAATCTACAAAAACTCATGATCAAGTTTATCATTGGTCCCTTGGTTTCCTGAGAACTCACAAGAACTGAATATTGACCTGAGAACCGATAAATATTACCTGAAAGCATTCTTTTATATGGTGTTATACAGCTCTTACTGATATTAAAGTTTAAAATTTTGAAATATAAGTAATTTTTACTCAATAATAGTACAATTTCACTTCAGGAATTTATTAATTGTGTGTCTTGTATGTAAGGTCCATGTGGATAACAATATGGCGGATGTAATTATTCAAAAGGTACTTAACTGTATCCAAATGAAAGAGTAATAAAGTTTCAAAGGTTTCGGTTTTTTAATAATGGAAATTTGAAAAGTAAAAACATCATTTGGAAAACTTTAATCTATTTTAATATCTTTAAAAGCAGTATAACACCATGTAAAATAAAGTTTTGGGGTAAAATCTATCGGTTCTCTGGTCAATATTCATTTCTTAGGAGTTCTCGGGAAATCTTGGGATGAAATTAATTTTGTGTATGCAGGATTTTTCAACTTCACTGCCTTTAGAGTTTTAGACTGCACTAATAAGTATTAATGATGAGATTTAAATTCAATTTGAAAAATAAGTACAAACCTGTTGATAAATCTAATTTGGTAGGTCACATTACAGGAAAAGAGGCTCGGAATGGGGTTACAATAATTGGAACATATCCGTCATCTGTGTAAGAGATATTCCATAATGGTCAACTAACTTATTAGGTGTCATCTAAAATTTTCAGTGGAATGATTTCAACTTCACCACTTGGAATAAGTCTTGGTTAAATATCTTCCTTGAAGGGCAGCAACCCCTTTACAAGGAAATCATGAAAGGAAATGCAAGCTCATATGTTATAGCTTAATCCCATTTTGAAATCTGTGTGATTTTCTTATATGGTCCCCACAAAATTGCTTAAAACTCAGAAATCCAAAAAGGATTACATACTTCCCAATAATACAATATATGCTCCTAATTTTGATATACCGAACCTGTATGTTGATTTGGGATATAAAATCATAAATGTCTTAAACAGTGCAAAAAACAAGCTATTATTTTCAGTGAAAATTCAAAATGCATTTGTCAAGATCAATACTGGTAACTTTTTCTCAAATTATTATAGAAACTGAATTATCTGTTTGGATAATTTTTTAACAAATTTCTGTTTTTTTTCATTTTCAGAGTAATGGGTTAAAATGCTTTCATGATGGCTACAAATTCTGCTAGTACCAACAGGTCATCCGTGTCTAAAAAAAAGCAAGGTACATGTATAAAGTTTATGTTGTGTATATAGATTTTGATAGTCCAAGAAACTGTTGGTATCTTAAAAGAAATGAAAACACTATTTAAACTCACTTTTATCTTTTTAGTGAAATAAATATTTCAATAGATAGTTGTTTTTAAATGTGTCAAAATTGACTTGTCTATATTGCCTTTGAAAATAGGGTATCAGCCCTTATCTTTTATTCTATTACCTCCCTTTGTCATATTGTTTTGTATTAAATATGAACATTGTTCAAATGAATAGTCACAAGTAAAAGATGTTTATCTTTGTTGCACACATTAATGATGTTTTCAGTTAATGTTTTTTGATTGTGAGGTGTTTGGTTCAGTAATTACAATGATTGATTCTTCTATCCTGTTTGAATTTTCATGTACAGAATATGCAAATAAAAAGATATGGTATGATTGCCAATGAGATAACTATCCATAAAGACCAAAGGACAAAGATGTGAACAATTACAGGTCACCATATGACCTGCAAAACCCATACCGTATAGTAAGCAATTCTGGACTTGCAAAGTAACTTTTACTAATAATAACCAAAGTATCAGATGTATAAGCCTGCATAATGGGCGACCAAAACTTAGTTCAAATTGGATTCTCTCCCTTTATCATGATAACTGAATTAAAAAATGATTTAACATTACACATGCATTATTTGTATGCAAGATACATGTACATCGGATACCTTAGTAAAGTATAGATAATGTTGCTCATGTGTTGTTTTTCCCCCTTTCTATTAAAGCTATAAATGGCACAGGTATAAAAATATATACAACAATTTAAAAGTGAAATCAATGGCCTTTTCTTTCTTAAAATTAAGTTTTGCTTTGTTTATTTTATGAGTTTAAAAAAAAATATCTATCTGCAAATAGACAATAATAAAAGATCACATCTATATATGTATCTTATAATTTACACACTATTTTATCTGAACTTCAAAAAATCTAATGTTTATTTTTTTGTGTTTTTGTTTGTCATAGGTATAACACGGCAGTCATCCTTTGTTGATACAGGAAATATGATGGTCAAGAAAATACAGCCAGTAAAACCTAAAGTGACAAAACCTGTTAAAAAAACTTTGAAGTATGTCTGATAAAACCTTTTCCCATTATATATTATTCTATACATGCCTATTTAAGAAGGTGAAAACTGAAAAAAACATTTATCGCCTCACCAATTTTATTCTTTCTTTTTTTTTTTGCAACTTTTATATTTACTATTTACCACTTATAATTTTACCTTACCTAAGGGTTACTGAGTTGAAGAAATATGGTCACCTTGGTCCGTAAAACCCTGCTAAAAAATGGCATCTGTTTGGCTGTGCAGGATGTATAGCTTCACAGCCACATCCAATTAGAATGGGGATATTAAATCTTATGCCTCATGTAGTGAGAGAGTGTCACGTCACATTTTCTGCATGATAAAAAATCCTTGCAATAAGTCTTTGAGGGGGTGTTAGATGGCCTGTTGTGAGACTCATTTTCTGTCCTTATCCAATATACCCTCATTTTCAAGTTTCCCTCCCTTCATCAAAGTTAGTTAACCCATGTTACAGAACCTAATTATTTTATTGATTGTTAATTTGTTCGCATCCTGGGCATGCATGAAATATTTGTCACTGGATGTTAAGCAACAATAAATCTTTTCCATCACTACATACTTTTCATCCTGTCTATATATTGAGCTGAGTTGTGAAGACCTCAGTAGTGTCTTGATAGGGTGCTCATCTTGCATGCAGGAGGTCATAGATTAAATCCCTCATTTTAGTTAAACTAATAGACTAAAATTGGTATTTGTTGATACTTTTCTACACATGCTGCATTCAGCAGTAAATGCAAAATCTAAGAGGTTTAGGGTTAAAATAATGTGTTTTGATGTGCTTACATGTCTTCTGGCAAACTATTACCTTGTGCAATAATAAATTTAAAAATCTGTCTCAGTGTGTCCGTCTGTCAGGTAAAAAAGCAGAATTAGTATTCAAATCACATTAACATGTTCTCATCCTGGTCAGTGGCTTAAAGTTAAAACATCTTTTTATACATTCAAATTCCATTTTAGAATTGATATTAAAATTATTTGTACTGAAATCACCGAAATGATAATACTGCTGAGGTATTCAAAGTCAAAAGTCTATAATGACAAGACAGAATATTTAGTTCTTTCAGTTAAAGTTTAACCAGCTATAGCTTTGTGATTTGTGATACCAAGCTTCATCTGGTAAGTCCATATAATGTGACATTATTTCAGTTTCTTTGATGATCTACTTTCTATGAGACGAAAACTTTGTTCGTTAAAATGTCATGCACACATAAAAAAAATTTCCTCACATTTAGTCAACAACATTGAGCATGGATATGACTTTCTGTACATCTTGTTTTTACTCTGTATATTGTATTGTGTTTATCTAAATATTTTCTTTTACAGAAATGTACAGCCCACAGCAAGCAAGGAAGAAAGTTAGTTCATATATATTTCTAATAACATTGTGTTGTATAGGAATTATTTTGAAATGGAATATATCTCATTATAAACAATGGACAACTGTGCTTTTTGTGCAGTTAAATTGCATTAACAATATATTCATTCACTGACCTTAAATCGCCTTGTTTATGACGTTGACAATGCATTTCCGTAGAGTTTTATGAATGAAGTCTATAAAGAATGCAAGTTTGTGGAATTTTAAATAGTCCATTTTAAATTCAAAATTTTACCAAAAACAGTTGATTTGGAACAGTTGTAAGAATTGCAGTATAAAGAGAAAAACCATACATTGTCTTGAAATATAAATTTGATTTGTTGTTGGCTGGGTACAGGATAGAAATGAGAGACAAAACCTCACATACTAACTGTTAAAAAACCTTTTACAAATAAATTTTATATTTCGAGACAATGTATAGTTATTCTATGTATAACTGTCTAAAGAAATCTTGTTTAGTTTTGATTTACATGAAAATATAGATTACCTGTACCCTTTGATTTTTATGACTTTTTATTCTGTATTTTTGGAGTTTTTATCCAAAGAATACACAATATTCATTAACTGTAGCAAGACTTCAAAATATACTTCTTTTTACATAATATAATTGATGATCAAAGATTTTACCTTTTTTTGATGAAAATTTCTATGATTCATTTCATGCCTTTAGATAATAAGTGTAATGTTTATAGTAAATGGAGGAAATAAAGCATTTATAAATGTTTTACACTATGTGGTATCTGCACTTGTTGAAAAAATGGTATATTTGAATTTTTTTCTAATGTCATAAATGTTTCTTTAACAAGTAAATGAAAATAGACATTACAAAGTATATTTTTTTTAAATTACCTTTCATTTGTTGATACTTAGAGTGTTATTTTGGCAAATTGATAAATTCATTTATATGTAGGTTAGAAGTCTAGTAGGGCAGATCTATATTTTCAAGTATTTTAAAATACATTCATATGTATATATATATATAATAGTTCTTTCAAGTATATGTACACTGTTATTGCTGTCTAAAGGTCACATCCAGTTTTGAATAATTGTTCTATGAATTATATAATACAAAATTTTTGAAACACAGTAAAAAAATAATTTCTCCATTTCCAACATGCATAATTGCCCAAATCCTTTTCAATAATTTATTAAAAAAGGAAGAAATACACAACAACAAAAAATTGGTGCTTTAATCTTACAATTGAGTTAAAAATCAGAAATTATTCCTAAACAGGAACAAATGTAAATCAGTTTTTGCATCCTTTGATGCAAAACAATTTATAAAAACAAATATTTTCTCTTATTTTTCTCTCTCAATAATCCATAGAAAGAGAAATCAGATTAGTGTGGCTTAAATCTATATGATATGGTAGCAAGGGCAGATAACACCATATCTACACTGGACATCAAAAATTTGTTAATATCAAAACTGGCTGCAATAACTTGAAAGTGTTTGTCTAGGAAATGAGCAGTGCCATTTACGAAGGAAAATCTGCCACAGGGCACAGAGCTTGAGGCAAATAAAGAATTTTGTTGACTTCTATCATCAATTATATCCCCTAAATGACAAAAATTATTTAAAAAACTTTACATCAAGAAAGCACACAAAGTTTGGTTGCAAATGAAATATAATGGCATCTTAATCAGCACCAAAAAGTATAATGCACATTTTACAAAATTTTGTACAAAAATTGGTTGATTAAGAATATTCTGAAATAAAATCCTTTTTAGGAAGAAATAATTCCAATTATGTTATATGTGTGATATCTAAAGATTTTGATAAGCTGCAGTGTAATGCTTAATACCAGGTAAATATAAGTTTGCTGCATTTATTTCAGACAGAACAACAGAAGAACAGATAAAGAAAGCTGAGGCTAAGTTTGAGAGGTTATTGGAAGGATGTTTGGAGGATTTACCTAATTTACCTCATTCTACAGTTAGGATATTTATGAGTTCTACTTTTTCTGGTATGTATCTCACTAATGTAGCCCATAAAAAAGAGTTGCTAGTAATAGGATGGATGGATAAATTATTTTTCAAACCTTCTTCCTCCCACAATAAGAATAGAATATTTATAAACTTTAATTTTTTTCTGATATGTATTTCTGCAAGGAGACAGAGGTTGTAAGGGGAATGTTTTTATAAGTTATATAGCCTTCTTTATTCTTTAGTCAAGGTATTCAGAAGCTATAAATTTTGTAGTGGATGTTAGAACTTGTTAGAGCATTAATTGATTTTGCACTAAAAAACCTTGGATGGAAAGCATGACGCCCCATAGATTCCGTAGAATTCACAGGATTTTTGTTTTCATCTTTTCTAAAGTGCTTAGTATGTCTGACATAAGCAGGAGAAAATCATGCATGTAAAGTTTGTATGAACATGTTTTCTTCTCCATGAAAAAAATGGCTGCAAGAGTAAAATAATTAATAATCTCTGAAATAACAAGGCACATTTTAAATATAAACCATGGCTCAGATTCTTATTGCTGTGTAAACAGTTTGATTTATTGTTCTTCAAATCATATAAGTAAAAAAGCATTTTAAAATAAATATGTTCTCATATTTAACATGCAAAATTGAATCCTGACATGTTTGCCTCGATAAAAAAAAACACACTTATATAAAAATACTAGCTGAAAGAAATGCCATTTACAAAGATACAAATCCACAATTGAAAGAATATTTTTTCAAAAATTAGCTTGACTTTCCCTTATAGACATGTTCTTAGGTAACATGAGATAACCCAAATGTCTGTTTTGTTGAAAAAAATGCTAGTTAGTGAAAATCATAAAAAAAAATTCATAAGGTTTTACATTTCACCTAAAGCTAACTACAGAGACCTCAACTTAACTTATGTGGCCCAAATGGTTATTTGATTTATTATGTCAGCATATGTCATAACATTTAAATAACCATCTCCCTATTTTACCATTGACTCTATTAAATTCATGCTAAACTTCCATATATCCCTTTAAAAATATGTATGCAGTAAATAATAGATAACTGAATGTAAGTGATGAATGTTTTTGAAAATACTGCCATTAATTCCCCTTAAAAACCCACTGCAATACAACAAGTATAAAATATATTGACAGTCAGAAGGAACAATATCAACATTTGACTGAAAACTTGACTCAGAAATTAATGCATAATGGGGGGAAAATGAGAGCTTTGCATGAAAACAGTAAGTTTAAAATCTCCATCACTCACAAACAAAGACTCCACACCTGTTAAATAATAGAGGTTACAAAACTGATTATGGAATAGGAAGACCTCATCTGACTGATTAACTTAATGTTTCTAATTATTAGTACACCACTTATAATGTGTAACTACAAGCTGGGAGGAGACTGGCTCAGTTAAGTCTTTGTAAATCATGTAACTACAAGCTGGGAGGAGACTGGCTCAGTTAAGTCTTTGTAAATCCTATCCTACTAGTTTGTGTTGTACATTTATGTTTATTATTCAGATATGAGAGCTGAAAGAAATGCCATTGTCAGAGATGTCAATCCACTCCTCAAGGAGTATTGTGCCAAATATGACCTCGACTTTCAGATTGTAGATATGCGCTGGGGTGTAACTGAAGATAGCCAAAATGACCATTCTGTGGAAAAAATTTGTTTGCTGGAAGTGGAAAATTGTCAGAACCTTTCTTTAGGACCTAATTTCATTGTAAGTTGAAAGGCATTCAATCAAAACTTTACTACTAACATTTCAAAATTGATTTGCTTTAATGAGCTAAGGGCTGTTCCAAAATTTATCAGGTGGGAAATGGGAGACACTCATATTTTATTAAATATGGGTGGTTGCATTTTCCTTAAACTTTTGTGTTTTTCTTTGCTATGAATGAGTTTGGGACCTACACCATTTGATTTTTATGGCCATATTTTTCATTTCATTAGTGGTGAACTTTTAATTCAAAGATTCACTTTTTTATGTTGGTTTCTGCAGTATTTCCTTACTGTATAATGGCTAAAAGGGAGATCATAACATAACAATTCAACAACTTACAGTTTATGCAACAAACATCTCAATAATGGCATTTTATCAACACTTTATGAAACAAAAAATATTTGTCATTTCCAAATTTTTGCAACTTGAACGTGGACTTCCTTATTATCATATAAGGCAGGCCATAATCTTGCCGGCGAAATGACGATTTAAGTCGCCAAAGAATTTTGAAAATCGCTAAATCTCGCCGGCTGACTGACTTCATAGCGAAGTCAAATCGCTATCAAAATCGGTAAAAGGGAGACAACTTGTGATTGACAAGTCTCACAGGTAAAAAAAATGGCGGCTGACAAGGAAAATCGAGATTTTCGAAACGACCAAGGACTAATACTGTAAACGATCAAATTAAATAAATACAACGGCGACTTTGAACATCCTCGGATATAAATTTCAAAACTGTTCAAACGGAAAACTGACCGTCTGTTTAAGTTATCGTTTTACGATGATTTTCATCTGAGGATGTTGCGTAATCACTCAGCTGATTTGTTTTATTTTTATTACTACACGAGTCGATCAATTTTACTATTCGGTAGGTAAAGGGTGGGAATTAACGGTAGATTTATTATATTCATTGAATAAAAATTGAAATATAAAAGGTAGAAAGACAGCTGATGGATAACGTGATTGCAAACGTACGACACTCGACCAGATTGTGATCAGCAGTGGATTTTTTCTTATGTCCACTTCGTTGATATGGATGATATTTTTAAAAAATGATAGAAATTAGCTCTTTATCGGATAATCAGCTTGAGATTGAAAGATATTTTCATTTATAGACTTACAATCTTTAACGATAATCTCAATTTACTACAACTAACATAAATGTCCTGGACATTCAATAATGTTTTACAAAACAATGACCAGTGGTGATATAAATTAAATTCCCAGTCATGTGAAATTCATCATATTTTTCTGGAGTTTTAAAAATAAATTGAGGCAGATGCACATGAATTTAATGCATTATAATCTTGATAATATTACTAGGTTACTCCCTCATGTCCCAATCAACAAATTTTATTTAGAACACATTATGGTATCAATAAATAAATAACAACTATAGATTGTCTAAACCTTTTTATTAAGAACTTTCTATATATACATTGTGTACAATAACATATGAAAAAACTGCAAGTACATCTTTTATTGAATATAAAACAATTTCCTCAGTGATAAGCTTGAAAACACGATGCAACCGAAACGGAAATGGAATCTCACTTCTCCAAGAAGTTGACCACTTCTCCCTTCTCTCTCATGGAAGGAGAAGTCACTTCTCCCTCTTCAAAATCCTAGATTAGGCCCTGTATAAGGAGAGGGGAAGTAAATCCTTTTTAAAAACAGAGATATGCCTTTGATAGGACTCGGGTCAGTTGCATACCTAAAGTAAGAAGCAGAATAAAAGTTATTGAAATGCAAGAAATTATATTCAAATCTGACATTCAATGTCACAGTTTTTTTTGGTTTGCATCTCTCCTGATAGATGTTTTCATAGTTGAAATATTGTTACTGATTTATTTAGTACTTTTAGACAACTAAAATGCATTTGAATATTATAATATGCTTAGCTTTAATCTTTTGCTTTTTTTTATTTTAGTTTATATCAGGTGATAGATATGGATTTAGACCAATCCCAATAGAAATTGATATGGAAGAATTTGATACCATAAAGAAAGTTGCTGAGGAAAACTCTTTACCTGATACTAAACTATTGGATGTTTGGTATTTACTGGATGAAAATGCTAAACCACCACTGTACATTTTACAGGTATTGTTGATTTTGCTACTGATTTTCCAAATACCTGTATTAGTACCCTCAACTTTGAACAAAACTCCACATTACAGCTTCAAATTTGTTTTGCCTGCTGGTAATATCTTTGTCTTTGACTGTAGCACTGATGTTATACAGTAATTTTGTTAACAGAAAAAGATATATCGGTGTAATGAATCAAATTTCATTTATGGGGATGAAGTGTTATTTTCTTTGAATGTTTGATAGGAGAAAAACAAACTGGTCTTGATTTTGAAAAAAAGAAAACTGATATTAAAATTTCTCTCTTTGAAGCTACATGTATAAAGATAAAAATAGTTTGTAGAAGTAACCGGTTCATGACTGAAGCATCTTGAGAGGTTGCTTAAATTCATGCTGACTCTGTAGCACCAAAGAGTACAGTGACCTTATATATATATTATTTATTCTCACTACCATACTAAGTGCAATAACCTTGTTTTTGTAATCAATTGTATTTCTTTCAGCCAATCAGATCACAGTTTACATTTTATGGAGATTACTCCACTGGATGTGAAGAACCAAGAGCTAAAGACACAATGGGTTGGGAGGAAACATTTAAATCTCTACAGACAGTTCTAAGGAAAGCAGCAACATTAGCCTGTAATGCTAAACAACTCAGCAAGGACAAACTTCACAAATATTTTTATTCAGGTTATTATCCTTAAAAAAAATAATGAAAAAAAAAATCAATTTCAGAACATATAATTAACAGACATTCATATATTATTTAGGATTTTATGCACTAATAGTTGATCAGAAGCTCTGCCTCAAAACAATTGAGTCTCTAGAATGTTCTTAGGGCTGATTTAAAATTGATCGAGTAGGGAGAATGTGAGGCATTCAAATTAATTAGATATTGGTTGTTGCATTTCCCTTAGATTTTTGTAAGAATTATAAGTAAAATGAAAATTTTTCCTTTATCGGTGGTCAGATCTTAAAGAAGTGCCTCCCATGTCCTCCATACATTTAATTCTGAAACAGCCTTGTGTATATTTAAACAACATATTAAGATAAAAGTATACTACATCAAAAGCAATTAAAAAAAGGCAGTTGTTATAAGCATTTATGGTTTGTTATTTGCTTGATGGCATTACATTGATATTATTAGGAATGTTACAGAATGAGATATATTTAGATAATACTTTATTCTAACTTAACCATCAAGAATTGCATATCATGTAACTTTTTTAACACTGACCAATTTAGAGGTTTACATACTGTTAAACACCTTTCTATTGTTGAAGACGTTATGTAGACCTCCAGATTATTTCTTCTGTGTTGTTAGGGTTGCTGTCTCATTTATGTTGACCTTGCATCTCCTTTTATTCATATTGTCAAACTTTACTGAACAAACAGTGCCAGTTTCAACCTTACTTAACAGGAATAATGTACAGATGGATCATCGTGAAAATTTTTCATAGCATTCTAATCTGTTAGTACCCAAACCTTCTTTAATTCATGCATTTGTCAGTCTTTTTATATTTTGCTGTATTTAACTGATAAAAGGACTCAGTAGTTGCAGATGAGACTCAGGGTTCTGTGGAACCCTTTACAATTTTTTTATTAATTTGATAACCATTTATATTACAGTGACTGAGATTGAAGTCAATAAAGGCATCTTGACTGCCGAAGAACCCAAACTTCATACTAGTACTTATCAGAGAGATTTACGTGGCTTGGATGGCAATAATATCACAGATGATACAGCTAAAAGATACTTTGACACTAAAATGAAAAATGGAAAGGTACATATATTATTAGAATACCTTTCAATTCTTTTGCAGGAAAAAGTGGATGATAAATAGATATTAGCAACTACATGTATATAGTCAAAACAGAAAATTAATAGGGCTTCGAGTAACTTTGGTAGATATCCACAAAATGGTAATCATCCTTTTACTTAAGAACAGAGCTTAAATTCAAAACTGTTTTATAAAAAATGTAAATTGTAATTTTAGAGTTTCTTAAAAAAGTAGACTACGGTAGTTGTTATAAATAACAGACAACTTTAGCTATTTTTGCATATAAACTTCATATTCTTGTGCTTATTGCCACAAAGGTAATATAGACCTTTATCAATTATCTGGCATATATAAACTACATATCAATGAAAGAGTTTTAAAACAAAAAGTGTCAACCGAGTTCAAGAGATAAGATCCACAAAAGGTTTGGTCTGAAAATTGTACCCATTGAGTGAAATAGATGTGGAAAAAAATAAGTTATTCGAGATTTACATAAGTGAGAAAAGATTCTAATATAATACTGAAAGATCTGCCAAAATATCAGGTATATAGTTGACATAGTAAATTTAAGTGATCCCATGGATTTTGTCGAGCCTGCGACTTCTGTCGTAGAAAGCGAGACATAGGGATAGTGATTCAGCGGTGGCGGCCACGGTGGCATTAACAAACTTCTTAAAAGCTTAATATTTCAGAAGGTAGAAGACTTGGATCCTTCATACTTTGTATATAGATGCCTTATGTTATGAAGTTTCCGTCTGTTATATGTCTATTGTCCTTGACCTCATTTTCATGGTTCAGTGACTGCTTGAAAAAAATAGTTAAAAGATTTTTTAGTATTCTTAATTATGAGTAATAGGATAACTATATTTGGTATGTGCGTACCTTGCAAGGACCTCATGCCTGTCAGACAGTTTTTGCTTGACTTCGACCTCATTTCATGGATCAGTGAACAAGGTTAAGTTTTCGTGGTCAAGTCCATATCTCAGATACTTTAAGCAATAGGTCTACTATATTTGATGTATGGAATAATTGTAAGGTGTACATGTCCAACTGGCAGGTGTCATCTGACCTTGACCTCATTTTCATGGTTCAGTGGTTAAAGTTAAGTTTTTGTGTTTTGGTCTGTTTTTCTAATACTGTATGCAATAGTCAACTATATTTGGTGTATGAAAATATTTTAGGATGTACATGTCAGTCTGGCAGGTTTTATTTGCTGCTGGGGTATTTGGTGATAAAATACGGTTTGCATTTTGTCAAATTCTAAAATTTTAGAATAGTCAAAGACAACTATACTTATATAGGTATTCCATTGGCTTGGATAGAAAACAAGCCATAAATATCATATTTGAGTTGATTTCATTTGTCTTTGAGGTTCAGTAAATGTTCCATGTTTTGAACAGCATCAAATAAATCGTTGTTTATACAACTTGTACAATTAGTCAATTTAATCCTTTGTCAGTATTTCACTTTTAATCAACCAGGCTTGTGTCTTAAACTAGCTAGTTGATCACCAGGTAATTGCCTATTATCTTTAATTTATTGTTGTATATACAGTTTAATCCTAAACACCTGAGGCTGATTTTACCTATTTTACGACCTCATTTTACCTTTTGACACAACAGGAAACTTCCGTTTTTCTCGGACTTTTCCCATATCAATTTGAGTTTCTCGGACATTTCTCTGTCCCTATCGATTTTGTAAACAAAAATGTGTACTGAAAATTTTACGAGGTTGACATTTTCAAAAAGCGGAAGATTTCAAATTTTAACGGGAGGGATGGAAGAGGGTCTGAAAAGCAGAAGATTTTGACTCCCGCCGGAAGAATCACATGTATGACATGTCTGTCTAGCAGGGTTCATCTGACCTTGACCTCATTTTCATGGTTCATTGATCCATGTTAAGTTTTCCTGGTTAAGTTTGTTTCTAAGATACTAAGTGCAATAGGTCAACTATATTTAATGCATGGAATGATTCTAAGGTGTACATGTCTGTCTGGCAGCGTTCATCTGACCTTGACCTCATTTTCATGGTTCATTGATCCATGTTAAGTTTTCCTGGTTAAGTTTGTTTCTAAGATACTAAGTGCAATAGGTCAACTATATTTAATGCATGGAATGATTCTAAGGTGTACATGTCTGTCTGGCAGCGTTCATCTGACCTTGACCTCATTTTCATGGTTCTTTGCTCAATATAAAGTTTTCATGGTTTGGTCTGTTCCTTGTATACTTTTATTCGTGGGGTACCAATTTTTGTGGTTTTCGTGGAAGGCTTTATCCACAAATTTAAGTGTCCAATGAAATATAAAATTGTTGTCCAAATCAAGACATGGAAAGATCCCCATGTAGGTTTGACTACACTAATACGGGCATATAATAAAGATAATATATTGAATATCAGCAAACGCACTATGAACTATATATATATACAACTTTAGACAGGATTTTGCCCATTTAATCTTTAAAAAACATAAAAAGTATGACTTGTAACCTTTTAATTCTCATGAAAAATTAGATTTGATTGATGAAAGTCACACATCCGGGGACGATATGCGATGATGAAGTGTTTATTTTATGTCCTCATATATTCGCATACTTTTTATACGACCGCAAAAAAATTTTTGTGGTCGTATATTGGTATGACGTTGGCGTCGTCGTCGTCGTCCGGCGTCGTCCGAAGACACATTGGTTTTCGCACTCTAACTTTAGTTAAAGTGAATGGATCTTTATGAAATTTTACCACAAGGTTCAATACCACAAAAGTAAGGTTGGGATAGATTTTGGGGGTTATGGTAATAACAGTAAAGGAATTAGGGGCCAAAAAGGGGCAAAAATAAGCATTTTTGTAACTTCCAGACATAACTTGTGTGTTAGTGTATGGATCTCTCTGACATTGTACCACAAGGTTCCATATCACTAAAGGAATGCTGGGATTGATTTTGGGGGTAATTGCCTCCAAATTTTAGGAATTAGGGGCCAAAAAAGGGGCAAAAAACAAGCATTTTTCTAGTTTCATGACAATAACTTGTGTGTAAGTGTATGGATCTTTCTGAAATTGTACTACAAGGTTCCATATCACAAAGGGAAAGCTGGGTTTGAGTTTGGGGGTAATTGCCCTAAACGTTTAGGAATTTGGGGCCAAAAAGGGGCCAAAAAACACATTTTTTTCTAGTTTCCAGACAATAACTTGTGTTCAAGTGTATGGATCTCTCTGAAATTGTACTGCAAGGTACCATACCACAAAGGGAAGGCTGGGATTGAGTTTGGGGGTGATGAATCATAATGGGGGTTCAAAAAATTTTGGGGGGGGATTTATTTTTTTTTCCTTTTTTGTTTCTTTTAAAATTTTCCATTTTAAGTTGGTTATTTCTGATTTATATTTAAAATCAAATAATAATGATATGGTAGGAGATACACACCAAACAGGATGTGTAAATTATTATATAATAAGTATTGTGCAATAGCAAGAAATTTTCAATTGCACAGTATTGCACAATAGCAAGAAATCTTCAATTGCACAGTATTGCGCAATAGCAAGAAATCTTCAATTGCACAGTATTGCGCAATAGCAAGAAATATCCAATAGCACAATATTGCGCAATAGCAAGAAATTGTCAATTGTACAGTATTGCGCAATAGCAAGAAATATTTAATAGCACAGGATTGTGCAAAAGAAGATACTTCCTATAAATTGCTTATTTCTTGACCAATTTCAATGGGGTTTTATTCTTGATTTCATGGGGTTCTTTAATATGCTGAATCTAACCGTGTATTTAGTTTTTGGATTTTGGGCCCCGTTTTTAAATTGGTCCACATTGAGGTCCAAAGGGTCCAAAATTAAACTTTGTTTGATTTCATCAAAAATTGAATTATTGGGGTTCTTTGATATGCCAAATCTAACTGTGTATTTAGATTCTTAAATTTTGGTTCCGTTTTCAAATTGGTCTACATTAAGGTCCAAAGGGTCCAAAATTAAACTTAGTTTGATTTTAACAAAAATTGAATTCTTAGGGTTCTTTGATATGCTGAATCTAAACATGTATTTAGATTTTTGATTATGGGCCCAGTTTTCAAGTTGGTCCAAATCGGGGTCCAAAATTAAACTTTGTTTGATTTCAACAAAAATTGAATATATGGGGTTCTTTGATATGCTGAATCTAACCATGTATTTAGATTTTTGATTTTTGGGCCCCGTTATCAACTTTGTCCACATTGAGGTCAAAAGGGTCCAAAATTAAACTTTGTTTGATTTCATCAAAAATTGAATTATTGGGATTCTTTGATATGCCGAATCTAACCGTGTATTTAGATTCTTAATTTTTGGTTCCGTTTTCAAATTGGTCTACATTAAGGGCCAAAGGGTCCAAAATTAAACTTAGTTTGATTTTAAAAAAAATTGAATTCTTAGGGTTCTTTGATATGCTGAATCTAAACATGTATTTAGATTTTTGATTATGGGCCCAGTTTTCAAGTTGGTCCAAATCGGGGTCCAAAATTAAACTTTGTTTGATTTCAACAAAAATTGAATATATGGGGTTCTTTGATATGCTGAATCTAACCATGTATTTTGATTTTTGATTTTTGGGCCCCGTTATCAACTTTGTCCACATTGAGGTCAAAAGGGTCCAAAATTAAACTTTGTTTGATTTCATCAAAAATTGAATTCTTGGGGTTCTTTGATATGCTGAATCTAACCATGTATTAAGATTTTGGATATTGGACCATAATAGGTGAATGTCCAATTTAAAATTTTTAAGTTCTTAGACCACATTCAATCTGTGTTAGAAACCTATGCTGTGTCAAATATTTAATCACAATCCAAATCCAAAGCTGTATCAAGCTTGAATGTTGTGTCCATACTTCCCCCAACTGTTCAGGGTTCGACCTCTGCGGTCGTATCAAGCTGCGCCCTGCGGAGCATTTTATTTTTTTTTTATTAATTTCATATTGGCCTTGCTTTTTAATTTCATATGAATTAATTCTACAATTCAAAGTACATTTGTAGTATTTTTTTATGTAACTGTTTTCTTTAGTTGACATGTTTATGGTCGAATTAACACCTTTATGATCGTTAATCTGTTGACCATTCGATCTCGGGTTTGTTGGTGTCATCACTTCTGATAACATGTGTGCAGTAATTAAAATGTTTACTTTGAAATTAACTTCAAACAAGACAATTTGTAAGCATAGACGAATCAGCTTATTTCCGAAATTAATTATTCTATTAAAAATTTGATAAATATTGTCAGTAATGAAAGACGATCAAGCAAGTGAAAATAAAGACCTTTTTTGCAATTTCCCTCAAATCATTACAAACAACATATAATTTTTTTTAAGAATCTTCGTTTCTGATGGCTTCAAATTCGTCACTCGATTTTTTTCTTCAGAAAACTAAAATCCACGAATTTAAGAACCCACGAACATGTAACTTTTGATCAAACCACGAATAAAAGTACTTTCAAAGTACTATAATCAATAGGTCAACTATATTTGGTGTATGGAATGATTTTAAGGTGTACATGTATTTCTGGCTTGGTTTATCTGACCTTAACCTCATTTTGTATGATCATGTTAAGTTTATGTGATACTTGTAGTAAAACTTTATAATTAGGACTATCAGCATAAAATCAATGGTCAGTATAGCAGGCAAGACATTTTAGCGTGTGCACTCTTGTTTTTCTAATAATATGAAGAACTGCATAAAGTCATTGTTGCTGTAACCAATTTCACTTGTTATGAATTTTCTTTTTTCTGTACATGTTGAAAGTTTCAAAGACAAATAATTCTTTGTGCCTTACTTTTAACCTGAGTGAGAAGCATAAAATGCTATTGTAATGAAAATAGTCAAGTTATACTTATTAAGATCTTATAAAAGTTTCCAATTTGTCATAAAAACATTTTATTATGGATCATTTGTAGTATTTTGAAATGTAAGTGCAAGTAGGTAATACAATATTGTTGAAAACTCTACTTTTAGATGGTAATTGATGAAGAAGCTAAGTCACTAAGAGAGAAAGTAAGAGAAAAAATTCCATCTGCATTGAAGAAATCTGGTCGAATCCATCAGTATCAAGTTAAATGGCATAATGGTGGAATTGATCCTGAAAAACATGTAGAGCAACGTAATTATGTCAGGCATCTTTGTGCTGATCTTATCGAAGACATTTGTGAACTTATTGATAAGGCCAGAGAAGACCAGAAAGGTCTGATAAGAACTTCAGAATATTACACAGACTATCAAGAAGTACTTCATCATCAGCACTTTTGTAAACTAAAATGCGAGACTTTCTGTGGTAGAGTTGATGTTTTACAGCAAGCCAAAGAATATATTCTCAAGGACAAGTCCAGAAGACCACTCATTCTATATGCTCCATCAGGTGCTGGAAAAACATCTGTTATGGCCAAAATTTTGCAGAATCTGCCAGAATGGTTTAAAAAGGAGCCTCACATTGGAATTATTAGATTTTTAGGCACATCTCCTTATAGTTTGAACATATATGATGTACTATATGGAATTTGTGGACAACTTGCTGACTGTGCAAAACTATTGATGGAGCCAGTTGGGTACAAAAATATGAAAAACTTAGTAGAATATATGCCAAGATTCTTACGTCGAGTATCAAACAAGGTGAAAAAGCCAATTCTTATTCTTCTAGATTCTCTTGATCAGCTTTCAGCAAAAGATGATTCATACTTGTTAAATTGGCTGCCTACAGTCCTCCCGTCAAACTTGAGGATAATTGTATCAACATTACCTAGGGAACATGAAATTTTGGACACATTGCAGAAACTATTTCCAGATACTACTAACTTTGTAGAAGTTCCGTCTTTACCAGATGACACAGGCTTTGAAATGATTGACAAATATCTAGCAAAAAAGAAGAGAGCTGTTACACAAATTCAAACAAAGCAGCTTGTCAGTGCATTCAGAAATTGCAGAGGTCCATTGTTTCTAAAACTAATCCTCGATGAGGCTGTTAACTGGAACTCATACACACCAGATCATGCTCTAGTTTTGCAAGATTCAGTACAAGGAGCCATAAACCAGCTGTTTGACAACATGGAAAAGAAATTTGGGCAAGTTTTGATAAGCCATGCTCTAGGTTACATTACAGTTGCCTTCAATGGAATTTCTGATCTTGAATGGGAGGATGTGTTATCCTGTGATGATGAAGTTCTAGATGATATCTACCGCTACCATAATCCACCAGTCCCTGGCATTGTACGAATGCCACCAGTACTTGTAGCAAGGATAAGATATGATCTCAGAGAATATATTGTCGAGAGAAGATCATTTGGGAAAACAACACTGAATTGGTATCATAGGCAGTTCATTGAGACAGCTCATGGAAGATATGCAACTGGCAGTGCAGGCAAAAAATTACACAAGGTTTTGGCAGAATATTTCATTGCCAATGATGGTATTCAAAGGGACATAACCCTTCACAGACGAAAACTGACAGTAGAGAAAGCAGATAGACAAGTCACAAAACAACCACTTGTTGTGAAGAATCAAAGAAAACTGATAGCTGTCCCATATCACATTACCCTTGCAGGAGATCAGATAGATCCTTCAATTGCCAAGTCAGAATGCTTTTGTAATTTGAATTTCCTTACAGTGAAAATGCCATTATCAACCTTGGTGGATGACATGACAGAATATTTGGACAAAACTGATGATGAAGAGGTGGCATTCTTAAGAAATTACTTCCTTGTCTCAAAATCAGGAAATGATAGTGGAACAAACCTATCAATTAATCTACTTTCACAGTTACATGTAGATGAGAGTCAGAAATATCTAAAGGAATTACTGCAGCAAGCTAAAGATGAAGTCTCCTCTAGTAAGTCTCCTTTACTTATACCTGTATTTCCATGTCTGGCACCAAGAAAAGATGCTTCTTCAGCTCTTTTGAAAATTTATGATGATGTAGATGATATCATCTCAAGTGGTTCAGAATCAGTTTTGATGACAAATGTGAAAGAGGAAGATGATGATGAAAAAAGGTACTTAGTTTATGATGCCATTAATAATGATGTTAACCAATTAAGCCATGACAAGGAATTCAAGCCAGTAATGCCACCCATAGTGGATCATTCTGAGAAAAGAGTAATAAACTTAGGCAGAGACAGCCTTCAAATATTCCATTTACACAATCAAGTTACAAACACGAAGAAGTTTTCTGAAATTTTTGAAGATCTAGGGAAAGAGATGTATCCTACAATGAGTTGCCTAAGTACCGATTTCTTACATTTGACAATTTTATTTAGCAATGGTGATGTTCTAATATTCGATACAAACAGCTTCAAAAAAGTTGACTTCATCACATTGAGAGAAGATGCAAATGATGTTTCTAACATTATCACTACAAGTATTGACAATTTAAAAATCATTTTCACTATTAATACTGTTGTAAGTGAAAAGGAAAATGAAAAAGATGGAGTTGTTAGAATCCATGTTGTTGGTGCTGCAGAAAATGGAAAAATGGTGAAAACTAATCATCCTTTTACCAGAGGCCTTGCTGCAGTTGGTTTTAATGAGAACCTGCTTGTAGGAAGAAGTAACAGAGAAACAGATGGAACTTTGACAGTTGTTAACCTAGATGAGGTCAAAATAACTATCACAGAGGACTGCTCTTCTAAAATACTGGAATTATCTGTGGCACATTCCCATGCACTGGCTGCCATTTGGCTGGAACAAGGCTTTGTAGCTGTGTACGACATTTCTAATGGGGAGGTTATCCAACAATTAAACATAGATAATACTATAACAAGTTTTGGAGTGAGCTGGATCAATGATTTAGTCTTTATTGGGGACAACCAAGGGCAGATTATTATGTACAAAGCACAGACAGGGGAACACTTTGGAGATTTCAAGGCTGAAAATAATGAAATCATGAAAGTGGCAGTACTTGAAGATCAAGTTGTTACGGTGAGCAAAAAGAATACAGCAAAAGTTTGGGAGCTAACAACATTACTAAATACTGATGGAAATCAATCATCCAGAACAGAGGTCAATGGAGAGGGTTCAGAATTGCTGGCACAAAAGGATATCATAAGTTTTGATGTTGACCTTAAAGGACACTGCATCATAACTGCTTCAGAAGACAAAAATATAAGGGTCTGGTCTGTAGACAATGTAGAACTACAAAAAATAATCTACATTGGAATCACTGGTCACAAAGTATCAGCAACTATCAACTCAATGTGTATTATTTTAGATGGTCAAGCTCATACTTTAAAAGTACTTGATTTTGAAGGAGGATTGGAGAAAATGAGCATAAGACATGTTGTAAGTTTTTGTCAGGGAAAAGATCATAAGACATTATATGTCCTGAAAACTGGTGAAAAGAATCATTTTATTGAAATAATAGATATCAGTCTTCTCAAGTCCAAAACTTCCTTTCTGTTAAAGCAGAAGCTGTCTTATGAAAGTGTAGATTTGTCCATAAATGAATCAGAACGCTATCTCATACTAAGAGTTAAAGTTCTTGAAAAAGAATATGCTGATATCCAAACATCATGGCGTAAACAAGGTGGGGGATTTTTACCTCAGTCTCATAAACACAGGTTTTATGCTATAGACAAAACACAAGCTACTGGAGGACTAATGCCATGTAATCGAATTTTAACAAAGATTCCACATCTAGGAGAAGTTGTCTGCCCCTATCAAGGAAATGTCATGATGGTCACAACTCGTCGTTGGGTAGTGTTTTGGGATATTCCTACTGGCAAATCTGATCAGAGAGTGACAAAAGGAGTAAAACTTGGATTTATGTATCGACCAGATCACTTGGGCAAATCTTGTGAAGGGACAAGTCTAGCAGTGGAACAAAGTAAAGATGGACTGTATGTAGCTATAGGATCTGAAGATGGCTTCATGATTGTGTGGGAGGCCAACACTGGCTTACCGGTGGGAAGGAAAGAACCAAAGAAAAGGCACACAGCATCGGTAAGATTATTTTAACATTTGTTGTGTCACCTTCAATTAATACTGCAAGAGCAATACTAAGTTGTTGTTTTCCAGTAAGATTGACATCGTCATTGTCTTTTTTAGTATATGTACTTGCTAACCTTTATTTAGAGATGTATCCCAGATGAGAAGGTCTTGTCACCATCTATCTCCTATGACCTATTTTGCATGCTCCTCCATTGACTTTGAATTTGAATTGCATATGAGTTTATATCCTAGTATTTTATTGCTTTTTTGACATTAAATTATTCACATATTTTGCAGAACAAGAAAAGTTTGAATGATAAATTATTTATGCTTTTCAATCAAGTATTATTAAGTAAAAGATATATCTAGGTAACATAATGTTGCATGAATAAAATTCACATCTCAGTCATCATTAATAAATACAAACAATATTTCCATAACCTTTTTTGATATATTTTACCATTGAAATATGATATCATTTTAAAGGGTAATTTTGAGCTTAAACATGAAAAGATATTTGAGGTATATGTCGATAAGACTTGTGAGTCAGAAAAATCTCAAGAGCCAGAAAAATAATGTAGAAATTGTTTCATAACTTAAGATACATGCAATTTATGATTTGTAGGTGGTCACCATTGCAATATCCCCAGACAGTAAATGGGTTGCATCTAGGTGTCTGAATAACATACTGATACTATGGGACATCACTACTGGAACAGATGTTGTCAAACTAAAAATCCCCTTGGATGTCCAACAGATGAAGTTCACAGCTGATTCTAAACACCTGGTTATCAACACAGGAGTTCATAACACTAGAATGTTAGTGTACAGACTTCATGTCGGACAACAGTAATACACATGAAAAGTCTACACAAAATGTGTAAATTTGCTCAAATTTTGTTGTTTTTTTAAAAACTCTACAACTCACAATCTTAAAATCAAACAGTTGTTTGAGTTTGATATTTTCTAAAGAGGAAATCTAAGCGTGTTGAAGCTGAGTTCAAGGGCTGATAGATTCAGATTTCATTAAAAGAAGGTAAATGGAAGACTGAAAAAAGGTGGAGATATGCAGAATCTTTTTGAATATTACAAGTAACAGAGATTTTTGGATAGGCAGGTTATTTGATTAGAGAATTGATTCATTTTTATTGTAGATTGCAATAGTCGCTTTGGAAAACTATTGTTTAATTGTTTGAAAAGAACACTAAAAATGAGTGCAGATTTTCAGTATTGTAATACATTGTTTAACTTGAAACATTGTTGTTACTTCTAAATTTGATAAAACCAGACATTTATATTTGTATTTTCTAATTTGTAAATATTTTTCATTTTCCTGAAAAAAGACAGATTTTTTTTTTGTCTTTCAGTTTTGTTTTTGTTTTAATCACAAAAAATTAAGAATGTGAGGAAGGAACCTATCTATCCAAATCTATAAATTCATTTTATTCATTGTATGTATTGTCAAAAATATTTGTGATCACATGTATTTACAATGGTAAAAGATGAAAGATAAAAAAAAAAATTGTCAAAATGGCTGTATTGCTGTGATCTTTTTTACATATGATTTACACATTTCCTTGTTTAATCACATTTGGAATATTATATATACCAAAACAATTGTATTTATTGTTTTTATTTTTTTGACTTGTAATAATATTATATATTATTCTGTTAAAATAGACTATTTTGTGCATTTAGAACTATGCAATATAATTTTTTTCAGCAAGAATTACTTTTTGCACACTGTTTCCTACTAAGTTCTACACAACTTATTATTTAAGATTAAGCACAGTTTTTTGTGCTGTTTTTACACTTAGTTTTTTAATGATTAAGTTCTGTTTTAAGATTTACTATTTGTGATACCCATACTGATTAATTTATTATTGGTCCCTTTGCCTTACTGGCTTCAATAACATTATTTAAGTTAATACTTCTTATACCCAAAGTAGTATATCAATGAGTTTCATCCTTGAAATACTCATGTATAATTCTTCTGAATATAAATTTTATTTTATTACCATTCCCATATTGTTACTTTTATATCATTATTACAACCCTCTTATATAGCCCAACCCATATTTCTGAAAATGAACTGCATCTGATGCTTCATTGACTTTAGTGAAACTTTTAATTTTTTAGAGACCAAGTGTCTTATGTTTCAACACCAGAGTTCCCTTATGAATAAGGAAAAGTTCTGTTATAAATTTGATGTATGGACATATTAAAGTAAAAAAATAGGTGTAAATCTTCATGAAGTGGAAATGTGTGTTTTACCAACTTATTTCCTAGTAATCTCAGGTATATATTTGAAATATGATAATTTTTACTTAGTCTTGTATATTTATATTAAATTAGCAGTAGTCACACGTTTCATAGTTTTATATCAAATTTTATGAATATTTATAGTTTGTCATCTTCTCCCTCTATATGAATGTCTGTGGCATAGCTGTGGTAGAAATGTTGGGAAAAATAATTCTTGGACGGAAATGTCTCAATGATTTTATATATGGATTCTGCAGTACCGATGTAATATACCATGATGTTGATATTATTTTTGAAATACATGCAATTACAATCATGGATGCATGAAATTCATTTTATTTTTCAACTCCCTCAAAATTAAGCATTCATAAAATTGATGAAATTTCATTAATAATAAAATTAACAAAATTGTTGAGTATTTTTAAAATCTAGAACTGAATTCTGTTACTCTGTTGGCCTCTTGTAAAATAATTATTTATGTTAAGAAACTGATTAATAATTTAAGTAATTTTTTCAATTTTGCATTTCCATTTTTTGCAAATTTAATCATATATTTGAACACGCTAATTTTCACATAAAAATATTTTGATGAACTGAAAGTAACATATTCATTATAATAAGGGAGGTTTCATGTACCATTAAAACTTCATTTCATCACCCAAGGAAAACATTTCTTCTCTTCAGTTTTTTTTCATTTATATTGCCATCACAGTTTTCTGATTTAGTCCTAAACAGAGTAGGCATTTATGATTAATTATTCTGATTTATGTTTCTCAATTATGCTTTACCTTGGATTCATCATTATTTGTGGCTTTCGTGTGTACAGGTGAACCACAAATTTAAATTTTCAACAAATTTCAAATATTCTATTAGCTTGTATGCAGATTTTGGCAAAACCATGAAAGAAATATCCACAAAATTGCAAGTTTTACTCAATCCACTAAAACTGGTATCCACGTAAATAAATGAATCCACAGTACAAAATATAAAGTTCCACGTGTTTGTTGTTATAAATATGGATATTGTACGACACTTTCAAATGTTAATGATTTTTATTACCTTTGTTTTTTCTTCATCTTGATTTTCCATTCTCAACTTAACATCTCAAATGCAAAAGGAACATTATGTCCCTTTGCCTCTCTTGGTTAAACTCAGATGCAGCAAGTTTTCATATTAGTGATATTTAAGAATGAATATTTTTGGCAACATGTTGCATTAGCACCTCGTGTCCTAACTGAAAGTACAGGTACTTGTGGACTGGATACCCTTTGGGTGCCCTGAATGGGAGTTCCCCGAATTTCAACTAATACTGCATGTGTGTTCATTGTTTTGTTGTTGTTTTTTTTTCTTTGTTGGTAGGTGATACATGTATTCAATTCTAATGCAATTTAGCATGTAACATCAATTTTGATTGGATGACATCTAGCGTCAATTCCACGGTTGACTGTAGAGTCATTAGCAACAATGTTGTGCAATCGCAGCCTATTTTGATTGGATATTTGAAGTATTAATTTTGAACATTTTAAGAGTATTGCATATAGGAATAACACAACTGTATTTGAAGTTGCCACCATAAATTTTTAATTTGACGGTGGCAACTCTTCAAAAAAAGTATTCGAAAAAATACAGAACTCCAAGGTATATTCAAAATGGGGAAGTCCATAAAAACTGACAAAATCAAACTTTTATCAACTAACGGAACGAGTGGAAACAACTATCATATTCCTGACTTGGTACAGGCATTGTCCAAAAAAAAAAGTTGTTTTAACCCGGTTTTATAGCTAGCTAAACCTCCCACTTATGACAGTTGTTTATAGATCACCATAATGCAAATACAAGACTGTTATTTCTAAAAATATTACAACAAAGGACTTGTACATGAAATTTCTATTATTATTTTTATGCAAATTAGGCTGGATATATTCAAGTTAAAACAGTTTAGATATATTATATTCAAACATAATTTTTTTGACAAATTAACAAATTTTGTGCAGCAAATATTTTTTTCAATATAAAATCTTTTATTACTACCAGGATGTTTATTAGCCATAAAGTTCTCCCAGTTAGGAAACATAATTTTCAATCTTTTCTGAAAGAAAAAATTCCCATAGAGCTACAAGTACAAAAATATTGGGCTTCTACTTGTGTCTACATGGATTCATTCATGATGGATAATTTCCATACAAAGACTGTCTCTCAAATTGTTTTTCTATTTGGAAAATAAAAGTTCCAGGATATACTGGCTAGTTTTTATTTAAAATTTTTCTTTTGAACAGTGGCTAGATATGAAAAGTTAAGTAATAAGTTGATCTAACCCCATGACAAGTTCTTGTTGTATGTTATGAAGGAAAAATTTGCTCTCCAGAACAAAATGAATGGTGTATTTAAGTTGGTGTAATATCGCCTACTATATGTCATGCAGTTGTGCTTTTGTGTAGAGATTGTTTAAAAACTATCAGATATTTTTCTTTTATGTCTTAACAAATATTCGAATCAATTATATTTTATTACTTATTTTAAATATTTCATCCTTTAGTGACCTGATGCATTCCTTGTGATTGCAAAACACTCTAAAAGGTAACACTTCAAGTAATTTTGATTATAGACAGTCAGTAAAAAATTGATCTGTTTTTAGGTGAATGAATGAAGGTTACTGAAGCATCCATGAATTAGAGTAATTTTATCCCAATTTGGATACTTTGATAACTGAAGCAGAGGCAATCAATGCATTTGGTAATAAATTAGAATTGTATGTACAATGAAAAGAGACGCCAGGACTCTTTAAAAATATTATTCATTGTTACAAAAACTGCAAGTAATTGTGATTCTGATTAAATAATACGGAAATTAAAAATACATTAGGGGACTGGTGGCAGCCTTTGGGTGTTACATCATTAATATTTTGTATTTGTAGTTTATATGGAGTCTTGAAAGGTTATTAGTTTTATTATGAATTAATAAGCATCATCTGTTCAAATATTTTCCATCATAAACAACAAGTTTTTACTCCTTATTTTTTTAAGTATGGAATTCGTAACTCAAAATTTATTTATTTAATTTCTTTTCCTAAAATTTCTAAGATTAGTATAAATATGGGTAAGCAAATTTGCATTTCTAAAGATTGAAAACTGCTTTGTAATTTTAAGCTACAGTATGCCTTCACATTTGAAGAAAGGGAAGGTATTTTCTTAGAGCTTTAGAAGTAAGTTTTTGATATATACATGTTTTTTTTTGTGTAATGAATTGAAATTTTGAGTCTAAAAACTGGAAATATGTCGGAAAAATTGGAGACAAATTCTTGAATTACTAAAAGAAAGGACATTCTTTAGTATGTTTTTTTTCCTATTATGTTTTATTCAATTGTATTGAATGGTATATTTATTACTTTATTAAAAAAAATCAAAAGCTATCAGAGAAAGTGTGTGAAAATGACTCTTGTACTTGCAGTGTTTTCCCTGGACAACTTTTGAATAAAGTGCATCAGTAATATTAGTCAGCATCATATAATTTTTACCCTAGTGTTATTACAACTCATTCAAGTATTCGTTTATAATTTATAATGCTCACCCTGATGCTATAAATTCATCTCCCAGTGCATTTCTTTATTGACGATGTTCGCCCTGATGCTACTCAAGTGCATTTCCTATCTGCAAGTGAGATTCCTTGCAAAAACTCTTTGAGGAGTTTGTTGATTGCCTGTGGCCAAGCAAAATTCTGCCACTATTCAGCATTTTGTCTTTTTCTATTGATGTGACAGGATTCCTTCTCTTTTTATCCTGAGTTTCCCACTTTGCAGAACCTATCTATTGGATTGATTGTTGATCCATGTACTTTGTTCTTGTCCAGTGAATACATGAAATATATTTGTTGGACAATAAGCTAACAACAATCTATCAAACAATTCAGTATTTTTTTATCAATTAAGCTTACTCTGCTATCATGATGATTTTAAAAACAAAAATTTGATTATGGTGCCATTACAGATATTTTGGGAGGTCACAGCCATGCTCACAAATGGTGAATGTAGTACGGTAATTCATCACAAATTATGGCAAAATTTACTCACACATTCAATGATTATTTGTTCTGTTTCAGAAATAGATAAAAGAATGTGGCATATCATATTTATATTAGATGTTATATTTTTTATTACTGTTTTTTTTATGCCATGTGATATTTTTTATATCCCCATTCAGTAAAGTGGGGGATATATAGTTATCATTGTTTGTTTGTGTTTGTCAGGTTTTTTTTTTTTTGGTTTGCACACTAAATCCACAATGTCTATAAAAACATATACTTGATTTCAACTTACAGAACATCTTCTGAGACATAATGAGTCTTCTGCTTCCTCATTTTTCTATCCATTTAAATTTTAGGGTTTCCCATAACAAAACATGGACTTTCCCATACATATACTGATGTGGGTAGGCATCTTAAATTATGAGGGGCACACTCCTTGAATCTTAATTATATAATGCCACTGCACATCTTTTATTTCATATTTTAGATCTGAAATGTATTTTCTGTCTATACAAATGGGTTTAGACATCTTGTATTGGCAATTCCTCCTAAGACATTTACTGGATTTCAAACCTTTTTGTTCTGATTATGAAAATGTATTTGTTGTTGTGGAAATATTAACGGTTACTAAGCTCTACTTATAGTTTTTATACTTGTACATTTAATTTATTAGTTATAAATTGGATATTTACACTAAACCTATTTAATGATTAAAAGAGTTTTTTTGATATTGTTATATTTGTTTAAATTTGGGTGTTACCCTTCAAGCTACAGATCTTTATCAATCTTCTTGGTATTCATTCGTGTACACACATCCAATGGACCAATATCAAAAACTATGTAACTTGGTGTCCTGGTATCCCCTAAAGCTACAACTACCACAAAATGCAACCATTTGACCTATTTTTAGCAAAGTTCAACACAGTTTCACTTTTGCTAAAAGGCATGAAACCAGTGGACATTTGAATGCATTAAAATATCGTCATGTGAGTGTATATAAGTGTTATTAGGGCCCCGCCGAATGGCGGACGCCCTATAGTGATCAGTCTGTCCGTCCATCCGTCTGTCCGTCCGTCGTCCTTCCGTCTGTAACAAATTGTGTCCGCTCTATATCTAGAGAAACGTTATGATTTCAAAGTTTATACTTGACATATATATTAACCAACACCAGAGGGTGTGTCATAATGTATGTAAAACTTCCTAGGTCAAAGGTCAAGGTCAAAAACTTTGGTTTTAGTTGACAACCCTTGTCCTATGGTAAAGATCGTGTCCGCTCTATATCTTGAGAACCGTTATGATTTCAAAGTTTATACTTGACATGTATACAAACCAACAACAGAGGGTGTGTCATAATTTATGTACAATTTCCTAGGTCAAAGGTCAAGGTCAAAAACTTTGGTTTCAGTTGACAACCCCATGTCCAATGATAAAGATACAAATTTTTTACAACACATTATTCACAGCGGGGCCCACAGAGATGGCTTCCATCTCAATGATATCTAGTATAAAATGGAGAATGGAAATGGGGAATGTGTCAAAGAGACAACAACCCGACCAAAGAGCGGAAAACAGCCCAAGGTCACCAATGGGTCTTCAACACAGCAAGAAAATCCTTCCCCGGAGGTGGGCTTCAGCTGGCCCCTAAACAAAAATGTGTACTAGTTCAGTGAGAAAGAACGTCACACTAAACTCCAAAACATATAAATGAACTAAAATTAAAAAACATACAAGACTAACAAAGGACAGAGGCTCCTGACTTGGGACAGGCGCGAAAAATGCGGCGGTGTTAAACGTGTTTTGTGAGATCTCAACCTTCCACCTATACCTCTAGCCAATGTAGAATAAACAAAAACAGCAATATGCACAGTAAAACTCAGTTTAAAAGAAGTCTGAGTCCGTTGTCAGAATAGGTAACAAAAGAAACTTAGCAAAATGACAATGATACATAAATTAACAAAGGACTACTAGCAGTTACTGACATGCCAGCTCCAGACCTCAATTAAACTGATTGAAAGATTATATATGTCCACTTTTGATAAAAATTGAGATAGCTACATATTTGAGATCCAGGTGCAATGGTCTATCTCCCTATACAACTATAATACAAGATTTCTACATTGTACAAGTTTTTGTTAGAACTTTACTGTTCTAATAACCTCCACGTTTCCCATTGAATTATCATAGCATATTCATCTAGTTGGGCCCCGCAAGTTCACTGGAAAATATTTTTATATTGTATCTTCACTTTTCAGATATTTTTGCTCTAAAAAATTTCTTATTCAATTTATTAGTACCACTATGCTTAAGTTTTTTCTATATCTCAGCAAGGATTTGTATACTATACAAATCCTTGATCTCAGTCATAAATTTATGAAATTGAAAAATGGGAGTTACATCATTACAACACTTGCTCACAACGATATGTCATTCTCACATACAAATGAAAAAAACACCTGTCAACATGACTGTAGAGAAAACAGACAAGTACCATAACCCCCACTGAAAAGACAAAAAAAACTGTGAGCAGAGTTGACATATTTTCTGCATCCAACTTGTATTGATGTATAAAGTCACTGTTGTGGTTTGGAAATGCCAAAAATTACTTGGATAAAATATGATATAAAGCCTTTCTCGTAATAAAAGTAGACCCAATTTACCATAAGTTCACAGCACACCCTCAAAAATTCAATTTAGGTAAATTACTGAAACGTACATAAGAATATACTACATAATACAACAGACCACAGGAACTACCAACACCCCCAAAAGACAAACCTACAAACAAACCCCAACAACAAGGAACAACACATTGTCCAGATAGTTCCGACCTGGTACAGACACAAAATGTGGTAGGTTAAACCAGTTTTACTGAAAGAGTCACAACATTGGGTCTTCTTCTGAATATGTTACTTAATTATAACTGCTTAAAAGACGTATCAAAACTTGAATTTTGATAGATATCAACAAAAACGGATCATCGTTAATAGAGGGTTTCCAAAGAAAAAATGAATCAATAGAACATTCCTTGCAAAACCAAAAATCTATTTTTTGTCTTTCAGATACAAAATCTCTTCATTTCAGTTATTTGTATTACTCCAAACAAAAATTTACAAAAAGAACAACATATGTTTATGCATTCATGTGAAATCAAGTATATTATTTAGGCTCTCTTGAGTTCAAACCTCCAAAGTTTCATCGACTTACTGATGTTCACCAAGGGGACAGAGTTCACCTGAGATTTTTGGTGTATCATGTTGTCTTGATTATCTGTTTGTCTTTTTTCGTTTGTCCATGGTGTTTTTGGTTGCCCCTTTCTTTTTTTAAAGTCAATATATAAGGGAGAGTAACTAATAATATTAAGTTATATGTGGTGCAAGGCGCTATGAGATTTAGCCTTCTGCTCTGGAACTAAACAAGAGCGAAGATCTGTGGTAATCTTTGTTCCAAGCTTTGCAGGACGGATGCAATAGAGACTAATAATATCATGTTAATAAACTCGCCAAATATCAAATAATTAGGTGAAAGTACACACTTTTTATCTTAGATGGTGTTTAACTGGTTTCAGTTGAACTACAATTACATTCAACCTTTTCGATTTTCAAGATCCGTGCTAAGACCTGATTAGACAATAAATGTGTAATATCAAAACATAAATTTATGCATTAGTCCAAAAATTCTTTGAAATAGTTTTTGTCTCGCCTGCGACGAAAGTTGCGGAAAGCGAGATATAGGGATTGCTTTTCCAGCGACAACGGCTCCATGCATATCAGTCTAACGAATTTTTCGAGACCCTGCCCCCTAAGTCATGGTCCAGTGACTTTGAATTAATAAGCAATTTTCAATGTTAAGTTTTCTGCTTAAGTTAGTTTGATGGGATCTTCTGGTGATAGATCATTGATATTTTGTATGAAGTCGCATTACTATCAGTACATATCAGTTTGACGACTATTTCGAGACCCTGACCCCTAAGTGATAGTCCAGTGACTTTGAATTAATTATCAATTTTCAATGATAAGTTTTCTGCTAAAGTTAGTTTAATATGAACTACTTGCAATAGATCAATGATATTTTCTATAAAGTTGAATTCTATCAGTACATGTCAGTTTGACGACTATTTCAAGGCCCTGCCCCCTAGGTCATTGTCCAGTGACTTTCAATCAATTAACAATGTTCAATGTTAAGTTAGTTTGATAGGAACAACTTACAATAGACAATATTTTCTCTAAAGTTACATTGCTGTCTGTACATCTCAGTTTGTAAACCATTTAGAGGCCCTAACCCACTAGTTGGTCCAGCGACTTTGAATTAATTAGCAATGTTGCTATCCATCAGATTGTCTTTTTCTGAATTTTATGCCGACAGGCGAGACATATCTCTGTGTCAACAGTTTATTATCATAACAAACCTATTCATGGTTAATACTAAGGATTTATTTTTTTATCCAATGCACTTTAATTCCTTATTCTATCTTATTTTAAATCTCTCTCTGTTGCAAGTACTTTGGTCATACTTTTATTTATCTTCAATGCATATTCTATTCGATACTATAAAGTATCTTTATGAAATCTTATTTTTACTTAGGAATACCAAAGACATAAATAGTACTATGTAAGATTCTGGAAATATTAATCGAAGAAATTATGTTTATATGACACAGTATAATGACTTCTTCGATAATCTGATATACCCGTAATGCTTTAGAAATAAAATGTTAAAGCTTGTCACCATATAAAATTCCCTGTTTGGATATTCATATAAGCGTTAATGATATCTATTGTCAAAAGCTACCAAGTTAGAAGGGTCAAACACCTATGACCCCACTCCTTTCTCCCTCATTTCAGTTTTATGCCCATTGACAAAATTCAAAGTGAATATTGTTTTACTCTTGTCCGTTTGCCTGTTCGTCGACAAAACAAGTAAAGGAGTAAATGGTTTGTCCATTTTCAAGATTTTATTTTAAAAACTATTTTTACACCTACTGAAGGTGGGCATATTTTTGAGATTTTGATTTTCGTAAACTATTTTAAAAAATTATGATGGAAGTTGAAATTGCTCAATTTTGTTCAGTTTTGTTTAGGGTTGACCGCACAACCCCTCCCACAGTTTGCGTAGAATTGTTTTGTTTGTAGAATGACAAAATGAAGGTTATTTCTAGTAAAGCAAATTTTGTTCAGTTTTCAAGTTTGTTCGCTCAACACTTCCTGTAGTGTTTAGCTAGAATTATTTTATTTCGCAGAATGTCAATATTTCTGCACATGCACGTACTAAAAGAGTTTATTATGTCCAAATTTTTATTTTCTTCAGTCGATTGTTTTTAAAAACTACGCCATCACTTACTTCTAAGGTATTCAAGCTTGTGAGGTTTTTATTTATTCTGCAGAATATATGCACGCCTATTAATGATGTCCTTATTGTCAGGATTTTTAGTTTGTTTATTTTTTTTTTTTTTGTTCTCATATGAGAGATATCTTAATTTAAAAATCAGTTTTGCTAAATTGTCAGTCAATCATATGTGTTGTTTATTCCTAGTTTCCAAGCTAGAGTATGTTACTCCCAGAATATTTGTATAAATATCAAATGCGTGCATACTGTCTTCATAGTTTTTGTCTCGCCTGACATAGGGATGCTTATCCAGAAATGGCAGTGGCGATTGCGTAAACCATTTCGCATATATATGTCTTTGGTGTTAGTTTCTTTATAGTTTTTTATATGCTTATGTTAAAAATTCTTTCAATC